TATATAGCCTTGTCTCAACTCTGTTACATAGCCTTGTCTCAACTCAGTTCTAGCCTTGTCTCTACTCAGTTATATAGCCTTGTCTCAACTCAGTTCTATCCTTGTCTCAACTCAGTTATGTATCCTTGTCTCAACTCAGGTATAGCCTTGTCTCAACTCAGGTATATAGCCTTGTCTCAACTCAGTTCTATAGCTTTGTCTCAACTCAGTTATATAGCCTTGTCTTAACTCTGTTATATAGCCTTGTCTCAAGTCAGTTATATAGCTTTGTCTCAACTCAGTTCTAGCCTTGTCTCAACTCAGTTATATAGCCTTGTCTCAACTCAGTTCTAGCCTTGTCTCAACTCAGGTATATAGCCTTGTCTCAACTCAGTTCTAGCCTTGTCTCAACTCTCAGTTATATATCCTTGTCTGAACTCAGTTCTAGCCTTGTCTCAACTCAGTTATATAGCCTTGTCTCAACTCAGTTATATATCCTTGTCTCAACTCAGTTATATCCGTGTCTCAACTCAGTTCTATCCTGGTTTCAACTCTGTTATATAGCCTTGTCTCAACTCAGTTCTATCCTTGTCTCAACTCAGTTATATAGCCTTGTCTCAACTCAGTTATATAGCCTTGTCTCAACTCTGTTATATAGCCTTGTCTCAAGTCAGTTATATAGCCTTGTCTCAACTCAGGTATATAGCCTTGTCTCAACTCAGTTATATATCCTTGTCTCAACTCAGTTATATAGCCTTGTCTCAACTTAGTTCTATCCTTGTCTCAACTCAGTTCTAGCCTTGTCTCAACTCAGTTCGATCCTTGTCTCAACTCAGTTATATAGCCTTGTCTCAGCTCTGTTATATAGCCTTGTCTCAACTCAGTTCTAGCCTTGTCTCTACTCAGTTATATAGCCTTGTCTCAACTCAGTTCTATCCTTGTCTCAACTCAGTTATATATCCTTGTCTGAACTCAGGTATAGCCTTGTCTCAACTCAGGTATATAGCCTTGTCTCAACTCAGTTATATAGCCTTGTCTCAACTCAGTTCTAGCCTTGTCTCAACTCAGTTATATATCCTTGTCTGAACTCAGGTATAGCCTTGTCTCAACTCAGGTATATAGCCTTGTCTCAACTCAGTTCTATAGCTTTGTCTCAACTCAGTTATATAGCCTTGTCTCAACTCAGTTATATAGCCTTGTCTCAACTCAGTTATATAGCCTTGTCTCAACTCTGTTTTATAGCCTTGTCTCAACTTAGTTCTATCCTTGTCTCAACTCAGTTATATAGCCTTGTCTCAACTCAGTTCTAGCCTTGTCTCAACTCTCAGTTCTAGCCTTGTCGCAACTCAGTTATATAGCCTTGTCTCAACTCAGTTCTAGCCTTGTCTCAACTCAGTTCTAGCCTTGTCTCAACTCAGTTCTAGCCTTGTCTCAACTCAGTTATATAGCTTTGTCTCAACTCAGTTCTAGCCTTGTCTCAACTCAGTTCTAGCTTTGTCTCAACTCTGTTATATAGCCTTGTCTCAAGTCAGTTACATAGCCTTGTCTCAACTCAGTTATATAGCCTTGTCTCAGCTCTGTTATATAGCCTTGTCTCAACTCAGTTCTAGCCTTGTCTCTACTCAGTTATATAGCCTTGTCTCAACTCAGTTCTATCCTTGTCTCAACTCAGTTATATATCCTTGTCTCAACTCAGGTATAGCCTTGTCTCAACTCAGGTATATAGCCTTGTCTCAACTCAGTTCTATAGCTTTGTCTCAACTCAGTTATATAGCCTTGTCTCAACTCAGTTATATAGCTTTGTCTCAACTCAGTTATATAGCCTTGTCTCAACTCAGTTCTATCCTTGTCTCAACTCAGTTATATAGCCTTGTCTCAACTCAGTTATATAGCCTTGTCTCAACTCTGTTATATAGCCTTGTCTCAACTTAGTTCTATCCTTGTCTCAACTCAGTTATATAGCCTTGTCTCAACTCAGTTCTAGCCTTGTCTCAACTCAGTTCTAGCCTTGTCTCAACTCAGTTATATAGCCTTGTCTCAACTCAGTTCTAGCCTTGTCTCAACTCAGTTCTAGCCTTGTCTCAACTCAGTTATAGCCTTGTCTCAACTCAGTTATATAGCTTTGTCTCAACTCAGTTCTAGCCTTGTCTCAACTCAGTTCTAGCCTTGTCTCAACTCAGTTATATAGCCTTGTCTCAACTCTGTTACATAGCCTTGTCTCAACTCAGTTCTAGCCTTGTCTCTACTCAGTTATATAGCCTTGTCTCAACTCAGTTCTATCCTTGTCTCAACTCAGTTATGTATCCTTGTCTCAACTCAGGTATAGCCTTGTCTCAACTCAGGTATATAGCCTTGTCTCAACTCAGTTCTATAGCTTTGTCTCAACTCAGTTATATAGCCTTGTCTTAACTCTGTTATATAGCCTTGTCTCAAGTCAGTTATATAGCCTTGTCTCAACTCAGTTCTAGCCTTGTCTCAACTCAGTTATATAGCCTTGTCTCAACTCAGTTCTAGCCTTGTCTCAACTCAGGTATATAGCCTTGTCCCAACTCAGTTCTAGCCTTGTCTCAACTCAGTTATATATCCTTGTCTGAACTCAGTTCTAGCCTTGTCTCAACTCAGTTATATAGCCTTGTCTCAACTCAGTTATATATCCTTGTCTCAACTCAGTTATATCCGTGTCTCAACTCAGTTCTATCCTGGTTTCAACTCTGTTATATAGCCTTGTCTCAACTCAGTTCTATCCTTGTCTCAACTCAGTTATATAGCCTTGTCTCAACTCAGTTATATAGCCTTGTCTGAACTCTGTTATATAGCCTTGTCTCAAGTCAGTTATATAGCCTTGTCTCAACTCAGGTATATAGCCTTGTCTCAACTCAGTTATATATCCTTGTCTCAACTCTGTTATATAGCCTTGTCTCAACTTAGTTCTATCCTTGTCTCAACTCAGTTCTAGCCTTGTCTCAACTCAGTTCGATCCTTGTCTCAACTCAGTTATATAGCCTTGTCTCAGCTCTGTTATATAGCCTTGTCTCAACTCAGTTCTAGCCTTGTCTCTACTCAGTTATATAGCCTTGTCTCAACTCAGTTCTATCCTTGTCTCAACTCAGTTATATATCCTTGTCTGAACTCAGGTATAGCCCTGTCTCAACTCAGGTATATAGCCTTGTCTCAACTCAGTTATATATCCTTGTCTCAACTCAGTTCTATCCTTGTCTCAACTCAGTTATATATCCTTGTCTGAACTCAGGTATAGCCTTGTCTCAACTCAGGTATATAGCCTTGTCTCAACTCAGTTCTATAGCTTTGTCTCAACTCAGTTATATAGCCTTGTCTCAACTCAGTTATATAGCTTTGTCTCAACTCAGTTATATAGCCTTGTCTCAACTCAGTTCTAGCCTTGTCTCAACTCAGTTATATAGCCTTGTCTCAACTCAGTTATATAGCCTTGTCTCAACTCAGTTCTAGCCTTGTCTCAACTCAGTTCTAGCCTTGTCTCAACTCAGTTATATAGCCTTGTCTCAACTCAGTTCTAGCCTTGTCTCAACTCAGTTCTAGCCTTGTCTCAACTCAGTTCTAGCCTTGTCTCAACTCAGTTATATAGCTTTGTCTCAACTCAGTTCTAGCCTTGTCTCAACTCAGTTCTAGCCTTGTCTCAACTCTGTTATATAGCCTTGTCTCAAGTCAGTTACATAGCCTTGTCTCAACTCAGTTATATAGCCTTGTCTCAGCTCTGTTATATAGCCTTGTCTCAACTCAGTTCTAGCCTTGTCTCTACTCAGTTATATAGCCTTGTCTCAACTCAGTTCTATCCTTGTCTCAACTCAGTTATATATCCTTGTCTCAACTCAGGTATAGCCTTGTCTCAACTCAGGTATATAGCCTTGTCTCAACTCAGTTCTATAGCTTTGTCTCAACTCAGTTATATAGCCTTGTCTCAACTCAGTTATATAGCTTTGTCTCAACTCAGTTATATAGCCTTGTCTCAACTCAGTTCTATCCTTGTCTCAACTCAGTTATATAGCCTTGTCTCAACTCAGTTATATAGCCTTGTCTCAACTCTGTTATATAGCCTTGTCTCAACTTAGTTCTATCCTTGTCTCAACTCAGTTATATAGCCTTGTCTCAACTCAGTTCTAGCCTTGTCTCAACTCAGTTCTAGCCTTGTCTCAACTCAGTTATATAGCCTTGTCTCAACTCAGTTACATAGCCTTGTCTCAACTCAGTTATATAGCCTTGTCTCAACTCTGTTATATAGCCTTGTCTCAACTTAGTTCTATCCTTGTCTCAACTCAGTTCTAGCCTTGTCTCAACTCAGTTATATAGCTTTGTCTCAACTCAGCATAATCTTTGTCTCAAACCAATTATATCCTTGTCTGAAATAAGCTTAACCTTTGTCGGAACTCAATTATAGCTACATCCGAACTCAGTTCAACTTTTGTATTAGCTCATTTATGCCCTTTTCAAGAACTATTGTCTTAGGTTGGCTATACGCTTGTCTATCCTAAGTTAAGTATTGCTCTTGTCTGAACTCATTTGACCGCCTCCGTGGTGTAGTGGTTAGAGCGTCCGCCCGGAGAGCGGAAGGTCGCGGGTTCGATCCCTGACCGCGTCATACCAAAAGACGTTAAAATATGGTACTTGTTGGTCCCTGTCTGGCGCTCGGCATTAATGGGTACAACAAGGACTGGTCGGCTCGGAGTCAGTATAATGTGTCTGAGTGGGGTATTCATGCTTCACTGCGGCATGGTATCTCAGTGGGTTAGCACTATAAAACCAGCTTCAGTCTGGGCTAGTACAAGCAGCCGCACATACACATACACACGCATGCACGTCGTCATATGAGCGAAATATTCTCAAGCACGACGTTAAACCCAATTTCACCTCACCTCACCTCTGAACTCGTTTATCCCTTTATGTCTTTGCTGGGGAGTGGGCAAACTTTCAACCCAAACATATTCGTTACATGAACATGATAGCAGCTTTTCAGGAACATTTCTCAGTTCTACCTTTTGTACCAGGAATGGTGTTGGAGGCAATTGGAGTTCTCATTGGTGCCATCGTTCAAGGCATCCTGATAGAGAAGTACCGTACAGTGGGTAAATGCAAGGAGCCTGACGCCACCTCGTCCCCAACTGAACTCGACAACCAGGTTGGTCAGATCAGCCTGATCTGGTGCCTTATTCAGTTTATTTCCAACGATACTGGTTAGTTGTCGGACTAAAGAACTGGATAACTAAACACTTGATAGACTATAGCTAAATTCGTGAGCCAAACTCAGTAACGAACCCGCTGGTGGTGTTTTTTATTTATTCTGATTCAAAAGAAGTGAATTCTTAACCAGCTTTTGGAAGATGGTGGACCTGCAAAACGAACTTGTCAAATTTGGACTTAACGCTGCTTTTTCAGTCATATCACGTAAACTTGACCTGAGAGGAAACCCCGAAGTGATTCACGTCTCAAAAGTTTACTGCTTGAAACCTACAGACATGGTGTTGACCATCCTCGATAATCTCCAGAGTATACGTTACGATCACTCTTCACTATACCCTGGATGCATCCACGGCTTGGCCCGATGATTTTTTTACCTCCCTTTGCTGGCTTTTTATCCAATCAGATGTCTACGCTGGGAAGTTGAGCGAATCAATCACTACTCACTTTCGCTTCTTAAATTATCTAGCCGTTTAAACTTGGCAACACAATTGATGCAGAGGTACTCTGAAAGAGGTAGAAGGAGTTCTTTCATATATTTTTTTTAAGTTTCAGATCTGTAAATTTGTCAGTATGATTTCCCGAAAAATCTGAGTGTCACTGACAACAAACCTTCGCGACTGCGACCGCTATCTTTGTTAACACTGGCAAGCTCGGATGTAACGGCGGCTTAGCTGATTGGCTACTGTGAGAATGCGGAGCCAGCAAAGGGAGGTAATATAATTATCGGGCCGAGCCGTGGATGCATCCAGGGTATAGTGGAGAGTGATGGTATCGTATACCCTGGAGATTATCGAGGATGGGTGTTGACAAGCCATGAAGCATTATCGGGGCTATACGGGATGGAACCCCCGATAATAGGTTTCTGGTACGTCAAAGGGACCTAACTCGCGTTGTGACGAGGAGAGGCTTTGTCATTTTACGACATAATGAATAGAACAAAGATCTTGTGTGATACTAAAGACAAACGCGAAATACCAGGTGAGGTACTCAGGCTTGGTGATCAGTAATCTGCATGAGTATCTTGGAGACACCTTGGGTTTGAATTGGTAATCCTGGTAAGGCCTCCGTCAATAAGGGTGCCATTGTACAATGGGTTGGTTTGGTTGGTTGGTTTGTTGTTTTACGCCGCACTCAGCAATAATCCATCTATATGGCGTCGGTCTGTAAATGATCAAGTCTGGACCAGACAATCCAGTGATCAACATCATGGGCATCGTTCCACGTAACTGGGATACGATGACTTGTGTCAACCAAGTCAGCGAACCTGCCCACCTGATCCCGTTAGTCGCCTTTTACGACCATGGGTTCCTGAAGACCAATTCTAACCCGGATCTTCACAGGTGCCGTTGTACAAAGCCACCTTAGCGCTTAGGTAATCGTAACTCCCATACCATAACATAAACTTACCACGGTCGTAGCGTTAAGGTTTCTTTGTACAATGGCACTCACTCTTCCAGCTTTCGTGGCCGTGGGGTAGCCTAGTGGTTAAAGCTTTTGCTCGTCGCGGCGAAGACCCGGGTTCGATTCCCCACATGGGTGCAATGTGCGAAGACCATGTCTTGTGTTCAAAGTTGTGATATTGCTAGAATATTTTCCTATAAAAATTTAATATATTCAGAGGAAAAGCGTTAGTCGATTTGAGCACTAATTTTAAGTGATCACAGAATGATCGCCTTGATGAACGGGACTATAGTTTGGCATGAAATGCATGTGGACCCGTTTTTTTGTAAATATCTCTTCATCCAATGACCCAATCGATCTCAAACTGTGCAAGTGGATGTTTTGTCAGACAACCTAATCACATTGTAAATCACCGATTTTATGCATTTGTATTAAAGAATCTGTCTATGTAACTGTCAACAAAATAATCAGCAGAACGCAGACTGCTTGCAGAGGGAGGGAGCCAATGACCTGTAACAGCGGCAGTGTTGGGTCATAAAGGTAAATGCACGCGCAGTTCATGATAGTTACCTGTGCACTGCACAGTGATAGACCGTTTGGATCATTCACATTGACTACTTCTAGCTGTCATCATGAAAGCTTATTCAGATGATGCTAAACGTTTAATTAGAAATGTGTTGATTTTTTTTAAAAAGAGAGCAAACGTAGCAAACCGATTTATAAGGTGTCGGATTACATGAAACGTACAACTTTTGCTCTTGGCATGAAAAAGAACATCGTGCTAAAAATTGTGAAAAATAAACCAACAACCAAAAAGGTAGGCATCCAAACCATACTGCTGCCAGACAGTGGCTACCCACTGATCCCAGTGATGGTAGGAAAATAGCAACAGGCAAAGGTGAACGTTTAATCGTTCTTCATGCTAGTTTCCACCGTGGATTCCTACCTGGGTGTGATCTGGTATTTCGGTCAAAGAGCACAGATGGTGGGGACTATCATACAGAAATGAACTCAGCGGTATTCACACAGTATGTTGAGGAACAATTGTTGCCAGCTCTGCCTTACAAAAGGCTTGTTGTCATGGACAATGCTCCCTATCACAGTGTTCGAGATCCAAACAATAGGTTCCCAACTTCCAATACAAAGAAGTCAGATATGCAGCAATGGCTAACAAATAACAATATTCAATTTTCAATTAAGGCCACTAAACCACAGTTGTACTCTTTGATTAAACCTAACAAACCTCCACCCACATATAACATTGACAACATGCTACGCCAACACGGCCATAAGGTCTTGAGATTACCACCGTACCACTCATTCTCTTCCCACAGAGGTTATTTGTCATATCTTCCTACGAACCTCTGTTCTAATACGGCCCTTTCATGGTGCGAGTGTTCAGGATTCGTGATTGGTTGCAATCAGATTTAGTTGTGCAATCAGCGACGTTGTTTCAAAAGTGATCATTCACAAGGCCTCGGTTATTTCCGTATGCTTCGGGAAAACTAGAACCTCTTTCCCTGCGCGATGCGCAAACCTTTCTTATAGACAGAACTCAGTCATGTAAATGGCGGATCAATGGCGTCTCCATCGCCCTCGTTGACAACGGACAAGCTAGCGATTAAATGTCTTGTGTGCCACATCAACACAAGTTCCTGGCAGAGGAGGGATATTTTTGACCCAACATTTACTTGTATTAGTCAAGTTGATGTAACACGTGTTCTGATTGGACAGAAAGAAGGGAGATAATTCGTGTTGCGATTTTTTGCCGCTAGGGGATTTTACGAGTTTCTTTGAACAATGACAGCACTGACTAATTCCAACGACTTATAGTGTAACATGAAACACTCATTTCACATAAAATTATCATGAAAATATAAATATTAACTATCTATATGCTTAAAGCTATTAGAAATGCATTGCTTAATTTGGAATGTGAACGACATCAAAACATAACACTTTTGTCTTCATTCTATCTTTTCTTCAATGAGTGTGCATGATTGTGTGTGCTTGTGTCCGAGGGAACGGGGCTTTAACAGTTGTTGAGTTCTAACCATAGGTGGTCCGATTAATGATTTAGTGTAAATATACTTTCTGTGTTCTTTAAATTCATTTCCACTTAGGTACTGCATAAACAAAATATGACATGAACATTACAAATTTAAAGATTTTAACCTACAGAATAATTCTCACTAATGGGTTTTGTGGTTAATGTTGAACAACTCAGAGAAACAAACTCCGTATGATGGTTAACAGTTGGCACCCACCTTACCCTATTCACGACCTGTGACACCTCTTCATACCTGTCACGTGCATAGCTGACCTACATTGACGAACGTTGACCTTTATGACCCAACACTGCCGCAGTTACAGGTCATTGGCTCCCTCCGTCTGCAAGCAGTCTGCGTTCTGCTGTTTATTTTGTTGACAGTTACATAGACAGATTCTTTAATACAAATGCATAAAATCGGTGATTTACAATGTGATTAGGTTGTCTGACAAAACATCCACTTGCACAGTTTGAGATCGATTGGATCATTGGATGAAGAGATATTTACAAAAAAACCGGGTCCACATGCATTTCATGCCAAACTATAGTTGTCAGTGGCCATGTTGCTTTCGTTAAATAATTCCTATCATTTGACTGAAATAAAACACAAGTATAAACGCCGCTCTTCTACCCTTTTGGCAAGTACGTTTACCTGTCACCCCGTACCCGGGTCTAAATAGCCAAATTTGTACAATGTGTGAAATCTATGCTGTGTGGACCCTGATTTGAATGAAGCAAACTGCGGCGTAAAACACGACTCGGTCATTCATTAGATCCCCTGTTTATAGAAATGGTCATACATGGTTGGGTCCGGCTTCGTCGTCGCCATCTACTTCGTCTGCGCCTGCATTGTCTTCGTCGGTGTCAAGGAGAAGAAGAAAGGTAAATACTGGACCAATATGTGGAAACTTTCAAACTGTCCGTATGGGTATGATGTGAAACTGGGTGTTATTGACATGATTTGTTTGTTCGTTTAACACCGCACTGAGCAGTGTTCAAGCTACATATGTTTTCTTAACTCGAAATTGTGTTATGTTATGAAACTAGGATATTTGTGTTTGTTTCGTTTTTTTAATGTTTGACGCACACTCAACAATATTCCAGCGATATGGTCTATAAATAATCGAGTCAGGACCAGACAATCCAGTGATTGACAGCATGAGCATCGATCTACGTAGTTAGGATACGATCAGCGAGCCTTACCACCCGATCCCGTTAGTCGCCTCTTACGACAAGCATGGGTTACTGAAGATAAATTCTAACTCGGATCTTCACGGATTGAAATTAGGATGTGTTAAAATGAAACTTTGAAACCAAGTGTTGTGTTAAATGTGTTAAAATGAAACAGTGTTGCCTTGTATATTCCTTGTGTTGTTCAATGTGGTATTGACACTTGTAAAGGGTTGACGGCGTGTGTCTCGTATTGTATTGTGTGTGCGTGCGTGCGTATGTGTTTGCGTGTACTGATGTGAGTATCTTGACCTGTATGCTGTGTTGACATATATGTCATGTTAACACATGTGATTTCTTGTAGGTGTGGCTGACGGGAACGACCATGTCGGCTTCTTCCGGGGTCTGAAGCTGGTCTTCAGTTATGGCCCCTATGTCAAGGCCGCGATGACCTTCCTGTTTCTTTCTATAACAATATCAGTGAGTCATAAGTATACTATTACTCACAAAATAATATGTTCTGGTGTAGTTGTACCTTAGGTCATAGGACCGCCTCCGTGGTGTAGTGGTTAGAGCGTCCGCCCGGAGAGCGGAAGGTCGCGGGTTCGATCCCCGACCGCGTCGAACCATATGGTACTTGTTGGTCCTTGCCTGGCCCTCGGCATTAATGGGTACAACAAGGACTGGTCGGCTCGGAGTCAGTATAATGTGTCTGAGTGGGGTATTCATGCTTCACTGCGGCATGGTATCTCAGTGGGTTAGCCCTATAAAACCAGCTTAAGTCTCGGCTAGTACAAGCAACCGCACATACACATACACACGCATGCACGTCGTCATATGAGCGAACTATTCTCAAGCACGACGTAAAACCCAATTTCACCTCACCACCTCACCTTAGGTCATATGGCCTGCAGTATTGAATAAACGAGGCTGATTCCGAGTCATTACTCACCCAAAACAATCTCACCAAAAAGAGGCACTCAGTATATATACTTCTAATAAAAACGAGTCAAACTGAAAATGAAATTACATTTTAATTTGATTAATTATTATCTCAGTATCTACATTGCGTATAGAATAGAGTTAAATAAATACATTGTGCTTGTTTGGTTTGTTGTAAACGCCACAGACCACCAGCTATATGGCGACGGTCTGTAAATAATCGAGTCTGGACCACACAATCCAGTGATCAGCAGCATGAGCATCGATCTGCGCAATTGGGATACGATGAGCGAGCCTCACCACCAGACCCCGTTGGTCGCCTCTTGCGACAAGCATGGGTTACTGGAGACCAATTCTCACATGGATCTTCACGGGTAAAATACATTGTGAGCATCGATCTGCGCAATTGGGATACGATGAGCGAGCCTCACCACCAGACCCCGTTGGTCGCCTCTTGCGACAAGCATGGGTTACTGGAGACCAATTCTCACATGGATCTTCACGGGTAAAATACATTGTGTGTGTGTACATTTGTATATATATTACAATAAGAATGATTGTACACAGTGTACAAGCTGGTTCGTTGTATAATTCCGTGACGTTGTATTTGTTAGATAGTGCAGGGAAACCTGGCCCTTTACTGCACCCACTCTCTGCACATGGGGTCACAATTCACGTACTTCATCCTCGTCCTTCTGGTAGGTATTCCTTGTTACAACCACATGTCCTCTGCTACAACCATTTGTAAACTATTAACGTTTTATGTATGCCATTTTGATGTCATAGGTATAATATCGGTCGATCGATCATATGAAACTTTATTTGACCGTTTTATCACAAAACACCGATGTGAGAAAAAACGGCAAATTGTTAATTTTGACCTATCTCCTGTCATTGCAGCTGGTATCTATATGTACAATGCCAATATGGCAGTTGGTGGTGACTCGCTACGGCAAGAAGACAGCGTACGCATCTGGCATGATCGTAAGTCTTCATACACTACTTCTACTTTGTCAAAAGTCAAAGTCAAAAAAGGAGTTTACTTGTAACGAGGCCAAGGGCCCATATACAAGATATAACTATACATAGTTAACAAGAGCATACAAGTGAAGTCTAAAGTGTTTCTAAATACATAGTTCTTTTTATATATGCATGGTAAATGTAATACTGTACACGTCTGATTAAATTCTCCTGAGTTGCACATATCAGCCTTTTAAATTTATGGATAGAAGGGAATTTCCAAAAGTGTTCCGGAAGAAAAGTTATTCTCAATTCATTGTACAAGTGGCATATAAGTGTGAAATGATACTCATCCTCTACAGAGGTGTTGCAAATGGGACACAAACGTAAACCAGGTTCGATTGATTGCCACCTACCTTCATTATAACGTAGTGGCAAGACATTGCATCTGAATTTGATGTAAGTAGAGCGCACCTTTTTTCTAATATGATATACAGGTATCTTTCTGGTTCAAATATGAATTTATATTCTCTATACATCACATATCTAGAGCTGTTATTCAACGTGGAAGTCCAACTTTGAGAAAATTCATTTATCAATGATGTTTTAAACAATTGTACAAAAGAAAGTTCATCGCCAACAGATTGGTTAATCCAGATATATCCAAAGCCATGAGAAAACAAAATATTTTTTATGAACGATACCCAAATCTTTTTTCCAATGTCATCAAAATATCTTAGCATATAATACACTTTTTGGGTAATCTACACTCGCTCATTTTGAGCAAGTTTAGCCAATAACGTAAAAGCCGTAAGTAAGCATTTATATATATTTGATAGCAACCACATTCGCCATATACAATAGTATTAGGAGTTTGTTTTCCTACCCTTAAAAATCGTTTGCAGGCTAGAAGATGTACCTTTTTCAATAATTCATATTGCTTGACTCCCCAAATCTCACAGCCATATAATATCGGCATCACCTGAGAATCAAAGATTTTAAAATATATATTCGGGTCAATCATTCAAATCTTGTTTAGTTTGACAATGATTTCCATCAATGCTCTTTTACCCTGGCTTGCCAAGCCTGAAATGCATTTCGTCATTTTTAAGTTACTTGAAAACCAGACACCTAAATACTTGTAACTATTTACAGTGGCGATTTGGTTTCCTTTATAAAACCACTTTTCCTTATTCGAAAGAATGCCCCCTTTTCTGAACACAATAATATGTGTTTTATCAAGATTAACAGTTAACCCCAAATTGTCTGAAAACGTTTCAAGAATATTTAACTGGTTTTGAAGGCCGACAATTGATTCAGATACGAGGATGACATCATCTGCAAATAGAAGTAGGAATAGTTCATATAAATCAGGGAATAATTGCACGCCGTGTCTACCACATTCATTTACAGAGTTTGACAGTTCACTGATGAATAATGAGAATAACAACGGGCTTAGGATGCATCCTTGGCGCACTCCATTTGGGCAATTGAATAAATCGGTAATATCTGAAGAAGAGCATTTTACGCAAGCTTGTACAGATATGTAAATTGCTTTGAGTGCTGACAGCATTTTCCCCCCTAACCCGTTCTGTTTAAGGCAAAACCAAAGTTTATTTCTTTTCACATAATCAAACGCCTTTCTGAAATCTATGAAGGCGACATAAAGCTTTTTTCGTTTTTTCATAAAGCATTTTTCGACAATAGAATTTAGTGTGAATATGTGATCTGTGGTTGAATAACCAGATCGGAAGCCTGCCTGTGTTTCTGGAACTTTATCTTTTAGCTCTGTCCAGACTTTCAGTCTATTATTGAGCACACCAGTATAGATTTTGCTCAAGACGCTTAACAACGATATGCCCCTGTAGTTGTCGGGGTTATTTCTATCACCTTTTTTGTGTATTGGGACAACGATAGACTTTGTCCAGCTTGTAGGAAATTTTCCCGAATCATATATTTTATTGAAAAGTGTAGCGAGAAGTTTTATAGCATCACTAATTTCAGACGAAGTAATATGTGATTCTAGGATAAGTGAATCAACTTCATCTAAGTCTGGTTCTTCCGTAGAGCCAAAGTGGTCAATCATTGGTGCATCATAAGTTGCAAACAGGCTACTAAAGTGGTTAAACCATGCATCATTACTGATATTCGGGCGAGGTCGGTGCAAAGGAGATATACCTCTGAGGATACGCCAAAACGTCTTTGGGTTACTGGTTGCTTGCTTTAATGCATCAGCTTTGTTGCACTCATACGAGAGCTTTGTGCGCTTACAGATACCCTTATATAAATTCCTCTGTTTGCAATAATTACGTCGGTTTTCCTCAGATTTATTTCTTTGGAATCGACGCAAGGCTTTGCGAGTGAAGTATTTTTTACTTTTACAATATTTATAAAAAACCCATTTGAAATACACTTTTTGTTACGTTTTTTCATACAGTCCGCTGCACCAAGTACTGTTTGTACAAACAAGTCTAGAGCGTGGTCAACATCTGTATCAACTAATCTTGTTGCTTCAACAAAGGTGTCAGCAAGCTGTTTTATGCTGTCGGTGTACACGTCTGACTTAGTATGGTTCCATACAATTCTGTCAGAGCAGTTTCTGTCAGTATTATCATTATTTTCTAGCTGGTGGCTTTGCTCATAAAGTTTAAGTTTTGCCGTTAATGGCATATGATCTGATTCTACTCGGGCCTCTACATGAAACGATTCAATCAGTTCAAACGCATCAATACTGGCAATGCAATAATCATTTACCGAAGAACCCTGGCTAGATATGAACGTAAACTCGCCAGTTTTATCTCCTTGCACACGACCATTTAAAATATACAACTTGTACGTATAACACATTTCCATTAGCATTCTACCAAATCTATTGATTGAGTTATCACAAGATTGTCTGTTGTCAAGAGGCATTAACTCTTCGCCAGGGAACACATCTCCCAGAAAGTTCGGTTGTGGTTCAGGTGGTTCATTGCTTGTCCCAATCCTGGATTTCAGATCACCTGGTGATAACTATATGACAGTCAGAAAGAATATCCAGGCTTCTGAGAACCACTGATCAAGTAGTTCTATACTTGGTGGTTTCCCGACACGATGTGTGTATGTCGACCCCTCGGGTGGTATGTAGAGACCTATCAAAATAACATTTTTTCTTACTTTGCAATATCGACCCCTCGGGTGGTATGTAAGAGACCTATCAAAATAACATCTTTTTTACTATTAAGATTATATATATCAGATTATCGATATCCAACTTCAGTAAAGTGCAGAACTGGGATACACTGTTATGTATGAAAGCAAATACTCCTCCCGACAATCTCCCGTGCCTGGCCGTTTTCATTGCTTTCGCTATGTATTGTGTATAGTCAGACAATTCAGGGACAGCAATGATGCTACCACTAAACGTCTCATACAGAAACATTATTTGAAACCTAATCAAATAGGAAATGAAATCTGTATCCTCTAATTTAGAGGCTATACCGTTGATGTTCCAAGAGAGAACCTCTAACAAATGTGTAAGTGGGTACTCATCTGATATGCTATCAGCTGCTGGGGTAGGTTGCTGCGGGCCTTGGCCACACCCCTATTCATCAGGAGTCCCAGTAGGTGGAGCCTGTGCTTCATCCTCTCGACTGCTGTCACGTGAGGGTGCAGACTCTTGTCGGGTAGCCCGTGACCTTCACAAGCGGCTGTATGGTCTCCATGGAGCTGAGAAAGAAAATCCAGTGACCACTGATCCATTGACCGGGATAATAATGTTAGCGCTTTGGGAATGAACGTTTGGTAAGGAGTCGAACGCAATATTATTGCACACATTATTATTGTATCATCATTATCACATTATTATTTTGATCATCATCATGACAATGTTGATCATGCCCTCAAGAACAGATTGCGCAGATTGTGAAAGCAGTGTCCCTGTGTTTCAGATATTCATCCCCGTGCTGATTGTTCAACTGTATCTACCGAAGAACAATCCGTATCTGTACTACACAACTGTAGCCTTTGCAGGTCTCAGTGTCTCAGTATCATTATTGCTACCTTGGTGAGTTGTCCTATGTGTCATTGTTTCCACATTGGTGAGTTGCCCTGTGTGTCATTGTTTCCACATTGGTGAGTTGCCCTATGTGTCATTGTTTCCACATTGGTGAGTTGCCCTATGTGTCATTGTTCCACATTGGTGGATGCCCTATGTGTCATTGTTCCATATTGGTGAGTTGTCCTATGTCTCATTGTTTCCACATTGGTGAGTTGCCCTATGTGTCATTGTTTCCACATTGGTGAATTGCCCTGTGTGTCATTGTTCCACATTGGTGAGTTGCCCTATGTGTCATCGTTTCTACCTTGGTGAGTTTTCCTGTGTGTCATCATTTCTACTTTGGTGAGTTGCCTTATGTGTCATAGTTTCCACATTGGTGAGTTGCCCTGTGTGTCATTGTTCCACATTGGTGAGTTACGCTATGTGTCATTGTTTCGACATTGGTGAGTTGCCTTGTGTGTCATTGTTCCACTTTGGTGAGTTGCCCTATGTGTCATTGTTTCCACATTGGTGAGTTGCCATATGTGTCATTGTTTCCACATTGGTGAGTTGCCCTGTGTGTCATTGTTCCACATTGGTGAGTTGCCCTATGTGTCATTGTTCCACATTGGTGAGTTGCCCTATGTGTCATTGTTTCCACATTGGTGAGTTGTCCTGTGTGTCATTGTTTCCACATTGGTGAGTTGCCCTGTGTGTCATCATTTCTACTTTGGTGAGTTGCCCTATGTGTCATCATTTCTACTTTGGTGAGTTGCCCTATGTGTCATTGTTTCCACATTGGTGAGTTGCCCTATGTGTCATTGCTTCTACCTTGGAGAGTTCCCCTATGTGTCATCGTTTCTACTTTGGTGAGTTGCCCTGTGTGTCATCATTTCTACTTTGGTGAGTTGAATTGTGTCATTACTGCAACCGTCGTGAATTTGCATCTATCAGTGGTGTTACACTGGTGAGTTGGACTTTGTGTCGTTCCAAGGTTGGAGAGTTGGCTGTTTGCTGATACAGGTGACATCTGACGTAGTTTACAAATTCCAGAAAGGACTCTTTCCAGCGCATAGAAGGACATTAGACCAATACACTAGGATAGCTAAATCCCAGTGCTATGAATTGTGGGCACTAAGTGCATGTCCCCCTCTTGCAGGTCCGTGCTGCCAGACATCCTGGACATGTTCATGCTGGAGAGGAAGACGAGGAAGGACGCCCTCTTCTACTCCTTCTATGTGTTCTTCAACAAGTTTTCCGGCGGGATGGGGCTGGCCATATCCCAACTTGCTCTACAGTGAGTGCTTTAAACAACCATGAAGGGGACAGTGCCAGCTGATGGCGGGCAACCCCCACTGAAATTACAATGTATAAAATACACGTCTCTCTCTCTCTCTCTCTCTCTCTCTCTCTCTCTCTCTCTCTCTCTCTCTCTCTCTCTCTCTCTCTCTCTCTCTCTCTCTCTCTCTCTCTCTCTCTCTCTCTCTCTCTCTCTCTCTCTCTCTCTCTCTCTCTCTTAATTTAATATTTTTAGAGAATTAGTCTTCAATCACCTGAAAAGGCAAACTTCGGTGATCAAAAATGGTTCTCTCTTCAAGAGTACTTTAGCATGGGGAAATCTGGTTCCTTGCTTGTGGGTTTCACCTGAGTGGTAAACGTCCATATCCTGCATCACTTCGGGTTTTCCTCCCACATTAAACAGACACGCCATGATATAACTGGAATGCTGTTTAAAGCAGCGATAAACCCATCTCACTCACTCACTCGCCAATGTGTACGATGTTCGATGACCACAAAGTTGATGTGTTATAACTAGGGGTGGGTATTGCAGAGAATTTTCATATTGCGATATATTGCGATGCGGAAGCATGTATTGCAATATATTGCAAGGATTATTTTTTTAACAAAAACTACTTATAATCGAGTTAATGCTTGATTATAAAGCAAAAACACAACTAAATCAAATGATTCATTAACCTTTTATAAAAACTTTTAATCATGACAAAATAAAAATGTAAGTAACATTTGGCACTAATGACACAGGGAAAAGAACACTTCAGAAAACGGAAATATCCGAAGATTTCCGAGTGTTACGAAGTTTTCCGAATGCATGTCAAAGTACCGGTTTTCGATCAGCGTATCGCAATACGTATCGTTTTCATGTCTGAACCGGTAAATACCGGTAAACCGGTTATATTGCGCAGCCCTAGTTATAACACTGAGATGCTTCTCGTGACGGCGCCACCTGCTGTTTATCCCTAGTTCTCCATTTCAGATTCGGGGGTTACAAAACGGGGGCCTGTGTTCAACCGGCATCGGTTGACTTGACACTGCGCATGCTCATTGTGCCTGGTCCTGTGCTGTGTCTAATAGTTGCTCTCCTGTTTCTGTGGAGCTACCCGATTGATGAGGTCAAACGCAGGCAAATCAAGAAAGATGTACACGAAATTTTGTAAGTATATTTTTGCAGACCTTGGATTGTGGTGGATGTCTGTTGTGCTTAGTCTTTGTTGATGCACATGTGATAGGTCATGACACAGTGTTGCAGGATACGGTGATATCAGTACGTATTATCACAGGCAGACTGAAGGCGTGACGTATTGTTGCAGACAGAGTGATAGCATGACGTTTTATTGCAGGCAGAGTGATAGCATGACGTTTTATTGCAGGCAGAGTGATAGCATGACTTATTGTTGCAGGCAGAGTGCTAGCATGACTTATTGTTGCAGGCAGAGTGCTAGCATGACGTATTGTTGCAGGCAGAGTGCTAGCATGACGTATTGTTGCAGGCAGAATGATAGCATGACGTAATGTTGCAGGCAGAGTGCTAGCATGACGTAATGTTGCAGGCAGAATGATAGCATGACGTGATGTTGCAGGCAGAATGATAGCATGACGTGATGTTGCAGGCAGAATGATAGCATGATGTGATGTTGCATGCAGAATGATAGCATGATGTAATGTTGCAGGCAGAGTGCTAGCATGACGTAATGTTGCAGGCAGAGTGCTAGCATGACGTAATGTTGCAGGCAGAGTGCTAGCATGATGTATTGTTGCAGGCGGTGATAGCATGACGTATTGTTGCAGGCAGAATGATAGCATGGCGTGATGTTGCAGGCAGAATGATAGCATGACGTGATGTTGCAGGCAGAATGATAGCATGACGTAATGTTGCAGGCGGTGATAGCATGACGTATTGTTGCAGGCAGAGTGATAGCATGACGGGATGTTGCAGGCAGAATGATAGCATGACGTAATGTTGCAGGCAGAGTGATAGCATGACGTGATGTTGCATGCAGAATGATAGCATGACGTAATGTTGCAGGCAGAGTGATAGCATGACGTGATGTTGCAGGCAGAATGATAGCATGACGTGATGTTGCATGCAGAATGATAGCATGACGTATTGTTGCAGGCAGAGTGCTAGCATGATGTAATGTTGCAGGCAGAGTGATAGCATGACGTGTTGTTGCAGGCAGAGTGCTAGCATGACGTAATGTTGCAGGCGTTGATAGCATGACGTATTGTTGCAGGCAGAGTGCTAGCATGACGTAATGTTGCAGGCAGAGTGCTAGCATGACGTAATGTTGCAGGCAGAGTGCTAGCATGACGTATTGTTGCAGGCAGAGTGCTAGCATGACGTAATGTTGCAGGCAGAGTGCTAGCATGACGTAATGTTGCAGGCAGAATGATAGCATGGCGTGATGTTGCAGGCGGTGATAGCATGACGTAATGTTGCAGGCAGAGTGCTAGCATGACGTAATGTTGCAGGCAGAGTGATAGCATGACGTATTGTTGCAGGCAGAATGATAGCATGACGCATTTGTTGCAGGCAGAGTGATAGCATGGCGTGATGTTGCAGGCAGAGTGATAGCATGGCGATGATGTTGCAGGCAGAATGATAGCATGGCGATATTGTTGCAGGCAGAGTGATAGCATGACGTAATGTTGCAGGCAGAATGATAGCATGACGTGATGTTGCAGGCAGAATGATAGCATGGCGGCCGATGTTGCAGGCAGAATGATAGCATGATGTGATGTTGCATGCAGAATGATAGCATGATGTAATGTTGCAGGCAGAGTGCTAGCATGACGTAATGTTGCAGGCAGAGTGCTAGCATGACGTAATGTTGCAGGCAGAGTGCTAGCATGATGTATTGTTGCAGGCGGTGATAGCATGACGTATTGTTGCAGGCAGAATGATAGCATGGCGTGATGTTGCAGGCAGAATGATAGCATGACGTGATGTTGCAGGCAGAATGATAGCATGACGTAATGTTGCAGGCGGTGATAGCATGACGTATTATTGTTGCAGGCAGAGTGATAGCATGACGGGATGTTGCAGGCAGAATGATAGCATGACGTAATGTTGCAGGCAGAGTGATAGCATGACGTGATGTTGCATGCAGAATGATAGCATGACGTAATGTTGCAGGCAGAGTGATAGCATGACGTGATGTTGCAGGCAGAATGATAGCATGACGGATGTTGCATGCAGAATGATAGCATGACGTATTGTTGCAGGCAGAGTGCTAGCATGATGTAATGTTGCAGGCAGAGTGATAGCATGACGGTTGTTGCAGGCAGAGTGCTAGCATGACGTAATGTTGCAGGCGTTGATAGCATGACGCATTGTTGCAGGCAGAGTGCTAATGTTGCAGCATGACGTGGCCGGTAATGTTAGGCAGAGTGCTAGCATGACGTAATGTTGCAGGCAGAGTGCTAGCATGACGTATTGTTGCAGGCAGAGTGCTAGCATGACGTAATGTTGCAGGCAGAGTGCTAGCATGACGTAATGTTGCAGGCAGAATGATAGCATGGCGTGATGTTGCAGGCGGTGATAGCATGACGTAATGTTGCAGGCAGAGTGCTAGCATGACGTAATGTTGCAGGCAGAGTGATAGCATGACGTATTGTTGCAGGCAGAATGATAGCATGACGTATTGTTGCAGGCAGAGTGATAGCATGACGTGATGTTGCAGGCAGAGTGATAGCATGACGTGATGTTGCAGGCAGAATGATAGCATGACGTATTGTTGCAGGCAGAGTGATAGCATGACGTAATGTTGCAGGCAGAGTGCTAGCATGACGTATTGTTGCAGGCAGAGTGATAGCATGACGTATTGTTGCAGGCAGAATGCTAGCATGACGTAATGTTGCAGGCAGAGTGATAGCATGACGTATTGTTGCAGGCAGAATGCTAGCATGACGTAATGTTGCAGGCAGAGTGATAGCATGACGTATTGTTGCAGGCAGAGTGATAGCATGACGTATTGTTGCAGGCAGAATGCTAGCATGACGTAATGTTGCAGGCAGAGTGATAGCATGACGTATTGTTGCAGGCAGAATGATAGCATGACGTAATGTTGCAGCAGAGTGCTAGCATGACGTGATGTTGCATGCAGAATGATAGCATGGCGTGATGTTGCAGGCAGTGATAGCATGAAGTATTGTTGCAGGACAGGAGCGACCAAGGCGACAACCCGGGAAGACAACGTACAAAGTAGCATCGCCTACGAGAGTATACGAGTCACGTCCAGCACGGAGTTCTGATCACTCACTCATTGGCTCTTCCAGTGGAGAAATCTTCACTATGGGCATCTCGCTACATATCATCGTTATGATCACAAAGTTGTTCGCAAACAAGACTTTACGCTCGCTCAAAGGTCATGTTGTACATTTAAAATCGTGACAAACATTTGGCATATCCAACAGCATGACACAAATAAGCGTTACATATATATGCGAGAACGGGTGATACTGTCATCATTACAACACAAACGCTTTGTGCGTCACAAACTGTGTCAGAAATATGTACATTGAACATCATGACACAACCACCTGGTATATTAGCGAGTGTGTGAGTTGGGTTTTACGCCGCTCTTAGCAATATTCCAGCAATATTCCAGCAATATCGCGGCATGAGGGCATCAAACGTCCTGACAAAAAATGTGGTAGATTAAAACATCATGACACAAACGCGTGGTTCATTAAACATAACACAAACACAGGGCATCAAACGTCCTGACAAAAAATGTGGTAGATTAAAACATCATGACACAAACGCGTGGTTCATTAAACATAACACAAACACAGGGGTGGAAATAACTTTAAAATTGCTAGTGTACTCCGGTACAGTGGCACATGTAAAATCACTTACCCTGATAATTGTTCCATTATACCGGCCGTTCCTGTTGATTTTTTAAATAAACATAATAATTAATATTGGAAAGTCAACTGGACACCAGTACAGTGTGATATACAAATTTGCTTGCCCGACAGTAAAAAACACTGGACTCGGGCGTCGGGAAATGGGTTATTTCCACCCCTGCAAACACTTAATCTACTTAACGCCATGACACTCAGACACCTGATCTAGCCACGTGTGAGTTAATGATGTTTAGTTGAGTGGTATAACGGTGTTGTAACCATCACGTGTTTCGGGTTTCGTACTCTCGACCTCTTGGTCAGGGATACATGCAATATCTCTGGCCTAGTGATATCTTTATCGAACAACGAGTGCTGGGCACTCCTTGACCCTCAATCCAGGTGTATTGAATGTCCATCCGTCTTGATAAAATATACTCATGGAAACAAATAAGGGAACACATGAAAGTACAAGTGTTCCTTTATTCTTTTCAAGGTTTCTTCACAAGGTATGTATTGCACTGTGGGTGAAATTCTGGGAATAAATAAAGGAACACTCGTACTTTCATGTGTTCCCTTATTTGTTTCCATGAGTATATATCAGTTTAGAATGGAGGTTCAATACACTTGATAATCGATGATGAATTCATACTCATTTTGTGTATACATGTGAAGCTGTGATGTTATTAAATGTAGTATTTATCTAATGTTTGTTTGTTTGGTATTATCATGCATAGGGGCATCCACTGACTGAGTTTGGTTTTACGCCGCTTTTAGCAATATTCCAGCAACATCACGGCGGGGAACACCAGATACGGGCTTCACACATTGTACCCATGTGGGGATTCGAACCCGGGTCTTCGGCGTGACGAACCAACGCTTTAACCACTAGGCTACCCCGCCGCCCCAGGGGCATCCACGAGTGTGCTTTTACGTGCCAGGATGTGACACAGTCCAGATACATTACTCACTCGCCGGTTCCTTCATGATTCTGTTTATTCCCCTTTTTAATCCTCAGTTTTTTTCGGCACCATAATTGAACTTGAGGGTTTTATCGAAGCAGTACACGTTTAAGATCTGACCGGAATTAAACCACTTCACTCACATATGTTTTATCGAGACATGGTTTCTAATCAAGAATATACACAAGTCCTTTGTTATGCATGTAAGTATTGACTGACTGACTGAGTTTGGTTTTCCGCCGCTTTTAGCAATATTCCAGCAACATCACGGCGGGGGACACCAGAAATGGGATTCACACATTGATGAACACAGAATTCATTTGTGGCAAACATACGGGGTCAGCCGGTTGCGTTTTACGGAAATATGCGAGGGGTGACGAATGCTCGGAATACACCATCTCTTGAGGATTAATTTCACGGCATGACCATTTAGGTGCCTGACTCACCGAGTTTCCTCTATTAACAAACAAGGGGCCCGTTTTACAGATCAATCCTATGTGAACACAATGTCTGGATGCGGGACATTCGTAGTCTTAAGACGGGATTCGGATGATTATTAACTTCAGTATAGTTGAAGATCCGGTTCATGTTGAAGACACACAGGACTGAAAGGCCGTTATCCAGCCTCATGTAAGAATGTCGAGTTTTGATTGGTTCACGTGACTCTGATAAAATACAATGTACACCCGTCACGATCCGCGAGCAGGGAGTACAAAAGTCGTATCATCCCGCGACGCCTCGGTGACCATGTGAAGTGAGAAAAGCGTGCATCGCCAAGCCTTTAGTAACGTGCGCTGCATTGAGGTCAATCGATCAGCTGGTGTCAACATGGCAGCAAGGAAACGTTTTGCCACAACTGAGAATGAAATTGATGCGTATTGTATTCTTTTGATTTAGTAAAAACATTCGGCTAGATAAATGCGTTATCACATCGTGTCTCGGGAAATACGGGGTTTTATCAGTCCCGAGTAAGGTTGTATTCCCCGAGCAGGAGGCGGGACTGATAAAACCCCGTATTTCCCGAGACACGATGTGATAACTTATAGTGTTCGTTCATTATTCATTTCGTATCTTTGATATTTGTTTAGTGGGATTTAATATAATGAAATTTACCATGGAGAAGCCGCTACGTGCAGCTGACTCTATTCCAAGTGGAGACCCGCCACCTGTCTCAGAATCTTATCCTATCTTTAATAGAGTTGGGCGGTGGGGTAGCCTAGTGGTTAAAGCGTTCGTTCGACACGCCGAAGACCCGGGTTCGATTCCCCACATGGGTACATTGTGTGAAGCCAATTTCTGGTGTCCCCCGCCGTGATATTGCTGGAATATTGCTAAAAGCGGCGTAAAAATAAACTCACTTTAATGGAGTAAACAGGGTTGGTTAAAAATAGAACTAAAGTGAAACATCATTGTGGCGAAAGTTAATGTGTCGAACGTACAGTTGTCTCGAAATAAAAGCTTGTTACTTGCATATTCCTTCTAAACTCACCATTTTTGTTTGTGTCGCACCATGGGTAACTCGAAGTATTTACGTGGGTCCTTTCACCGTCGACAGAGGCGACTAATTGGATCGGGTGGTCAGGCTCGCCGGCTTGGTTGACACATGTCATCGGTTCTTAGTTGCGCAAGTCGATGCTCATGCTGTTGATCACTGGATTGTCTGGTCCAGACTCGATTATTTACAGCCCGCTACCATATAGCTGGAATAGTGCTGAGTGCGGCGTAAAACTAAACGCACTCACTCACCCTCGACAAGAGGTTTGACTGAAGCTTAGAAAAGACGGGTGCCATTGATAATCAGTTACGAAGACATCTAGGGCTGAGTTTTTTTTAAAATGGCAACAGCTTGGTAGATTGGGTTTTTACACGTTAAACTGATACGTTAACGACATATATGGACTACAACCACCACTTTCAACGGATTGCGTAAACATGGCAGAAATTTGATTGAAGTACATGAATGTTATAGGAACACAATTGGGCTAGATAATATTTCTTACACATGACTTAAATATATTAAGTTAGTGCATGTATAGTTAACGATGTCAATCAATTCAGTGTAAGGTCAAGTTACGTGTATAATGTATCCAAATATACACCACATTTACAAAAGGAAACGAGAACGACATTATTTAATTATACCTTATATCATAAAACAAATACAATCCTCATTAAAAACTGAAACATTATGCTGAAGTAAGCACTCCATTTGTGCTCAGTGAGAAGTATGGGGACAAAACGCATTGAACGAATTACACTATTTACTTTTCAAGCGATTGAACGAATTGTGACTCATTCAGGGCCCCCAATTTAATCAGTTCAACGATATCACAGGGTACTGGATTTTCAATATCACTCCTTTCAACGGTTATGATTGTCAAGATTGAAAATTTATGTAGTTTGGTCAAAGCAGTGAAAATTACAGAAACAACGGGGATGTAGCCTAGTTTTCGCAATAACGCCGAAGTTTCGATTCCCCACATGGAAACTGTGTGTCAATCCCCTTGCTGGTGTCCCCTACCGTGACATTGCTGGAATATTGCTAAACGCGGCGTAAAATCCAGATCACTCACTCCTATAAACTATCTAAATGAAGAATACTTGTCAAAAATGTAATTTTATCGTGATGATGTCCAAATAAAAGTGTTATTACATTTATTGCTTTAAATAATACAGTGAATTATCGGTATTTCCAGTCGTATGCGAATCGGATTTTGTGTGGTAGCATAAATTACATATTCCCAGAACCAGGCAGCATAAATTCTCTCTCTCGCAACATTTGCTTTAGAGTTACTTCCCTTCGAGAACTCTTCAGAAGCACCTGTCATTACAAGTAAACAAACTATGTCGGCCGGGGAAGTTGGGGTGAGTTGTGTCTTTCAGTAGTGGAAACGGCCACAGGATAGTAATTTACTTGGCTTCTAGTTCCATCTTTAAGTTAAAGTCTGATATGCTCAAATCTGAATACACATTGTTTTAGGCGATTACCTTCGGTCAGCGCCAAAATCCTGAATCGATTTGTTCTAATCAAAAAGGACATTGATTGTAGATCAGATGTAATGCATAGGCGGATCCACGTGTGTGTGCGTGCGTGCTTGTGCGTGCGTGCGCATGCAGGGGCTCATATCCTATTTTTTGTCCTGAAAGGTATATTAAATGACCATTGAAACATGACCATTGAAACTCGTAAAAAATGTGCTGCCCCCTTCCTAAAAAAATGTATTGTAGTGATCAGTGCTTCCGCACTCGTGCATCGGGTAACATTGGATTGGCCATCTGATGCTGCTCGTATGTTTCCGGGTGTGATCGAGGCACGTGATCAACTTACCCGCCTAATCTGACAGGTGACAATTAACAGATCGAGACCAGACACTGACGAGAACAGACGCTAAATTGCAGTACATCCATCTATGCTTACGAAGCAAGGTAAACGCCTTTCCCTAGCACTAGGCTTTCACAACAGTATCCTGTAATTATGTCGTAATATGCAAAATATGTAACAAATGAATTTTAAGAAAATAGACCTTCCTATGCCAGGTATAAGGTATGCGTAAATGGCGCTGTGAACAGGATAAAGCCTTTGTGAAATTTGTGACAAGAAAAATATGTCACACGACAATGGGAAAGGACTGATGAATGGGTCACGTGATGTCCTTTTATAGAGCAAAACTCGCTGTATGGAGCGTTTTAAGCTTTTTCAATGTACAGATTATTCTTGGGTATGCCATTTGCCATAGTTTATTGCTGGTACAGTTCTGTTATCTTGCCTGCAATGTTGTGTGTGTGCATCTGTAAGTCTGGTAGTGTTAGGTAAGGGTAGCTTACGCTTAGCGGCTGAGTTGTTTGTCCTCCGGGGAACGATATCGTTCACTTGGTTCTGGTTTGTGAAGCCTGTAAGTCCGGTTGCTGACAATATGCCGTCCACTTTAATGCTCTGTCCTTCATACGAACGGCAACATTCTACTGGTCCGCAGTCAGTATATTCGGCAACGTGGAGCATTCTTCACGATCAACTGGCGCTCTATGCTTCTTCGGACAATGGGCATCGCAGTCTGCTGCCATTGCCTCGCCCTGTCAGCAACGTGTAGCACAGTATTGTTTGGGTTGGTATCAGTTCTCTATCGGTGGTGGCTGTGGTTGATCGTATGTCTCGGGTCTTCTCTGCCGCCATGGTCTCTTTTGCTCAGGTGTAGACTCATCACATGGGCTGTAACCTCCACCTTCTATCCTTTGACATATATAGAGTTTGTCTTATCCATAATATTGGCAACCCTTTAGCTAGGTTAGTTTAAGGTTATACAGCTACCATATAAGTACCAATAGGTCAGCTTGTCTTACCTCAGGTTGTAGTACAAGAGCAAGAATACTGCAGGGAAGGCTCGAACACTTATGTTCCTTTCCCAACTGTATCCGTTCCAAAAATGGGGTTATTTATAACTTGTACTAAATAATCATATATTAAGTATGGTTGTTGGATTATTTCAGATAATCCAATCATGCCACCAGTATATATTAATCTGTGCTCTGAGGAGGAACTCAGGCTTATTCCGGGAATAGGGATGAAACTGGCCCGGAAAATTGTGGAACTCAGAGAGAGCCTCGGTGTACTGACGGAGGAGGATTTCCGTGATCTCCCCTCTATCAGGAACCCTGAGCAGGCTCTTAGCGCCATCTCCTTCAGCGGTGGAATATCCTGGTATTTCAACTGCAGGCTCTTGGTCTCCGAGGATGGTGGAGCAACAGGCTTCAGGGCAAGCTGCACCATCCACATCCAAATCTAAATCAGTTTTTGGACAGTTTACCCCTGTCACCGAAGGTACACCAGGTAGATTGTCCGATACTGATCAAAGGTTCCAGAAACCAGTCACCAGTACTGACGCTGAGGCTATTGAGTCCAACTTAAGACAGTTGGAATATCACGGAAACCAACTTGCAGGCCAGGCGAGAGGACTTACTCCACAAAGTCATAGTGCTCTCTATGACCAGTGGCAGGCGGCCTCTCATGATTTCAACAGGGAAATGGAAGCTTTTACTGATGTTCTTGCCAATCCGGAAGCCAGTGGCCCTAAAGATCCGGTATCTGGCCATCTTGCCAAGGCACCCATGCCTAACCCTCATTCTGTGGTACATGGTATGGACGTGTCCGGCAGAGTTCAAGGACAAAGCCCAATACTGAGGAGATCGACCCTAGGGTCCTCCAAGGTGCTGATGGGAATGTCCATCAGAGACATGCTCTAACCCCTGGGTATAAGGAACGGAGGGGGATAGGCCAAACCAAAAGAATGGCCCCTCAACCAATCCTATTTAACTCAGCCCAGGGGAAAAACACACGTGAAACCCCATCCACCCCAGGGACAGCTGTATCCAGGTCCCATCGTCCTCTAGCTGTACGAGATGACAGTCTACGAGAGAGGGCATCGAGAAGCAGGGAAATCTCCGATAGAGAATCAGATGGAGATGAATATCTGTTTAAGCGGAACGGGAGCGACCCCGTTGGGCCTCCTACTTCCAGTACCCCTGCTTGGCCTAGAGAGGTAATATATCTGGAATCTGGGACAGAATATGGTTTGTCAAGATATACAGATGGGTACCCTAGGATTAACCATGCCTTAAGGGATTATCCTGTATATGAAGACACACATGACCATTCTTATGGTAGCCATCAACGTTCCCACTCCCAAAGGTCTCACATATATGTAGACCATATGGACCATGAGCCAAGGGAGTATTATTCCGTAGAAAGTCCTAATCGATGCCGGGTGGATGCTACACATCCTGTGGCCCGTAAGCCAATCAGTTGCGGGGAACTCCAGCCACTACGGGATCATTCTAGATATGTTGATGATGGTCTCGCACCTGCCCCCAGAGATAGGCAGAGGATGTGTAAACCTCTACGTAACGAGAGGGTCGACAGGATCCAAAGAGCTCCTCATCGTCATCAAGCCGCCTGGAGAGAACCGTTAGGCTACTCTTCGGATAGCGACTTAGATGAGGTTCATCCTAAACATATTGTGAGGAGGCATCGAGCAGATGGGGATAAACCAACAGCTTCACTACCTTGGATGTTATATGACGGTAGTACAAGATGGTCCTCCTTTTATATGAAATTTCAAAGTTTTGCTCGCTCTCAGTCATGGAAGGATGAAGAAAAGTTAGATCAGTTGTGTTACTGCCTAACCGGTAAAGCAGCTGACTTCTTTGCCTTATTGCTAGAGAGGGATGAGTTCATCTCCTTCCAAGGAATGGTGAAGAAACTGGATAGGTGGTTTGGGAAACAATGTCATGCAGAGACTGCCCAGCTGCAGTTTCCAAACCTTCGTCAGAACTCGGACGAATCCTTGGAAGAATGGGCGGAGCGTGTACTCCAAGTCGCGATTGCTGCCTTTCCGGATTTACCAGATGACTTTGTGGAACAACAAGTGGTGCGGAGATTCTGCCAAGGATGTGCTAATAAAGAAGCTGCCCACTATGTTTCAAACCTGGGATTGAGAACTCTGGAATCAGCCATGGATGCTGTACAGAAATACTTCCAGAACACCCAGGCCGTATATGGTAGACCAGTCATTAGGCGAGATGTGAAGCAATCAAACTTGGCCAATGATTCCGAGGAAGATGACTACTTGGTGTCGCAAATGACTTCTCAATCAAATCACACCCCTTCTCAGGATAAATGGCAAACTCCATCACAACCCTTAAGGTACAATGTGGGGGAATGTTTGACCCACCTGGAAGCTCGGGTTGAGGAGATGTCAGCAGACATACGGAAGTTGACAGTCATCTTGAGTCGACGGTTTAGAAGCCCCTCATCATCGCCAACGCGATCGGGGGAGTGCTTCAAGTGCCGGAAAACAGGCCATTGTGTCCCCTCACCACCCGACCACTGCCCACAACATCTTGTACTACCGGGACAAGGACTTCAGTGAGACAGTGAAACTTGTCTGTGAGTAGTTTCACATAGTACAACACTGGCGGATCAAACTGCTTGGCAATCCAAGATACAGAGACTTTGGTAATGGCACTGATAATTAATGGAATCAACCTACTGGACAGTGGAGTGTTTCAGTGTATAGCAGGGCAGGTGTTGGCATCAATGGACAATGGCTTGTTGTTTATGGCTACGACCAAGTAACCAGTCTCTGCTCTATACCGATGTATTGCCACCAACACCCATGGTAATGCCTCAGAAGAGTCATCATCAAGACACAGAGTGCAGCCACCACAGAATATCACTGACATCCTAGGTACCAGTGCCATCCTGCAGTGGTGTGGTGTCACCTGTGATCATAACATCCAGGTCATGGGTCTTCTACAAGAAGCCGGATTATGTGCAACAGCCAATCAGCAATGGAGGTCGACATCTCATCACACCACAGGGCAGTCTCATCATCACTGGAATTGCTGGTCAGGACTTCAGTTGCTACAAGTGTCGGGTCATCTCACCAGGGGGCAATGACAACAGAGTAGCAATGATTGTAAACAAGTCCCGACGTATGAGGTCTTCAAGCTGTCAGATACTACAAGCTCAGGATCAGTGCAGTTGACAATGTTTAGGTGGGCAACTCCAGTCAGCCTAAACCAGATCCAGTTCTACCGAGTGTAAGACAAACATTCAGAGAAATAGGATTCCCTAATCTAACTTTTTCCGGACTGTAACTGAGTCCACCGATCTGGTGTAGATTCCAAGTGAAGCGTTGTCGTAAATCTAACTTGATCAGGACTGTAAATGAGTTCATCGATCCGGTTTAGATAATTGGACTATTAGACTAATCCATTCATCTTTTAAGTTATGCGAACTGACTCGGTTGCCACCAAACAACCTGGTTGGGGATTTTCTTATTCAGATGTATAACCTACTTTAATCATGAGTTACGTGAACTGTCTCGGTTGATAGCACAACACTGCTGCCCAACCCTGCAGGGATTTTCTCATGTCTTTGTGAGGTCACCTGTTAGATCCTCCCTTAGACATACTCACTGCAGTCCTAGTGGGGGGCAAGTCCAGAAAAGAGGGAGGAATGTAGTGATCAGTGCTTCCGCACTCGTACATCGGGTAACATTGGATTGGCCATCTGATGCTGCTCGTATGTTTTCCGGGTGTTACCCGCCAAATCTGACAGGTGACAATTAACAGATCGAGACCAGACACTGACGAGAACAGACGCTAAATTGCAGTACATCCATCTACGCTTACGAAGCAAGGTAAGCGCCTTTCCCTAGCACTAGGCTTTCACAACAGTATCCTGTAATTATGTCGTAATATGCAAAATATGTAACAAATGAATTTTAAGAAAATAGAACGTCCTATGCCAGGTATAAGGTATGCGTAAATGGTCGTGATGTACATCTACCTTTTATGATGATTTTCAACTTCTGCATCTCTAGGACTTGCATATCAGTAATTAAACCTATTCTAACACCAGGAACCTTTCCTGTGGTTCCTGCAATATCAAATTACCCGCCCTTGATTTCCATTTGATGAAACTTTTGTTCTTGTAAGCAAGAACATACTGTCTCATTCATTTCATTTTCATTTTAACAGGAAGAGGTGTTTGTTTGCCATGAAGCTGATCTCGTAGGATCTGACAGAAAACGAGTGACGGTGTGTGGGAGAGATGTGTTCATAGTCAAAGTGAGAGGACAGTTCTATGCCATGGATAGTTTCTGCTATCGTACGTATAAACCTTTGAAGTTTCATATTTTTTAAAACCAAATATCTTTACTCACTTAAATGTTTGTTTGTTGTTTAACGACGCACTAAGCAATATTCCAGCTATATGGCTTCAGTCTGTAAATAAATCGAGTCACGACCAGACAATCCAGTGATCCACATCATGAGCATCAATCCTACTTTGCATAAGATTGACCACCCAATCAAACCGTCACCTCTTACGTCAAGCATGGGTTGCAGTAGACCAATTCTATCCTATCCTGGATCTTGTTGAACATGATCATTGATTAAGCACAAATTTCTTCATTAAAAGACATTACCTTGATCAAAATAACAATTTCATAAAAGTTCAATTTCAACAAGGGAGACACAGCACAAGATGCAGGGTGTACTTTCGATGGATGTAGTCACAGAGGGTGACACACTTAATTTAAAAAATGCCAAATATGATCCAGTCCTAAGAAAATTTCTCTGCCCACCATCTCACTCTAAAATAAGTAAACAATCCCTGAAAAATGGTATTTGTTGTTGCCTTGACTAAAGCTTGCCATTAATAAAATGAATCAAGGACTCGGGTATATTGACAAGCCAAATATTGACATATGGACATGATACTATATAAGTGCAATAATCTTGAATACGACATTAAACCCCATCCATTCACCTCACCTCATCCATTCACCTCACCCAATCCATTCACCTCACCTCATCCGTTTACAGAAAAAAATTACACTCACTTCGACTCGACCCAACTCAACTCAACTCCCATGTTGAACAAACTTTCTAACCTGCACTGTTTCCTTATACTGTAGATGCAGGAGGCCCTCTACATTCAGGACAGATTGAGGTAGGAACATTTCTGTTTAGCCTGTTGGCCAGGGATACTTACAGTGTGACTTAAACATCTCACATGTATCAGATAATCAACCGATCTCACATTGTCAATATCTGAGATCTCAAAGTATTTCTTTATTCAAAAATAACATTGTCATCCTTGGACCTCTTTTGTTTGCGTAAAGAAAATGAAAATTTATGGATATCAATAATTAGATTTTCATCCCTCCCCATCACACTGTTGTACCAACTACCTCCTATCATTTTGCTGCAAAGAACATCCTCCTTTGTGTACTTCATGAGTTGTTTTGTAGTCCTGACACATTCATGCTTCACATGAATCATACCCGTCGACAGTTAATGATTGCTTGATGTTGGTTTAATGATAACTGCTCTTGCATGTTTATAAAAAGTTTGGATGAAAATCTTGTTATACATTGCTGCCTATATCTTTCTTGATGAAATGTATCTAAAGTTTTTCTGAATTTTAGAAAATAAAACATCTACCTTGTTGCCACTGGCAAGTGGAACATGGTATACAAGGCTCGATTTGAGAGATGTTAACCTACTTGCACCAGGTGCAACCTAAGATAAAAACCTAGTAGCTCCAGCCAAATTCCAGTTGCAATGAAGTGTGTTAAAACATCAGAGGTTTCAGTGCACATAGACATATTTCCGTGATGTTGTACCCATGAAACCATAGCAACACAGAGACACAGAGTCCAGTTTACTGCACCTGTCATAGCCAAGAGGTGTCTATAAATGGCAATGTTTTGCTGCTATTGCTATTCAAAGTTTAGAAGAAATATGAGCTGACATATTTATGCTTATAATGTTAGATTTATTGTTGATTTATTTCTCGAAACTTGACTTGCACCTGGTGCAAGTTAGACCAGAGACCATATATGGTCTGTGGTTAGACTAATAACTAGGTTGCACTTTGTAATATTTGGTTGCACCAGTGCAAGTAACAAAGCACTAAATCGAGCCCTGGTATAGTAATATGCTGTTCATATCACCCAGTAGATTTCTAAGAGATTTTAAGGTCATTAATAACAGATGGTCAGATCACTTTGATGAGGAAGAACATTTACGTTCAGTGCCAACTGGCACGCAGGTCAATGATGTGATGGTATGCTAAAAATTATAGTAATGAAGATTTTTTTGTTTCAAGGAGTTAATTTTTTCTTCCAGGACATTGGTCAGTGGACCTGTGTACGATGTCCTTGGCATAACTATATGATCTGTGTGGCCAATGGAGAAGGAATATATGAGGTAGGTCGTGACATACCACAGTTTACAGATTTACGTAGCAGCCCAAGATCGCCCTGAACTCTGCAGTATGGTTTACGTTGGAGCATCGTTTGTTGATCTGGAGAGTTTATAAATAATTGTTTAACACTCTTAATGTTTCATAGCTCTGAAGACACAATACATTGAGGATAATGCACAATGTATTCATTACAAATAGGGCGGTTAGGTAGCCTAGATATTATTCGCTCTTCATGCTGAAGCCCCAAATATATTCAAACTGCAAAAACATTTATTGCAATTTTATCTTTATAGCCAGCACGTTTGTAATGCACACACTTAATGCATGAGATTCACATTTGCATTGCAGAAAGTAGGTTTTCAAACTGTAAATAGCTTTACTATAACCTGAAATATAACATTATGTGATGTAAATTACATGTCTTGCTGATGAACTAACAATATGAGGTACTAATATTCCTCAATTCCAAGTCCTCAGCTGATTGATGTCTATATTACTCTTTCAATTTGTTTTCCCAAAATATGAACAAATATGTTTCTGATCATAAGTATTGGGCGAAGGTATTATCTCAATATGTCTATAACGGGTGTGGCATCTGATGAAACATTCTGTGATGTCCTGGAGCATGCCATCTTTAATTTCAGGCGACAATGAGTTTGTATGTTGTCAATTTGTACAGATATATTCACAAACAATGAAAATGAAACAGTTGGCACAATTTCATTCAAGTAGATCTTTCACTCTCAAATGATAACTTCCACCATCTCAAGGCACCCAATGCAGGTGGCTCCAGGTGAATATCAAGCCAACTCTGTCCCATTTAAGTAAAGGGTGTTTGACCTCTTCTCATAGTTGCTGCCATGATTAGGAAATTTTGGATGACTGCAAAGTAAAATAGCTAGTGAAGGCATATTTATCATTTTTAGTAAATCCTTTTGAGAAACATCAATACAATATATATACGGTAACAGTTGTCGGACTTCTTTTTTGTGTAGAAGACACAGTGGCTGACTGGGTTAGATTGTCGACTTTGTTTTTGGGCGATTAGGGTGTGATTTCCAATCCTGGATGGAACTCAACCAAAAAAAGTGCTAGAATCTGTACTTTACTGAGAAAGTGTAATCCTAAATATAGCATGTTACATTTGACCATTTGCTGAAAGACAATGCAAATTCATAACATGCAATGCAAATATTAGCAGTGCTATATTACTTTGTGATCAGAAAATCCATATCTATTGGTTCCGAGATATAAAAATGCTTAACTGAACATTCTAAATCCTTTATTGCATTCACATAAAATCAAAGAAGCCTCAGTGTTGATTTCCTGATGGGATCGGGTGGTTAGGCTTGCTGACTTGGTTGACACACGTCATTGGTTCCCAATTGCACAGATCAATGCTCATGCTGTTGATCACTGGATTGTCTGGTCCAGACTCGATTATTTACAGACAGTCGCCATATAGCTGGAATATTGCTGAGTGCGGCGTAAAACTAAACTCACTCACTCACTCCTGATGAGAAAGTTAACATGACACAGCCTCCATTAGATGTGCCATGGAGTCTTTATATAGAGGTGGACCGCCTCCGTGGTGTAGTGGTTAGAGCGTCCGCCCGGAGAGCGGAAGGTCGCGGGTTCGATCCCTGACCACGTCATACCAAAAGACGTTAAAATATGGTACTTGTTGGTCCCTGCCTGGCGCTCGGCATTAATGGGTACAACAAGGACTGGTCGGCTCGGAGTCAGTATAATGGCTCTGAGTGGGGTATTCATGCTTCACTGCGGCATGGTATCTCAGTGGGCTAGCACTATAAAACCAGCTTCAGTCTGGGCTAGTACAAGCAGCCACACATACACATACACATGCATGCACGTCGTCATATGAGTGAAAAATATTCTCAAGCACGACGTAAAAACCCAATTTCACCTCACCTTATAGAGGTTTCACATTGGAGTCAAAGACCTGATTTCTATCAGATTGCAATCAGTGTGAAGCAAACAAAATGTTCGGTTTGGAGAACTAAAAGTATTTTCCTGTAGGATGACATTTTGCTTTTTCTATTCACAGTCAATTGATCCATTCAACTTGAATAAACCTCCAGAAATGAAGTCGAAAGGCGTGAAGCAGAGGACACATGCTGTGATACGACGGGATGGCAAGCTGTTTGTCAGGCTGACCAATATAGACAATACCGTGGAATCTGACCACTACAACTGTCCTGAGTACAGGGAAAAATACAATCTGAGGTGACCCTGGGAAAGTAACAAGTTATCCATTTACATAGGATGGAAGTACCGTGGATAGGGATGCTTGTGATCCTTTGGAAAGTAATGGTTTCAGACTCTTGTGATGTTGAGTGTATCACAGAGATGACCTAGAAGAGAAGAATACTGTCGGAGGTGATCCTGGGAATGACAAAAGTAATCTCTTTACATGGGACTGAAATACAAGGAACAGAGGTGCTTGTGATACCAGCAGACGTTAAAATATGGTACTTGTTGGTCCCTGCCTGGCGATCGGCATTAATGGGTACAACAAGGACTGGTCGGCTCGGAGTCAGTATAATGTGTCCGAGTGGGGTATTCATGCTTCACTGCGGCATGGTATCTCAGTGGGCTAGCACTATAAATCCAGCTTAAGTCTCGGCTAGTACAAGCAGAGGCACATACACATACACACGCATGCACGTCGTCATATGAGCGAAATATTCTCAAGTACGACGTAAAACCCAATTTCCCCTCACCTCACCTTGGAGTGTAATAGTTTTAGACTCTTCTGGTGTTGATTGTATCACAGAGATGAATTAGATGGGAAAATTACAATCTGAGGTGATACTTGAAAAGTAACAAGAAGCAATCCATTTCCACAACTCACAAATCCAGGGAACTCCTCATTGCACTCTTTGCCATGTGCTGTTTTTGGAAAAGATTGCTTTCAGCATTGTTCCGTTCAGCTGTGAAACTTTGTAATTTGTATCATGTGGATAAGCTGGAGGTATGTTCCACAACTCAGCACCAGCTTTGGAAGCAGCTCTGTCACAATGGTAGCTGTATGTGTGGAGTGTACAGCAGAGCTCCAGATAAGATTTAGCTCATGTGGGTACTGTACCCACTGTATTTTTTTGGAGTGGGTATTATGAATGTTGAGTGGGTATTTCATTTTCTGTTACCCACTGCTTTCAAATATGTGCGTATTTCAGTCATTTTACTCACCTAAGTATTATGTGACTGAGTAAGTTTACTAAGCAAGTATGTTCTGCCTTATGTCATACCTAATCAAAACCAACTTAAATATAATGGAAATCAATTCATAAAATATCACTCATCCTATACCGACAGTACAACACTTGTCCTATACTAACAGTACAACTTGATAGCAATTGATGTCTTTTTCATTACGCAAGCGATTTTTATAAATATATTCCATACGCATTTGTTTTAAACTTTTTGCGTATCTAACATTTTAAATGCGTAATTGGTCCGCGACAATTATTTTTCAATGCATAATTGGAAATTTTATATGTGTATTTTACCCGGATACGCAGCTTATCTGGGCCTCTGGTGTACAGTACACATTGCACAGGGATCATCAAGTCTCGTGTTGGCTGGTACAGCAGCACATAAAGTGGACATTGTTCATAGTGTCTTTGAAGGCTGGTAAGGAGTGATGAGCATTTGCAAGTATTACTGTTGTATTAGATTCACTGATATACATGAAGTTCTTCCTGAATTAGGCTGCTCATGAAAGAAATAAAGTTACTGGTTTATCCAGAACCCAGTTAAGTCAGATTTAGCTCAGACAATGTATTTATCTGTTTTACAGTCATCAAGACAGAAAAAGAATAAAGGTGACAATTAAGTCTATATACAGAATCTCACCCGAGTGTCTTTTGATATCAAATATATCACCACGAGTTGATAAAGTAACAAATATCCGAGGCTTGCCAAGGTTATTTTTACTTTTATCAACGAGTGTTGATATATTTGATATCAGAAGAAACGAGGGTGAGATTCTATTTATCATAAAAAATCACTCTTCATTAGTTTTCAATTAAAAATGTACATCTCTGAACACAGTACTGTCATTAGATTTGCAGTGCAGCGATGTCAAAGCATTGTGACGTCATCAAGTTCATGACCTCATAGAATTGTCAGGGCACTGTACAAAATCTACTGCCAAAACGATATCTCCTAGGAGATATCGTCTGATCTCACACAAGCGATATCTCCTGTGGAACACAGTTTTGGATGATAATTCAATTTATTCTTCAAAACTATGTTGAGCAGTGTTTCTTAAGCTTATCTCATCATTAGATCTATACTGTCTTTCCTAAAGATACAGGTCTGCACAGCACATAATGTCCCTGACTGACCACTCACATATTCAACACCAGTTTGTTACATTAAGTCAAAACTGCAGGATTGATCAGATACAACAGACTGATGTGTCGTTACACCTTACTCAACATATTCATTACAGCTAGCCCAAACTACAGAATCCTAAAATTATCTCCTACAAAACCCCATATATTAAAACATAATAAACTAAAATGAGTATTTCAACACTTTTATTTTTTTCTGTTAAAAGCTTATCACAGAGATGATTGTACAGCTATGTACAACACAATGCCCTATACAGACACAGGGACGACATCAGCAACAAGCTTCACGCCGACCTTCACCTCAGACAGTATCCCAGCAAAGACGTGCAAGACAAATAGGACATACATGTAACACGATCAGACAACTCAGCCAGTAACAAAATGTCAAATAAAATAAACAAATGAAAACTTTCTACCTTATTTAAATTAAACAAAATTTAAGCAAATATCAAAGCTTGCCAAATCAAAATGTTGGTCATTTGCCAACTGATAATGCAATGTCTTAAAACACAATCATGTTTGAAAACATAAATTTAATTCATGCATGTGGTGTTCATATAAAAACACAGCTACAATCTGGATATGTTGAGAATTGTAATATTTAGTAAATTCTGGATATTACCATCAACTCACGATCTTAGCCCTATAACTTCCATAAGTCTGTCACAGCGCTAAGACCGTTAAGATGTTTAAAGTTGTGTTCGAGTTGACTATGTTTCTCTGCACAAAAATAAACATTCACATTGGTCCAAGATATCTCTCCTGGCTTTCATCTACATCAACAGCCACACACCCAGTCTTGTCCTAATGCCAGCATGCGAAATAGTAACCTGCTCACCAGCCAATCTCCAGCAATATTTTAGTTTAACTAAAGATAATGAAATTTCTGTAGTCTGACTTTGTAATTTTTGTATGCTAACCTCTTAGTTGATCAAAATAAAACAGAAACATTTCTGTAGATTATTGCGACATTAAAAATATTAATAAATCAAATAAATATCCATAATAAATTGAGGTTGCAAAAATTAGTGTTTCCCTTCCAGCTTACTTTCTGAAATTTCTGAAAAAAATAAAATGTTGTCTATCAAGGCTGGTTAAATTTGAAACTTGCTAGAAGATTTAAAGCTGGCAACACTTCTGAGAGTCTTTCACATGCTGCTCAACACGTTCACTTACGTTTGAATAGCATCATCATGTGACACATCTCTCATCATCACGTGACATATCTCTCATCATCGCGTGATACATCTCTCATCATCGCATGATACATCTCTCATCATCGCATGATACATCTCTCATCATCGCATGATACATCTCTCATCCTCTCATCATCGCATGATACATCTCTCATCATCGCAGGATACATCTCTCATCGCACGACACATCTCTCATCATCGCCTGACACATCTCTCATCATCACGTGATACATCTCATCATCCCGTGATACATCTCTCATCATCGCGTGATACATCTCTCATCATCGCGTGATACATCTCTCATCATCGCGTGATACATCTCTCATCATCGCAGGATACATCTCTCATCATCGCAGGATACATCTCTCATCATCGCGTGACACATCTCTCATCATCGCGTGATACATCTCTCATCATCGCGTGATACATCTCTCATCATCGCGTGATACATCTCTCATCATCGCATGACACATCTCTCATCATCGCATGATACGTCTCTCATCATCGCATGATACATCTCTCATCATTGCATGATACATCTCATCATCGCGTGACACATCTCTCATCATCGCATGATACATCTTTCATCACCACACAGGATACATCCATCTAATGTATCTCATTCGAACATGACATGTGACACATCACATTTGACACATGTCATCTCTTGTACGCGTACACACACTTTCCGATTACAAGTACAAAACTGTACAGCAAATGACATGATCTTGCATCAATTATATTTCAGGGATAGTAATGAGCACTTTCTGAAATTAGCTTCCCTTCGTTAGCCATTTCCCGAAGGATAACGCAAGGTAACACCAACGTACCAGGAAATTTGCGCAATAAAAGTATTTTCGGATGGTAAGGTATTTTCATAGTTTTCATTTAGTTTGCACTAAATTCTTGTTATCTTGAATATAATATACCAGACTCCCTAACATGTAAGATGCTTTGAAAAATAAAAATATGTCTTTTTTTCCCTTCTTGGATATGATATGAATTTAATCAACAAACATCTTGTAAACAATATTTCAGTATCAAATAAGGCCAGACCAATTTTATTTCTTTTGTTTTATGAAATGTTGTCCCCAGAAAACCTAAAGGCAGGAGGGGAAAAAAATAATAATAAAAATCACCAGTCAAAGTATTATTCCTTTTAAATACTAAAAGTATTTTAATTTTGGCAATTTATGAAGTGTATATGGGGCAAAAAACAATCTAAAAACATTTTCTTGGAATTTGCATTTTTGGCTGATAAAAGTATTAAAATTTTATTTTTTGAGCGGGGAAAATTAATTTATATTTTTTTTCTTATTCTTGAAAAAATACAACCGGCAGATACGTAAAACAAGAAATAAAATTGGTCTGGCCTAATCCAGTAATAATCATTGATTTGCATGTAAAACAACACAATGTCTAAAGCAATGAAACAAGTGGACTACACCCAGTCACGACAACAATGTAAGCACCCACTGTAATCATGTTACACAGTCAGGAGACATTAAAGCCAGTTACACCATCAAATAAATGTAAAATTGTTATTTCCTCCACTGAATAAAAAAAGACAAATATCGCGAGCGGAAATGATGTCACATCTTGATCAGCCTCATTAAAATCAGATCATTTGCTCCAAAAGGATTGACAACCCCTCATAGGAAATCGCAGCAGATGAGTGAGTATGGTTTTACACCACTTTAAGCAATATTCCAGCTGTATCATGATGGTGTACAGAAATGGGTTGGTTGGATGGTTGGTCATTTAACACCGCACTCAGAAATATTCCAGCTATATGGCAGTGGTCTGTGTATAATTGAGTCTGGACCAGACAATCCAGTGATCAACAGCATGAGCATCTATTTATACAATTGGGATATGATGACATGTGCTAACCAGGGCCTAGATTTTTTAAGCTCTCTCAGTGCTAAGACAGTTGTAACTGCCATACACTAACATTAACTTACGACTATCTTAGCGCTAAGAGAGCTTCGAAAATCTAGACCCTGGTCAGTGAGCCTGACCACCAGATTCTGTTAATTGCCTCTTACATCAAGCTTGGGTCGAGAAATGGGCTTCACTCTTGTATTCATGAGGGTAACCAACCCTGGGTCTTTTGAGTAACTAGCTACTTTAACCACTAGCCAGGGTAAAACATGAGAAGTTTAACCAATCTAAATTGAGGATGTTTGGGTTGTTCATCCTATCAGATGTTGGCTTTCTGAAATAATTTAGCTACATTTCTTTGCCACCTCAATGCATAGAGTTTGATCTCTGCCAAAGAATCCACCCCAATATAACCCCATATACTCCCCCTTTATTGTGTAGATGCAATGGTAATCAGAAGAAAATATCCAAAACATATAACAATTGGACAAGGATTTTCTTTTTGCATTCAGAACTCCCCAGTTAAATTCATTTTCAGGATGGAGAAATCAAATTGCTTGTTTGAAGGCTTCACTCACTCAAACTGAGAATTAAAAAGACAACACTGATAAGCTGATCAGTTACCAGACGTGAGGTGTTTCATGCTGAACAGATACACCTTGGGACAGATCTGATTTTAATGAGACTGCATTTTCCCTTTGGCCCTTGAGCTTGTGGGATGATGCTATAAGAGAGGGATGCGAGATATGCCAATTATGACTATGTACATGATATATTTACAGTACAGTATGACGATAAATAAACAAAGGGTATGATAAACAAATTGATAAACAGCCAGTGTGGTCTACAGAAGACACAGTACAGTCAAAAATCGTTTTGTCAAAGTTGAAGGGCGTACATGAATCCTTCAACTAATCCAGAATTCAAAACAGAAAAATGTATGAATTAAAAAAGAAATGGAAGGGCCCAAGCTTTTACTTCAAAACAACCATAAGTTTGACACAACAGTGTTAGACTATATCAGTGTATTCCAAGAAACAGGCTTGTCTTCACTTCACATGACAAATGACACAGGTTAAATGGTTATGGAATATGAAACGTACATATATTCTGTGTAATCATTGGTCGGCTTGATGGAGTTGAAACATTACATGAGGTGTCCTTGAAATCAGAAGCTACTATATGATATGCTGATCCAATAATAGATCTGCATGATGACGTGTCGGAACACATTGTGTCTTACTTCACTGATGCCTTGTTCAAGCATCAGACTATCCTTGTCTTGTGTTTCTCATCACCAGCGGGATGGCAGGAAGAAAAAAAATATTTTTCACTAATTTATTTTACAGAATTATAAAATTTTGATCACTTGGTCAGTATTTTTAAATCAATTCATGATGTCATTCGGGTCACTTTCCTTATGATTTATATTAAAAATAAATAAAGATGATGAATGATCAAGCTGACCTGGAATTTTCATGATCTGGTTAGAGTGTTTCTATTTGTCACATCAGGACATAAATTTCAACCTCACATGGTGAAATTATGCTAAAAAAAACCCCAGAAAATTCAGGGTGGGTGGAAGATGGACAGGCTGGAGCTAACTATCAAGAACCATTGGGTGAATTTGTGATTGAAACCAAAACCATAGGATCCTGGCATACCAAAGGGATGCAACTCTACACAGTGAATTCTGCCTTACATGTTGGGCCAGCTATGCCCGGATATGTTTAAAAAAATGTAAACCAGACCAAATGGTAATTTAAGATTTGTTTTACATCCTTCAAGGGAATAAAGGACACTATTATGAATACTGATGTTAAGCTGTATCACATTCCCATTATACAACAGCAGAACCCTGACGTCCTGTCGTTTATGAGTGAGTATGGTTTTACGCCGCTTTTAGCAATATATCAGCAACATCACGGCAGGGGACACCAGAAATGGTGTTCAAGCATTGTACCCATGTAGAGAATTGAACCTGGACGTTCAGCATGATGATCGAACTCTTTAACCACTAGGCTACCCCACCGCCCCGTCTACTTTGTGAGCTAATACTCCAGAGTTACTGGGTCTACCAAGACCTTTTGACCTATAAATATGGTTTATGTACAGAATACCATTACTTGGGCTCAATAGTTCCCTGTTAAGCTGCCCAGAATGTTGTCTGTGATTCACATCTCCTGCCCACCCTGAATTTTAATTCCAGTGTGAAAGACTAAGTAGTTTTCTTATCTCTACTTTTGAAAATCTTTCTGGAAATTTATGCTCAGATGTGATAAAAAAATACGTACTTTGACAGTAATGAAAAAAAATCGCGGTCAGACTGTCTTTCATCAACGGCATTTAACTAAACAATTGTTCATGAACTCAATCGACAAATAAAATAAATTGACAACTATTACCAAGTGATCTACATTTTAAGATTTCCAAAAATAAGTTGCAGAATTAGTTAAAAACTTTTTTAATTTTTTTTATTTCCAGCTCTTCTTGCTAGATGAGAAACACATAAAACAGCATGGACGGCCTATTATTCCACACAACTATTCATGAAACATTTCATGACGTCAGAAGACAGACCCAAGGGAAGACAACTTGCAACCTTCTGCACACAGAGTAGGCATGAGTCGTGTCCCCTTAAAGGGACGTTTGTATATTGTGCTATCCCCAAGAGCATGGATCTGCCCCATTTATTTTGGTCTTGTCAACAATGGAAACATGTTTTCCTGATATAAGTGATAACACTGAGATTGTGATTCGACCAGTTCATACGTTCCATGAGCTGTTTGACTGTGTTGTCTGGGTTCACAAAGTGACTAGTGTTCAAGTGAGATCACACGGAGTTATGGCCCCTGTGTCCACAGTAAGTCGGAAGTGGGGAGCAGGAAGGGACATCTTCAGCTGAGTATTAGGAATAGCAGTAAACATTGCAGTAAAACAGGGCATATAATAGTAATATCAGAGGAATGGGTATACAAGTTATACACGAAATAAATCCAGTTTCCAGTCCACATAAATGCATGCTGGGTTAAACAGATTGCGGTATTAAAGGAATCCTTGAAGTCGGCTTCTGTAGGATCTGAATCAAATCCTTTAATGTTTTAACATTAGGTCTTTGGAAAGGACCCCCTACAGCTGTGCGTTTAACGTGAACACAGGACTGTCATTCTATATTTCTGTTTCGTTTGCACTACATCGAGAGAAAAAAACAAACAAAAAAACGCTCAAGTTTTCAAATAATGCAAAGTTCCGACAGGATATAAGACATAAAGTATCTCTGCCTTGTGTGAAAGAATATCTCTCCCCTTCCAAACAAACCACTAGAAGATCCTCTTGCCCCTCCCATCCTGTGCTCCCTACCGCCTTTCCTGTGCCCCTCCTTTCCGTCTTGTGCCCCTCCTTCTCCTCCTGTGCCCTAGTTATGTGAGATCACATGGTGCAACAGCACAAGCTAGGTATGACAACAATATAAAACCACTGTAAACGTAAATAGTAAGTAATCTCAGTAACAGAAATAAATATGGCCGCAACATTATAACAACAACCTTGGCTTTATGCTGGAGGGAGAACAGATGGCAACATTTGAAACTGAACTAAATGAAACGAATTTCTCTACCAACTACATTCCTATCGAACTTTTCTACGTTCTAAGCGAATATGCTCTACTTGTTAAACTCAAGCTTACTTTGTAAACTCTTGAAGGTTTTACAAGACAATCATCAAACAAAGTCAAATAAATTAACAAAATTAAATAGAAGTTTCTGGGGAAACGACATATCATGTTCTCCATATGATATCACGATACATCGATCATAATATGAAACGTTTTGCTATATGTTGATTAGGTGTGGTGAAATCTTGACTAAAACTATTTCAGAAAAAGTTCAAATGACAAGCTAGCTTCAGAATCATGTTCTCAGCAGCCATTTTAAGTACTGACCATGAAACGCTTATAACAACACATTTTTAATACAGTAGATCATGGTTATACCGAACACAAAGGTAACACTAATTTTCGTTCCATATAATCTTTGTTATACACGTTTAGACTATACAGAAAACAAATGGTTTGTCAAATCTGCTAGTTTACTCTAAACGTGTTTGTTGTAAACATTAGTAATATTTACTATATTTGACAAAAATGAAGGGTCAATGCGCGAGTATCAAGTTAGTTATTTTACCAAGTGTGTCGTCTTGTATCGATACTGAAAAAACCCAACATATTTTGTGCCGTATCAATGAATACAAACTCATAATGATTCCACCCAGAAATATGTTGTAGGGTATGATCAATACTTCAAGCTTTTTATTGATTACCTTCCTCTATCCCCCATCAACACATAATATCAAAATACAGTGTTATCAGTTTTTCTAACCGACAAGTCAAGCTTGATATCTAAACAACATTCCCATAACTTTCATGCACGTCGAGTTCATTTGACTTAGGGAGTTATATGGCCATGCGTCATTGCATTACTTGGTCTAGTCTCCACACTCTTCAAAATAAGGCGATTTAGGATCCATATAAATTACATGCACAGAGTAGAGTTTATGTGACTTCTCTGAGTTATAAATGTCCTTGACCCCAATCTTCACAGCATTTATGTACGTGTATTAATGGGCGATAGAGGAATGATTTGTATACAACCCCGCGCTGTACTGACGAATGTAGAAGAGTGAGTGAGTGAGTTTTGTTTTACACCGCACTCAGCAATATTCCAGCTATAAGACGGCAGTCTGTAAATAATCAATTCTGGACCAGACAATCCAGTGATCAACAGCATGAGCATCGATCTGCGCAATTGGGATACGATGCCTTGTGTCAACCAAGTCAGCAAGTCTGACCAACGGATCCCGTTAGTCGCCTCTTAGGACAAGCATGGGTTCTAAAGATCAATATTCTAACCCGGACCTTCATGGGTCCGATTGTAGAAGAGGTAATGTTCATGTGTAAAATATTTCAGACATCTGACTTCAATGTCAAATTGTAAATGATACATCCCGAGTTTCCAGATAAAACTTGGCATTGAAATACGTCACCTGTCAATGTAGCTTACATAAGTACATTACATTCATCATCATAAAACAATATCTAGACATCTGACTTTTGTCAAAGTGAGCATTAATACTTCAGCATATTCTTAACTGCTGCAAGGGTTAAAGCCTTAACAATTGATAACGCTAAAAAACATTTGACAGTTGGCCGTCAACAGCATCAGCAACAGCATCTCATCAATGCCATTAATTACAGGACAGCATGTTTTTACAACAAAACACCATTAAAAAGGCTCCATTCAAATGACTTTCCAGAAAACTGCTTGTTTCATTTCTTTATCTCTTTTGTCCACCTGTCTGTGACATGAGAGAGGATACGAGCCTGCTACCATACCATGATACAATCACATTACTCAAGTATGGCGACACTGTCCTCTCACTCAAAAACATTGTACACAGTCACTGAAGCTGAATCACTTGACTGGAGAACAGTATACAGGATTATTCAAGCAATCGTAACTATTGCCCACTGATCAGGTCAACCATGCACCACCATTAATGACCATGACCTTGGTAGCCTTTACATTACACAGGGACGATGACCTTTGACATTGGTGACCTCTTGCATTGCGAAGAGAACATTTCCTTTTTACTGATTGCTAAGCATTACTGAGATGTAGATCATAAGAGATATACAGTCCTGACAGATAGAATAAATCACTGGACTCATAACAATTTCAGCATTCATTTGTATCAGCAATATTACTAAGCTTATGTCATATGAATGCTTATAACCAATATTAACAAATGTTATCCTAACTTAATGAATATATTATGTTTTGGAAACAGACTCAACTTTCAACAAATTCTACATTGGAATTGAAGCCCCAAATACTATTAATTTAGAAATTCCTTAAATAGAAACCTATATGTTGATATGTATATAAAGTTTCGGTGTGAAATTTGTGAGAGATATGTCCAAAAACACAGTTTGAAGGCTGTGACTTAATCCACTAGTCTGAAGACAGAGTCTAGTAAAATTATCTTTGGTCCAGTATGTTCAGCAGGGCAGACACCACGGAGGATATCACCAGCTCTATCTCATTTTGGAGCAGTAGTATATTTTATGGTTCATTCATTATGGGATTTGGGTATGGGGATTGGGGAAGTGTTTGAGAAATGGGGCGTTGGTTGCATATGTGTGTCATGAAAAATACAGCAAAAGTGTGTGTGTGTGTGTGTGTGTGTGTGTGTGTGTGTGTGTGTGTGTGTGTGTGTGTTTTGGGGTGGGGCATCACTTTAGGGAGTGTGTTATTTTTTTGGAATAAATAATTCTAAATTTGAAAATTATCTAGGGATAATGTGATCCAGTGGTGCAACCAATCCCGCCAGATTCCAAAACAATTTTTTTATAACATTTGAACATTATCTATGGATAATGTCTATGGATAATGTGATACAATACTGCAACCAATCCCATCAACCTAACTACTCCAAGTAAATTACCAGTGCACCAGTACATGACCTCCATGTGAGGTCACCAAAAGCCAGGGTCACAGACTCTCAGATCTGTGATAGATATCAGGCCTGCATTGCTGTGCCTGGCTCCACAGCAGGGCCTTGTCAAAAGTGACCACTCCAGACAATAGGATAGACACAGAGCGACACGACAGACTGGGCAAGGAGCTCACTCCTCTCAACTTTTCCAAAAGAAAAATGTCATAGTTGCTGTCATATGTACTTACATGCCATAATATCTTACAGGATTTCTAGGAGAACTCTCTTAAGACACAATATCAAGTGTACCGGTAGGTGATTTTAACATGTAATCAGATACTGATACTTACTGGCAGATAATTAACATTGAGTTCCCTACCGTATGTGACACCAAACGACAAGGGGCAGGTAACTCTGCATACATGGATTATAATGAAGTACCACTAACCAAAAAAAATATTAAAAATTAGCCATTTCGTACAATATACGAACATTCTTTTGTGTAGGAAGTCATATTCTTACACTGAAATGCCCGACAAAAGACTAAATCGATTTTGAAATAACATGTTTAGCAACTGTTCAGCAGAGAATATGATCAGTCCTGTAGGAGCCACAAAGAATATTCTTGCTCTAGCCTTCACAGGCTGTAAATATGGGATTTATCAAAATGATGTTAATGTCATGTAAAGGTTTGTGAAACATGAAAATATATGAGTTGTGTTGAACTTATTCACACGTATATATCTTGGAAAGGAGACTTTTGTGTCTCAATGAGACAAATGAATTGATGAAGACATCCAATGAGTGTCTGCCAGTCTGTGCCCTGTGTGTCTATTTGCGAGCGGGGTGTGGTCACTGGGGCCAGTGTCATGACCGGTACAGCAGGCGCTGGTAGTGGGGGTACACCTCGTTGTCGGGGATGTGCAGGGAGAACTCCAAGGCAACCAGGCATGCAAACTCAAACGCCATTAGCTCCTTGCGATGCAGTCGAAAGTCATCTTCTATTTGCTGAAATAATATAAGGTCTCATTATTTTCTGAGTGAGTGAGTGAGTGAGTGAGTGAGTGAGTGAGTGAGTGAGTGAGTGAGTGAGTGAGTGAGTGAGTGAGTGAGTGAGTGAGTGAGTGAGTGAGTGAGTGAGTGAGTGAGTGAGTGAGTGAGTGAGTGAGTGAGTGAGTGAGTGAGTGAGTGAGTGAGTGAGTGAGTGAGTGAGTGAGTGAGTGAGTGAGTGAGTGAGTGAGTGAGTGAGTGAGTGAGTGAGTGAGTGAGGCCACTTTGAATAGTATTCCAGTCATATATAGGTGGTATTCTGTGCTAGTATAATATTATCCAGGCATTCTGTATTGGAAATATATGGTATACCAGGCTATTTATGCTGCATAAAATCTTACAAGATAATAACGTGTACCTACATCTAACATAACTCACCTCAAAGAGCTTTGTGAGCTCAGCCCCCTTGACATCATTGAGTTTTGCTGACAGCACCAGACAAGCACCTGCACATAGTTTCCTGTTCTGCTTGTTGACGACAGGCTGTAAATGAGGGATATATTCAGTAACAGGCTGTAAATGTGGGATATATTCAGTAACAGGCTGTAAATGTGGGATATATTCAGTAACAGGCTGCAAATGTGGGATATATTCAGTAACAGGCTGTAAATGTGGGATATATTCAGTAACAGGCTGTAAATGTGGGATATATTCAGTAACATGCTGTAAATATGGGATATATTCAGCAACAGGCTGTAAATGTGGGATATATACAGTAACAGGCTGTAAATGTGGGATATATACAGTAACAGGCTGTAAATGTGGGATATATTCAGTAACAGGCTGTAAATGTGGGACATTCAGTAACAGGCTGCAAACATGGGATATATACAGCAACAGGCTGTAAATGTGGGATATATACAGTAACAGGCTGTAAATGTGGGATATATACAGTAACAGGCTGCAAACATGGGATATATACAGTAACAGGCTGTAAATCTGGGACATATTCAGTAACAGGTATCAAAAATGACATATATATTCAGTAATTGACTGTAAATATGGTATACATTCAGTAAGAGCCAGTATATATGGGATATTTTCAGTAAAAGACTGTAAATATGATATACAGAAGTAATAATCTGTTACCAGTCACAAACATGGGATACATATATAAATGGAATGGTTACTAGCCAAACTGAAATTTTCCCCCTTTCCAGGTTTGACGCATACTGACATGAAATGACATTTGATACAACCAAAGTTTGTTCAGTAAAACATACTTTTATTTTGATAAACTCAGTCAACTGTTTCTATCCAATCAATAACTCAACTCATGCCTTACCTTGAGAATAAGTTTTTCAAAAAAGACATGAGCTTGGGCCAGAGTCCACATGTCAACACCGCACTGAAAATAATAAAGGGATGTGATAAGATGAGTGAGAGAAACTGCATCATGTAACTTCTGTGTGACTCTGTATCAAGTCATTATTATGGGATTGTGAGTAACAATTGTACCATGTGACATCTTTGGAAGTGAGTGAGAACCACATTGTGTGGATACTTCAGAATGTGGAACGAGGATTTGTGAGTACTGTATCCTTTGATAGCACCATTTCACTGAATACTACACCTCAACATAAACATATCCCTCACCTTGACCATAGAGATGTTCCTCATCTCCCTCTTGATGCTGTAAAAGTGACCAAAAATGTTTGTGTGAGTGAGTGAATGCTATCCCAACTGCATTTATGACCATATAACACTAATTTATGACACTAACACAGGGATTGGGATCCTGAACTTTGACAATGGGCCATTTTCAGGATTATTAGCCATTTTCTGAATTTAGAATGGGCCACTGCCCTTGTATCAATAGTAAACTTCAATATTTTAATAGGCCATTTTTTATTCTAATGTGCAAAATGGCCCATGGCCCCTGCCTTTCCCAATCCCTGCTAACAAATCAAGAAACAATATAAATTACAGCTTAAATGTCCTAAATGAATAATAATGAGTAATAAGCATGATGATGATGATGATGATGATGATGATGATGGAGGAGGAGGAGATAATAATGATAGGTTTCTTTACACAGTGCAAACTAAAGAGCATATAACATTACTATCTGGGTAAAATAACCAGTGAGTGTTCAAAAGTTTATTCTCAACACCCTGGGGAGTATGCAACCCAAGTAATGTTAGGTGCAAGGTTCACATCCACATAACCATCTCATCCTACCAGGTACCCAGTCAGTGCTGACTGAACAGAGTCATATTACTAACAAAGTTATTTGTGTAAGGAGACACAACATCGTCTTTAACTCAGTGGTTTGCAATACAATATCCCTGGACACTCAGGAGTCTTGCTAGCTGTGTGCGGTCACCCATCCACCTCATCTCACACACCAACCTTACCCAGCCTTTATTCTAACCCGAGTACAATTGACAAGGCCACAAACCACCACCAATCAGAATGTCAGCATTGTACCTGCGCAGTTTGGAGAGGCTGAGCTGAATGTTGGGGAACTTGTCTTTGAATTTCTCATTGAGCTCCTTCTTCAGGCTTGAGGGCTTCACGTACTCGATGACAGAGGTCTGTAATACATCAGGCAATGCCATACATGAAACTGTAAAATGTGGGTATTTCTCAGTACTTCTTGGGAGGATTACAGTCAAATCCTGATGAGTCGAATGCCGGTGTCTCGAATATTATGCATAACTCGAAGTACCTGTCGGTCCCGACTATTCCCTGTTATAGTTGTCATCATTTGATTTCTGGTTACACCAACTCGTCTCATAAATACACACAATGACCGAGAAGGAAATTTGGTCCCATGAGATTCAAACAACAGCAATATTGTATACATAAGCTGAAGTCAGTCAATGAGAAGTTGGTTGGTGTAGCAAACTGATCCAATTAACAAACCAGCACGGCTCACACCTTTCCGCCATTGACAGGAGGGTTGTATCCCATAACCCCTACATGCCACTACCCCTACAGCCCAGTATCCCTACAATTAGTTAAAACAACACACGGCATTTACCTGTCTGGCATAATGAACTGACCCAAAGAGAGATTAGTGCATAGAGTATACAGATGAGATCAAGGGAGGGATTAAACTGTTCTTTAGTGTTTTGTGTCAAGGAAATTTGGGATTAGCTAAAAGTTGTTTTAGTTTCATGATGAAAGATAAACCTCTAGTGAGTAGAACAATTTTACAAATTGGATAATGTGTAGGTTGTTAAATGTTGAAATTAAGTTGTTTTAGTGCCATGATAAAACATACACAGTATTATTGAGAAGTGGAGGGAAATGAGAAGGTGAGACGAGAAAGTAAATTGAGATAGTTCGATATAGTATATAGCTGTTGACAACAAACTAACATTTATTAATTTGTTAATGTCCATCAAAGAATCATGATGACGAATTATTGTTTATTCTTATTAAAATCTTGATGATGACAAATGATGATCACTTTTCATTAAAATCATTCTCTCAACCTTTTAGTTGTGTGTTGTTATGTCTCTTAAGTGGATTAGTCCATTGTGTGGAATAGGTAACAGGCAGTGGGTTAACAGTGCAACAGACCGTAAACTATCTTGTTATAAGCTGTAGGGGTAGTGGCATGTAGGGGTAATGGGGGGTTACCGACAGGAGAGTTCAAAAGGCAGATTAGTGATTTTACGGAAATCACTGTCTGTGCTAATCAGACTGGAACTGATAAGGTGCCCCTATTAGTGATAGGGAAATCATTAGGTAAACAAATGCTTAGGTGGAGGAATTAGGACTGGATCATCTCTTTTTCTACCCTCCTAGACATACTTATGTCTTGAATACATCGACAAGTCGAATTTATCACTTGGTCCCCAGCGATTTGACTCATCAGGATTTGACTGTATTATTATTATAGGATATTTATATAGCGCACATATCCACGCACTAGTGCATGCTCAAGGCGCTGGTATTTTTTCCCTCGATCACTGGATGTCAATCCCAACGGCACATCGCATTATCAATCTCAACTCCCTGGGGAGTATACAACCCTTGCAGCCACTAGGCGCACCGAGTTATTGTGGCTTTCTCATCCTAACGAGGTACCCATTCACAGCTGGGTGGACTGGGACACATAGTCACAGTACTTTGTCCATGTTCACTGCATGTTGCTGTACCCGTAACTAGGTGTTTGCACGTATTGATGTGGCCACCATCTGGTCAAATACCAACGGATTCGTGGGTTCTTTTAAGTGCACAGGGCTGTGTACTGTACACTAGGGGTTGTGACAACACTGAAAGAGTCTGCACACAAAGTTGACTCCAAGGTATTTACACCCGGTCACAGGTGGGCTCGATCCCGACACCTCAACCTCGCTGGAACACTAGCCTGGCGCCTTAGCCAGCTCGCCCACCACGCCCCCAGGATTATCCCAGGATTATCCCAGACATAACAGAGCATACACTTTATTATGAAATATCATGACGATTACTTTGCACCTATCTTCCAGAAATGGCTCTTATTTCCCAAGTATGGATTACTCTGTTTCGTGATTAACCACAGTTGTCCAAAACTCAATGTTTAACTTCTGGGAATGCTATACTTTAACAGATCGTCAGCCTCAACACCAAACTATTTATGACACAGATTTGTTGATTTTGTTAAATCAGTTTATGATTGTCCCAAAATTGCATATATCAATAATGCACTCACTGTAATATCTTGTCTGAGTGACTCATACCCCTTGAAACATGGGCCAGAATATCTAGTGATTGGTCGTATGAGTAACAATCTACACCCTCTGAGAATGTCAGTGAGTCTGATCGACCAATCCACCTTGTCGCTGTGGACTTATTACAGTGTAAAATCCCCCCAGCAGTTGACAACAAGTGAGAGCCTCCTTCTTGCCAATCTTGGCGCGGTGGGGTAGCCTAGTGGTTAAAGCATCGCTCATCATGCAGACGACCCGGCTTCGATTCCTCATGTGGGTACAAGGTGTGAAGCCCATTTCTGACGTTGCCATGATGTTGCTGGAATATCGCTAAAAATGGTTTAAAACCATACTGACTCACTCACTCATGCCAATCTTACCACATAGGAAGGGAAGGTCATCAGAGTCCTGTAGCTCCCAGACTGCAGTTCAGGATCATCCAGCAGGTTGGGGTCGTAGAAGTCGGTGTTTTCTTCTGGGACTGAACAGGCAGTAAAGGGTTATATTACACAATCATTCTCTTCCATGTTGCAGCAAAAAACTAATCTGGTCAACTACATGATAAAGAGGATAGGAAATAAAAGAAAGTTTGAATGAAGGGGCTGGTCCCAAAACTGCTTCTACCGTTCACAGCTACTTTCCTTGTTGCTAATACTGGTGAAGCAACATTTCAGGCAAATGATGGTGGCATTTCAAATTTCAACAAAAAAGTCTGGACCAGATGAACCAGTGATTGTTATTTTTAGAAATGATCCACATCATCGACTACGATGACACTCTAACACCCTCTCTGACCATTGAATCAACTGGTAGTCTCTTACGACCAGTGTAGAATGCTAGGGAAGCCCCACAAGGCTATGTTGCCGGGGACAACAGGACTGTGTATCCATGGTAACACTCCAGTGGTTATTTATTGTGGTAAACAATGCCTTACGTACTTGTCTCATTCCACCCTTTAAGTGTTGAATATCAGTTTCCCTCAATGGACTGAGAATGTCGGTCAGTGACCATGTCACTATTGTTCATTGCAACATCTTGTATTAAGGCAACATGCTTCTGATAGATGCAGTCTGGCACATTTGAGTTAAACATTCTTGTGCTGTGTGCGAATTTACCAGTTCCTTACCCCTTGTTCTTGGACAGTATTTGACACTTCACCTCCTTACCCCAGTTATCAGACAACTCACACCTTACCTCAGTATTAGACACCCCTCCTTACCCCAGTTATCAGACAACTCACCCTTACCTCAGTATTAGACACCCCTCCTTACCCCAGTTATCAGACAACTCACCCTTACCTCAGTATTAGACACCCCCTCCTTACCCCAGTTATCAGACAACTCACCCTTACCTCAGAATTAGACACCCCCTCCCTTACTCCAGTTATCAGACAACTCACCCTTACCTCAGTATTAGACACCCTCTCCTTACCCCAGGTATCAGACAACTCACCCTTTACCTCAGTATTAGACACCCCTCCTTACCCCAGTTATCAGACAACTCACCCTTACCTCAGTATTAGACACCCTCTCCTTACCCCAGGTATCAGACAACTCACCCTTTACCTCAGTATTAGACACCCTCTCCTTACCCCAGGTATCAGACAACTCACCCTTTACCTCAGTATTAGACACCCCCTCCTTACTGCAGTTATCAGACATCTCACCCTTTACCTCAGTATTAGACACCCCCTCCTTACCCCAGTTATCAGACAACTCACTCTTTACCTCAGAATTAGACACCCCCTCCTTACCCCAGTTATCAGACAACTCACTCCTTACCTCAGTATTAGACACCCCTCCATACCCCAGTTATCAGACAACTCACCCTTTACCTCAGTATTAGACACCCCCTCCTTACCCAGTTATCAGACAACTCACCCTTTACCTCAGTATTAGACACCCCCTCCTTACCCCAGTTATCAGACAACTCATTACATTGATAAATATTAGACATTTCCCTCCTTACCCCAGTTATCAGACAAATTCCATAGGTAAATATTAGACCCCCCCAGACCCTCCAACTTCCTTATGCAAGTATTAGACAACTCTTCTTACCGCAGTATTAGACTCATTCCTTACTCTAGTATTAGACATCCCTCAACCTCCTTACCCCAGTATTCATAACTCTCTTCTTACCCAAGTATTCATAACTCTCTTCTTACCCCAGTATTCCAAACTCTCTTCTTGTCCCAGTATTCGTAACTCTCTTCTTACCCCAGTATTCATGACTCTCTTCTTACCCCAGTATTCATGACTCTCTTCCTACCCAAGTATTCACAACTCTCTTCTTACCCCAGTATTCACAACTCTCTTCTTACCCCAGTATTCATAACTCTCTTCTTACCCCAGTATTCACAACTCTCTTCTTACCCCAGTATTCATGACTCTCTTCCTACCCCAGTATTCATGACTCTCTTCCTACCCCAGTATTCATAACTCTCTTCTTACCCCAGTATTCACAACTCTCTTCTTACCCTAGTATTCATGACTCTCTTCCTACCCAAGTATTCACAACTCTCTTCTTACCCCAGTATTCATAACTCTCTTCTTACCCCAGTATTCACAACTCTCTTCTTACCCTAGTATTCATAACTCTCTTCTTACCCCAGTATTCATAACTCTCTTCTTACCCCAGTATTCACAACTCTCTTCTTACCCCAGTATTCATAACTCTCTTCTTACCCCAGTATTCCTAACTCTCTTCTTACCCCAGTATTCATAACTCTCTTCTTACCCCAGTATTAGACAACTCTTGCCGTATCCCAGAAATCCTACTCCTGTCGTAGGTAACATGAAAGTCCTACTTACCAGATTGTTAGGTTTTGTTTAAAAGGTCTCCAAAATTTTCTTGCTTTCATTGTAAAATATACAGTTATTTGGCGTGTATGTTGCCATGGTTACAATAAAAGGAGACTGTGAGTGCAGCAGCATCAACAGCAGCAGCAGCAGCAGCAACACATGCACCTACCACAATATCATGTGGACACAATTAACCTACAACATTACATGATGACCCGACGAGCGAGTGGATATGACACAACGTCACAGTCAGCATAATTCCAGCTAAATCACAGCAGCCTGGACTCGTCAAACGTCTGGACAGGGCAAACAAAAGATTAAAAGCATGAGCAGTTACTCAAAGCCATCCAGGCCTGACCAACCGATCCCCAATTTAGACAGCTCTTACGACATGCAAAAGGTACTGGGTACTGATTCCAGAAGCCCACTTGGGCTGAAGGGGTCGTTGTCGGCACAGGTACTACAGATATGTATCCCAGGTACGCTTCTGTATACAGATATGTACCCTAAACAAAGTCAAAATACAGAAACGTACCCGGTACCCTAAAAGGCGGACCAGTCCATATTCCTCAATCCAAAACCGAAACCGCATGTAGTTGTTCCCGTTCAACTGATTGCGAGTGGTATTCATATGCATTACGAAATATCCGTTACTGTGTATTCTCATTACTTACATAACGCAATCAAATGTATCTAATACAACGGTATGACAACTCCGATCAAGAATACGACACAATGGGAATGGAATCGTCCTAGGGTACGTTTCTGTATTCTCATTATGGCCAAGGTATACAGAAACGTACCTGGGGTACATATCTGTAGTACCCGTGCCGACAACGACCCCTTCAGCCCCACTTGGTACTGATGATTAAAGTGCAACATGATCACGAATATTAAGATTAGTGTTTGACAAAGTGCAGTTAAAGGAACAGCAAAGCAGAAGTGCAAGACAGATAACAGATTTATGCTGAGGATCAGACATGGAAACACTGGGACCTCTGTTACCATGGTTACAATGTATTTTTGACACGATGAGCACACTGAGCTTGCTCACCATGTCAGTTGTCATTCATACAAATGTTTGAAATTTCGCCGTTCTTTCCCAAAAGAAGTTATTACTCTGAGGTTTCACTTCATATCTAAAGTAGAAAAGTCCACTACATGATGAAAGGAAGTATTTTCGGGAAATATTGAAAGCATCGATGAACAGAGACCCCAATTTGAAGGACACAGGAGGTGTTAGGATTGTGAGAAGCTGCTAGTGGTTTTACCTCTCTCCAGGGCAGAAAACAGCCCCGAACGCTGGAAAAACATGCTAGGGTCATGTGAGTGACTCCGCAAGTACTCCCGGCCTGATCATGAAGACAGCGGAAACACAAAGGTAGTCAAATCATATTCATCAAACTTCAAACTCAAAAGTCAATGTAACATACCAGCACTGAAACATGCAATTAATCAGTTGTTCTTCATCTCAGTAAAAAATCTTCATCTATTACAAAAACAATATCAATCAAAATTCAATTTGATAATGTTTAGTACAAGCTAAAAAAAAATCAGGAAATTAAAAAACTCACTATTGTTAATATCTCACACATTTCATTTTTAATTTAACTACACACATCAACTACTACATAGTTTGCGATCATAGCCACGATGTGTGTACAAAATTTGTTAATTTCGAGTTTGTAGTATACTACCAAATATTTTTATAGGACAATCTGACTTTTCTTTACACCTTAGCAGATTGTTTAGTGCATGGTGAGAATTGAACACTGAACGCATCATGCAAAACCGTTTCCTAAGAACACGAGGTGAATGAACAGCGTGTGGATGACTCCATAGTACGGGGGAGACGGCACGAGACTGAAGGGGGAGATGACGACACATCACTGATGACAAAGAATCTACATTCTCTGTATCTCACCAAACTTGATCTTAAACTCCAATAACATACCTCATACCCCTTCAAGAGTAGATCTACTGGATTAATCAGGTGTGGCAATTATGGTAGTAAGTGAGTGTTCTTCGTAGAGGATTAAGTTCAAAGTACTATATAGTCCTCAACTTCATGAGGCAAGAATGTCCACTAGCTTACATCAAAGTCTAGGTTTCACAATCACTGTTTCAAGCTGACTTGGTTTGGTGCATAAACCATTGTAAACAGACCTACACATATCAATAGTGGTGGCAAGTTGTCATGTGCATAGGGCTCAGGTCACAAATCAGGTGAAGTTAAGAAGCAATGGACGCAGAGAGTGTTTGGATGGGTGCCCGTGTTTGGCAGCTTGACTCCTGAGACTTTCTAGGACTTCAGTCCTGCCCCACAACGAGGCACATGTGATACATGTGGTCTCACTTTTGGCCAGTGAGTTTCTTAAAAATTGTCTCTGTTTACTCAGCAGAAAATGGGTACGCAGTGGGATAAAGTCATGTGACTATAACCCTCAAGCTGGAGCTATCCGGGGTAATATCATAATAATAGTCAGACTGCTTGGGCGCTTCCAGCATGCGTTGTGCATGGAGCAATGCACATGATAAATGGACTATAATTTATTATTAATAGCCCAATCAGAGAAAGTTTGACAAAATGAACATCCAGATTTCGAAAACAGGTTGTAAGAATGCCTTTGATCTATCTGAGGGCAGACGTCAATGTGTGTGAACTCAAAGATTGAGCATTTACCATAATTACTGTTGTGATTGATTAGCAAATCTTATTTTAGAAAAACCCTACTGAGAGTGAGAATTTCATATGACTGAAGCAAGTTTAGATTTCCTCAGGTTCTCAATCCCCCATCTCACTGGGGCTCCTTGTACATATCAAGGGACTTGTTTGTTTCTATCAAAATTATATACAGTCAAATCCCGATGAGTCGAATCGCTGGGGACCAAGTAATAAATTCGACTTATCGATGTATTCGAGACATAGGTATGTCCATGAGGGTAGACAAAATGATGATGCAGTCCTAATTCCTCCACCTAAGCATTTGTTTACCTAATGATTTCCCTATCACTAATAGGGGCACCTTATCAGTTCCAGTCTGATTAGAACAGACAATGATTTCCATAAAATCACTAATCTGCCTTTTGAACTCACCCGTCAATGGCAGAAAGGTGTGAGCCGCGCTGGTTTGTTAATTGGATCTGTTTGCTACACCAATCAACTTCTCATTAACTGACTTCGGCTTACGTATACAAGATTGCTGTTGTTTGAATCTCATTGGACCAAATTCCCTGCTTGAGTCATTGTGTGTATTTAAGAGACGAATTCGTGTAATCGGAAATCAAATGATGACAACTATAACAGGGAATGGTCGGGACCGACAGGTACTTCGAGTTATGCATAATATTCGAGACACCGGCATTCGACTCATCGGGATTTGACTGTATATTCAGAGACTAAGAGTTAGCCTAAGGCAAATGTGGCAGCCATAACTATCGTTTCATTTTGTTAGTCTGTCAGGGATGAAATCTCTAATCCTTTTTGTCATCTCATTGCTCAGGCCGTCTTCTATGGTAGTCACTCTCATTTAGGAGCCATTCAAAAGATGAGTGAGTGAGTGACTTGAGTTTTACGCCGCTTTTAGCAATATTCCTGCAATATCACGGCGGGGGACACCAGAAATGGGCTTCACACATTGTACCCATGTGGGGAATCGGACCCGGGTCTTCGGCATGACGAGCGAACGCTTTAACCACTGGGTTACCCCACCACCCTCAAAATATGAACAGCAAGTTGATCATAAGGGGCTTAATCATTCATGCTCTAAAACTGGTGGTACCGTCATCGAGCAAAGTAATCAGCTTGAAATGGCAATGTTAAAACAAGACTTTGATATTGGCACGAGTACACTCTTGGCTTGGAAGATGGCCTGTCCTGAGAATGTTTCACAGACTGAGAGAAGGACAAGATGTTTATAAGTAGGCAGCGTCCTGATCCACACAGTGTTCGTAGCATTATGACCCATCATAACTATTTACCTTGTCACAGGTTACGAGCATCGTAGTGCTATGAACAATTTGTGGATGGGGACCCAGATGAAACAAAATTAGACCCGTCACCAAAAAAGCAGCTATAAAGTTCGGTGACACTTTGAACACATCTGCACATGCAGAGACTGTGCCGGAAATTTGAAAATGAGGGAGAGATCTGTGGTCTGAGTTCCAGAAAGGAAGTATATCCATACAACTAGTGGGAGAGTATGACAGTCATAGCTATGACCATAGACATGTTTTTCACATACTTAGTCATTAACACTTAAAATGTTCATCACAGCTACCTCTGGTCAAGTCATTCTTCTGTATATTTCTGTCACACATTGAAACCTGTGTAGATACATCTCTTTAAATACAGGCAGATATTTTCCTTTCAAAGAAATAGTTTTGATTTATCATATCTGATAAATACGATATAATTTTCATGTCTGCATAAAAACATCAAATAGAGAACTGCTTCGGGTCATGCACACTTCCACATCTCTCTAAATATATTGCAGCGATTTCTTGGACTGACTGACTGACTGAGTTTGGTTTCACGCCGCTTTTAGCAATATTCCAGCAATATCACAGCAGGGGACACTAGAAATGGGCTTCACACATTGTACCCATGTGGGGATTCGAACCCGTATCTTCGGCATGACAAGCGAACGCTTTAACCACTAGGCTACCTCACAGCCCCCGATTTCTTGGAAATCATTAACTTTTAACTGGTTTTTTTTCATATTAACTGGCATGAGTATGGCGACTTTGCTTACACTTAGCTAGACTTTGAGATTTCTTGTCAATTTACATGTAATAAGGGTTCAAATAAATAGATCAGGAAATTTTGATTGTGTGTTTGATTGTTTTTCTGCAAATTCTTTCATGCACAACTAGTTCTAATAAGTGTGATCATAACTAAATTATTATGCCTCCCACTTGCCTCCTGGAGAAAACTCAGCATGTGACTATTTATCTCCTTACTATTTCATTAACATTACAGCCATCTCAAAATCTAGTGTCATTCACACTACAACACTGGGAACTCAGACATTCTGGGGCACATTGGTGATCAAACACTATTGTACAATACACTACAATCATCACTGACTCAAGTGACACACCCACACAACGACCTTCACCTACCTGCAGCTGGGGGAAGGAGAACTGACTCAGTGTGGGGTATTTCTGAACATGTCCTCTTCAACACCAGAGGACGGGACGGAACCAGAAACTCACTGTAGGACACGTCCTAGAAGAATATTTTCATCATTAACCAGCAACTACATGATCATTTTCATCCAGATTTGTTGATGGTGTGATTCCAATTGTAACATGACAGCATGAAAATAATCAAGTCTGGACCAGAAACATCAGCGGTTGTTATTATGGACAGATTACTATTTCTATTTCTTCATCCTTAGAAATGCTACCTAAAAAACATGCTTGAAACATTGACATAAATCATTCAAAAGCTGGGAACATTTGTGCATGGCAGGTCAGCTTATTTTCCACAAAAAGGATAGAAGACTCTTATCTGTTTATAAAGTTAGGACTGACTGACTGACAGACTGAGTTTGGTTTTACGCCGCTTTCAGCAATATTCCAGGAACATCACGGCGGGGGACACCAGAAATGGGCTTCACACATTGTGCCTATGTGGGGATTCGAACCCGGGTCTTCGGCATGACGAGCCAACGCTGTAAAAATTAGGCTACCCCACCGCCCCTATAAAGTTAGGAAGTCGTGTGCACAATGATTTCTTACCTGACCCTCTTCCACCTTGACTATTGCCTGCAGCCCTACATACAGCAGGCCATCTTGAGATGACACTGACCTTGACCCAGAGTGACCTGAGTGGTGGCGTGTGCGACCTTCTTCATTGTGACCTTCACTTCTGAAAGATGAATAGAAACTGTCAAAATTAGGCAATGTATATGATAAATGAATGTGATCTCTTCCTTACAATTGAACTCAGAAGTGTGAACATTACAAACAAGAGTCATCAGAAGATGACATATCCCCCCCGCCGGCCCCCCCATATTTGAAAGAACAAATCATCTGACAGTTTGTTTACTTAAAGTCCAGCTTGACTAAGTCCAAATCGTTTCCATGGAAATCATGAGAAATATAAATGCCAAAAATCTGTAAATAGCAAAAGGGACCATTTCAAAATTTGCCTAATATATATGCCAAGTTCTGTTGAAAGATACGTAACGCTTTTCGAGTTGTGCACCAGAAATGAAGCCCACCCCTCCCTTTTGAGACTAAGTCTGAATCGTTTTCATGGAAACCGAGAAAATAATAAATCACAAAGATCTGCAAATAGCAAAAGGCACCACTTTGGGATCAGCCTCACATATCTGCCAAGTTTTGCTGAAAGATATTATGAAGTTTTCCAGTTGTGCTCCGGAAACGAAACCCACCCACCCCTTCATGGAAACCGGGAAAAATAAAAATGCCAAAAATCTGCAAATAGCAAAAGGCACCACTTAAGGATCTGTTTGATATATCTACCAATTTTTGTTGAAAAATATTGAACGGTTTTGGAGTTATGCTCTGGAAACAAAATGATTACGGACGGACAGACGGACAAGGCGTCGACTATATCCCCCGCATTACATTCCGGGGGGATAAAAATTATTAAAAATGAAATTCAAGGACAAACAGCTGGGACATTTTTGGCACACAGCAAATGCCATGCTATCACTAGTATCAGTGAAAATATGCATCAAATGTGGAAATTTGTAACATATAGATCATCCACAAAACTAAGGGACGAAACTTTTAGTTAAAACAAATGAGTATGGAAAGGCTGTATCATCCTCAAAACCTCCAGGGATCGCAATTCCTCTCCTTGGTACTGGTCGCCTTGTACATTTTACTGACCACTCAAACATAGACAGACAGGAAAGGGAAATGGTAAGAGAGCTAACTACTATTACTAGAAACCAAAGCCGCCTCCATGTTTGACATGTTTAAATGGACATGAAGACATTCTTTCTAACAACATGATTTTAAAGATCTTTTCTTTTGTGTGAATTTCTCGCAAACTCAAAGTCAATGGGACTTGCTGCAGTGTAGCTTATCTTGTCAACCAAACATTGAGGCTGGTTTGTACACTGTATTCTGATCGGTATGTTAGACCAAGTAGCGCAGCCAATCAAATTGGCTAATGGAAATCAAGGGCGGGTAATTTGGATGGATCAGGGTTTAGCGTAGGTTTACTGAAATGCGAGTCCAGGCCCCGATTTCTCGAAACAAACTTAAGTCTGAGTTTTGACTTAAGTTCGAGTTTTTACTCAGATAGAGAAAATGCATTTAGCAGAATGAACTGAAATTGATATTAAACTCAAACATACTAGACAATTTGAGTTTGGTGGATGGATTACTTAAGTTGTTTGGGCTTTTTTTATTTTAAAAATGCAGTTGAGTTAAAAATTCAGCTGTTGCAAATTGTCAAACTCAGTTTGAAATTTGAGTAAAAACTTAAGTTTGTTTCGAGAAATCGGGGCCTGGAGTTAAAGCTGATGATGTTGTAATTGATCTCACCTATTTGCTGACCGCCTGTACGGCATCACGGAGCACATGGCGACGGGCGCCTTCATGCCAGTCACTATCACCACTCTGAAATACAGATCACTTCACTGTACATGGGTTGCTTTGTACACTCGATAACAAGGATAACATAATCATGATGCTGTCTGCCATTTAATGCCCGGAACTACAGTGTCCTTGAGATTGAACATCTTTTCATCACCCGCCCCATGGCTCAGTGGGAAAACAGTGGGTCACGATACTGACTGACTGACTGAGTTTGGTTTTACGCCGCTTTTAGCAATATTCCAGCAACATCACGGCGGGGAACACCAGAAATGGGCTTCACACATTGTGCCCATGTGGGGATTCGAACCCAGGTCTTCGGCGTGACGGGCCAACGCTTTAACCATTAGGCTACCCCACTGCCCCGGGTCACGATACTAAACACATTATGTGAGGTAGCAGGTTCATTTCACCACTTGGTATTTTCCTGTAAAACATTATGACTTTAAAATAACTTTTAATAATCCCGTTGGAGTATGTCAAAAACAATCTTTGCTGATGTAACACTCTTCAGTGAAGTAGAAAGTAAAGGCATTCACTGAGAATTTCCGAAGTAATGGTACAAGCTTGTGGCTTTCCGCTGTCAGAAGAAACCTTAAGAACAACTGATGAGTGAGTGAGTTGAGTTTAGTTTTATGCCGCATTCAGCAATATTCCAGCTATATGGCGGCGGTCTGTAAATAATCGGATCTGGACCAGACAATCCAGAGATCAACAGCATGAACATCGATCTATGCAAAAGGGATGTGATGACATTTGTCAACCCAGTCGTCGAGCCTGACAACCCGATCCCTCTAGTCACCTCTTACGACAAGCATGGGTTACTGAAGATCAATTCTAACCCGGATCTTCACAGGTCAGAATAACTGATGAGTGAGTGACCGAGTGAGTTGGGTTTTACGCCGCTTTTAGCAATGTTACAGCAATATCACGGCGGGGGACACCAGAAATGGGGATCACACATTGTACCCATGTGGATCAATTTTAACCACTAGGCTACCCCACCGTCCCGAATAACTGATGAAATAACTACAGGTGTATATAGTGTAGGTGATAAATGTCTCGTACCGTCCACCCCTGATGGAACTTGTGGAGTTGCCAGACAGGAAGCGCACTTCTCTCAAGGCTGAGGATTCCCCCGAGTCACCAGACATGGAGCTGGACCTTCGAGCCAGACGTTCTCCTAAATGACCAATCACAATGTTCAATCAAATCACAACTTTCAACACAGATAATAAAAGCTTCCTAAAGTGCAAACTATATAATAACAATATTTTCTGGTTGGGCATGTAGGCCATGTTTGAGGCGTGCAGAGAAAGGGACAGCCAGGTGTTCGAGAAGCACGTTCACAGACAAAGTTATTTATTCATTAACCTGTGCTGTGCCGTCTCCATCTGTTCTCAAACACCTGGCTGTCCGTTTCTCTGCACTCCTCCCTCGTAACAAATAGTGAACTGTGTCAATATTTTAATGATAGTTTGTTAAACAACTTTTTTAATTTTTGGACAAAAATTCTGCAAAAACCTCACAGAGTGGGTATGATGTTTTGATTATGATCAGCATTTCATTGAGTATTTTATGTTTAATAGTTTTCGAGTTAGATTGCAATTCATCGGTCCGCTTTTGAGCCAAACGGACTATACCATGGGCCCGATTGGGGATATAATGATGCCTTCTCGACTATCATGCTAAATATTATGAGTGAGTGAGTCTTTGGGAATGGAACTCAGGCCATCGACGTGACGAGCAAATGCTTTAACCACTAGTGTATACCACTGCCCCTCAGCATGGCAGGAGATAGAATACTTGTATGGTACTATCAGAGGCCCAGATAAGCTGCGTATCCGGGTAAAATACGCATAGAAAATTTCCAATTACGCATTGAAAATAATTGTTGCGTACCAATTACGCATTTAAAATGTTAAACACGCAAAAAGTTTAAAACAAATGCGTACGGAATATATTTATAAAAATCGCTTGCGTAATGCAAAGACATCGATTGCTATCAAGTTGTACTGTAAGTATAGGACTAGTGTTGTACTGTCAGTATAGGATGAGTGATTTTTTATGAAATCATTTCCATCATATTTAAGTTGGTTTTGATTAGGTATGACATAAGGCAGAACATACCTGCTTAGTAAACTTACTCAATGACATAATACTTAGGTGAGTAAAATGACTGAAATACGTGAAATACGCACATATTTGAAAGCGGTGGGTAATGGAAAATGAAATACCCACTCAAAATTCATAATACCCACTCAAAAAAAATACAGTGGGTACAGTACCCACATGAGCTAAATCTTATCTGGAGCTCTATTTTAGTCATTAACCCTGGTTATATTTTGGGTTCCTGGGGACTCAAAAGCCTGTAATTGGATTGGACTCAAGTTAACAAGTAGGGCCCTAAACTACAAAACAGGGGTCAAAACCTGAATACATCACTGTCCCATGTGACATAAAAACTGTGAATGTTCAGAGGCTGTTAGTCAATAATATATATAACAGTTAACACTCCCCATCTAAAATGAATCCACAAGCACTTAAGCATGTTTAAAATGGATTGTATAATTCTTAAATGACAACTTTCAAAAATCTTTTTAAGAGGTACAAAATTCCAATACAGCTGCATTCATTTCTAAACTTTCAGCCTTGTTGGATACACTCTGAATTTTCTTTGCACCTGTTTTCAATGTTAATGTGGACAGGATGTAGGATTTTGCATCGGCTAGTTACCATGGTTACAGATGAGTATAATGACACATTCTGATATGTCTTACAGCAATGATGGAACAGGTAGTTACCTATCTTGTCAGCAGGGTCATGAGATGTGGCCGGTGGGGACGACCATGGGATACTGGAGGTCGGCATCAACTTGCGCTTCACATACTTGTCTCGGTCATCGGAGCAGGAGGAGGCTCTGAAAGAATGACTCACATTCAGGGATGCTCTGGGGACGGCTCAAACTCAGATCTATTACTCCAAGTTGATAACTCTCTCTGTGAAGCTCTGACAAACTCTTCATTGTGTCATGTGAACATTCATAACATTTGGACCTAATCATGCCAAACAGCATATGGGATACTGTAATCGTATATATTTTCACGGGGTGCAATATTCGCGGAAAGTTCACAAAAGACCTATTAGCGCAGTAGTTTTTTCGCGCATTTCAAACGCCTGAGTGGTGGTGTCCATCACAAAGTTTTCACAACCACTAGAAATGCAATGATCAAAGCTAGCCGCCATAATTGAATCGTGTTTACTAAAACAATCAGAGAGAGGTGGGATTATACTTGTGTCAACATTGTGATTTGTGACTGATGTAAGTGAGTTTCGTTCATTTTGTGATTACGAGTAATCAGCTATCAATTAACTGACAAACTGATAACAAACATTTGCTGATTGTGATCGCTATTATACTAGTATATGCCTCTATTCCTTTGTATATTGTTTGGATGTTGTTATCTGAGAGAATAAACAAATTGCATGTTGTTCCTACTTGAGTATTTGGCATGACTTGACCATGAATATTTCGCTTGGTATGATTATTGACGCACAATGATTTTGCGCTAAAAGCGAGAAAATTAATCCCACGCGAAAATAACTGCGATTACAGTATATGGTTTTTTAAGCATATCAAACATTGGCCATGTAAAATGACTAGGGTTTTATCATGTTTATTGTCAAAATTGCAGCCTTGGACAGCAAGCAGTATTGCTAATTGGGCAGAAGAAACATGTGAGTGAGTGAGTTTGGTTTTAACTTTTATGCCGATTTTAGAAAATTTCCAGCAATATCACTTCAGTGCACACCAGAAATGGGCTTCACACATTGTACCCATGTGGGGAATCAAACCTGGGTCTTCAGCGTGATGAGTAAACGCTTTAACCACTAGGCTACCCCACCACCCCAAGGAATGAGTGAGATGAGATGCAATATCTTACAAATATCATGAAACGTCAGCGTATTATGGAAGGAAAGCCCAAAGTGATGCAGGTCTCAGTCATTTATCACTTTGATGGAACCCACGGGTATGGTGCTCACACCTCAAGAATCATGATAAGGGCAAAGATGGGATTCAAACCCATGACCATAGGTTTCTCAGGTACCCAAGGGAGACAACTCTGCACAGGAAATTGCATCTCTGAGATGGATGACTGGAATGCCTGGTATAATCGTCGCTGTCGCCCATGGATACCAAACGATGGATTGCCATAGATGGTGTCATGACTTACGCGTACGGACACCGTTGTAGTCAATAGTATAGAAGGGCATTAAACGATGTCTCCCGCTCGGGGTTCATCATTTTTTACAGGGTGCTTGGAGCAGAATTGGATAGAAATAACGCCCTAGGAGGAAGTGGTCCAGAACCCCCATTATGTATACTACTACTCCTTAACATGATTAAAATAAAAAAGGACTAATCTTTTTCTAGGTTAGATGGAGGTCATATCATCAGAATCAGATTGTTTTATGTAATAGGTGAGGTGAAATTGGGTTTAACCTCGCGCTGGAGAATATTTCGCTCATATGACGATGTGCATGCGTGTGTATGTGTATGTGCGGCTGCTTGTACTAGCCCAGACTTAAGCTGGTTTTATAGTGCTAGCCCACTGAGATACCATGCCGCAGTGAAGCATGAATACCCCACTCAGACACATTATACTGACTCCAAGCCGACCAGTCCTTGTTGTACCCATTAATGCCGAGCCAGGCAGGGACCAACAAGCACCATATTTAAACATCTTTTGGTATGACGCGGTCGGGGATCTAACCCACGACCTTCCGCTCTCCGGGCGGACGCTTTAACCACTACACCACGGAGGCGGTTTGTTTTATGTAATAAGTACCCCAGAGGGTAGGACAGCATGGCTGGTATCAGTGGTAAAAAATCAGGCATGTTAGGTACAGCTCCTAAATCACGTACCGTATATTACCGTCTATAAGCCGGAGTTTGAGGACCCAAAAAATATGTCTGTAGAAGGGGGTCGTCTTATCTATGAGATACAACTTCACGGAAATATTTTTTAGCTCGCCAGTGCCCTGCCAGGACGATGTTACAAGTTACCGGTACATCTGCCAGGATGTTTGCCACGATTACAGCGTTTATGTTGTGAATGATGAATAAAATACATATTACCCTGTACATTATCATTATTTCAACATATTATTACATATTAGTCATTATGACATTTATCGTACAATCAGCTGTGCACACATTTCCCGGCGATCAAGTTCAAACATGCACAATAATATAAGGGGATGAAATCTGACGCAGTCATCAGTAAAATATAATACAGAGTACTATTATTTAACCCAAAGAAATATATCCTAGCATTGTGTAATTTTAATTACAGGTTTTGGCACTATAAATTAAGTAAGAATAAGATTACCGTGTGTATTTGAGCCGGAAATGGCAATAAGCTGTGCACACGTTTCCCTGCGAGCAAGTTCAAACATGCACAATAATATAACAGGATAAAATCTGACGCAGTCATCAGTAAAATATAATACAGAGTACTATTATTTAACCCAAAGAAATATATCCTAGCATTGTTTAATTTTAATTACACTTTTTGCACTATAAATGTAAAATATATAATCAACACTAAGGTTATACGGACCCTCATGAACATGGTAAGTTGTACGCACATGGAATGGGGTAAAATAAGCAAGCCATTTAAATTCACACATTTTTACTGTAAACTAGCAGTCCATGGAAAACAAGGCGGTAATATACAAGCCAGTTTGTTGGCATGTTATCATCAAACTACAATATGTATGATATTTAGCGAAACAAAATAATATTATCCATTTTCTGTCAACTACACTTCATTTCGATGCGCGAGTAGACGCAATATGATTGTGAATTTTTTTAATAATGTGGACCAAAGTTATAATTATTGGTAACCGCCAGTTGTGTGTGGTCTGTGTTTGTCGCGATTAGGACCCCATCGCCGGGTCGGCTTATGCACGAAACATACCATTTTGACACTGATTTTAAGGGTCAAGTTTGGGGGTCAGCTTATCTATGGAGTCGGCTTATAGACGGTAATATACGGTATATGTTATCACTATGTCATAAGTAATTGTGCAGGTTTTGGTGCATGGTTAATTTTTTAATTGATGATATTATCAAAACAACTGTCCTGAACAGCTGGTCAGGTGCAATTTAATCTATCTGAAGATGAGTGATAATGAAGCCGATACTGGATATCTGTCGCTGATATCTCATGATAAAGATCAACCAAACCAGGTCACACATAGTGACATTGTAAATATTGAATGTCATAACCAGCTGCTTATCATCTTTAGATTCCATCTTCCCCATCATCCTCAACATGCCCAAAGGATGCTCAATACTGTTAGATAGCCTCACTGAAGATATCTTAAGCCACTGTGTACATATCTTGATCTACTGGCTCGAACATGAGGATTGGAGGATATCAGTGAAGTTTTTAACCAAAGTCTCACACCAAAGTCATGAAGCATGACGGAGAATACATGTTTGGTACTATTTCAGACATTTATCTTGCTTATATATTTTTGCTTCCCAGACACTCCAAAGCCTGTAATTGTGTTGGTCTCAAGTTAACAAGTAGGGCCTTAAATTTCAAAATATGGGTCAAGAATTGAATACAGCACTGTCCCAAGTGATGTAAAATATACTATGCCTATATCATGTATATGTAGAGACAATCCTAAAACAATACCCTTCAACAGATTTTGGCATATATCCTTTAGTCATGATGGTAACTACTTTATCAGGTTTATCGTTTATCTCACATGTATTGATCTTGGTGATCTTAGAGACTACGTATGATAAGTGTTGAATAAACTTTATAGAGACATCAATAAACACAAATTTGAAAAAAAAAGCTTTTTATGCTGGGTGCCAGCACTAATAAATGTCTTATTAGTTCGTACTTTACTTGTAAAAACAAATTCCTTCCTACCTACCTACCCTAAATTTTAAAGAGGTGTAATCGGAACCACAACATTTTTTTTATTTGGCCTATACTAATATTTCTGATAAATGTTCAATTTGAAGACTGATAAGAACAAAAGTAATAGACAACACTGCAATACCAATTATTTGCATGTTGTGGATTGGATTGTCTTCAGACAGCCTCCTGGTCATAATGAGTTTACTAATGGAACATTTATCAGACATATTACTATAATATATGAAGAATATAATATCTAAGTTGACAAAAACAATGCATTTATAGCATATATTTAATCATTTAAAATAAATTGGGACATTTTGACTACTCCCCTGGGGCAATTTGACTAAACCTAGGGCAATTTGACCAAAAATCTGGGCATTTTGACCAAATTTGCTGGGGCAGTTTGTAGCTGGGACGATTTGACTGGCACCCACCATGCTCATTCCAAAACCAAATGCAGAAGCCATCCAAATGAAATGTCTTAGAAGTATCAAATTCCAGTGAGCACCATGAACTTACATTGTCAGCGCGAAGCTATGCTTGGCTCATGTGAGTGTGAGTATGGTTTATGCCACTTTTAGCAATATTCCAGCAACATCACGGCGGGGGACACAAGAAATGTCCAGCATGAATACACAATGCCAATTAGAAAGTAGTCAAATGTAACATATGTTATATTTGGGATTACACATTCTCAGTAAAGTACAGTGGAAGCCACAGTGGCCGAGCAGGTTAGGCGACAGACTTTGTGTGCTGGCAGTTAGGTGCCTGACTCTGAGGGTGTGGGTTCGAATCCCGGATGGGACTCAACCCAATAAAAGTACTAGAATCTGTACTTTACTGAGAAAGTGTAATCCCAAATATAACATGTGTTACATTTGGAGAGGACACCAGAAATGGGCTTCACACATTGTTGCCATTGGGGAATCAAACCCAGGTCTTCTGCATGATGAGCAAACGCTTTAACCACTAGGCTACCCCACTTCCCCTCTTGGCTCATGATTTAATCCGGTAAGCCAACACTTTACCATGGGACTATGCTTGTTTACCAAGTAATCAACATCTGACTTTCACCTTTATGCACATTAACCATTTTTAGTGAAACACAAAAGTAAATTATAAAATTTCATTGAATTAATATGTTAAATAGCTACACTTACATCACAACTAATGATAAGGATTGTAAAGGAGTGTTTGATTAGAAAATGTGCCGATCCAAATGATCCTGAAGGGCGGTTTGATCAGAAAGGGATAGTGAACCCTAATGATAGTAAAGGAATACCTGATAGGAAAGGGTATCCAATGAATAAAGACAGAGTTTGGTGTAACCTAGCCTAATCACCATGTGATCACAATAAACTAGCTCTTTAAACTAGCTAAACTATTAAAGAAGTTGATAACCATAAATACTTAGGTATAACACTTCAAAGCGATTGTTCTTGGAAAGTTCATATAGGTGACATGGTAAAGAAAATTAGTCCAATGATCAATTGTCTGAGAAGTTTGAAATATCGTTTATCTTGGAAAACACTAAATACTTTATATAACTCCTTTATCTTACCACTTTTTGATTACTGCTGTCATATATGGGATAATTGTACGATTGAACAGGCGATTTTACTGGAAAATTTACACTTAGACGCATTAAGAACTATATGCGGTGCGCGTTCGTGGCACCAGTCATGATAAAATATACAAGGAAACCAATTATAGCACACTGAAACAAAGACGATATCGCTCTAAACTTATAACTTTCTATAAAATGTATCATCATCTGACTCCTGATTATCTGAATGATCTTGTACCAGGTAGAGTATTTCAACAAAGCAACTATAATCTTAGAGATAGTACTTCCATTCAAACTACTAACTGTAGAACGCAAAAGATATTCTCAATCATTTTACCGAGCGATTATGTTGTGGAATTCATTGCCTGATGGAGCCGTTAACGCTATTTCCGTGAGGCAGTTTAAAACCATGATAAATCCAACAGAAACTGACAACTACTTTGATTTAAATTTTGGGACTAGATTTTGTCCAATCATCCATTGTCCTCAAGCTCGGCTGTAGTGATCTGAGCGCAGACAGATATAATGGACATATATCAGAAACAGCTAAGTGTCCATGTGGTCATTATAACGAAGACGTCATTCACTTCCTTTTTACATGGCGGAACTATCAAAATTTAAGAACAACAGTGTATTTTTATATTCAAGGATACGATGTGAATACTACCTTATACGGTAACGGTGCATTGGATAACTCAACAAATTGCGACATTCTCAACTCATTACACCAGTTCATTTTTAAAAGCAAGCTCTTCCAGTGATTATCACCTCCACATATACATGTATATTCAATGCAAGACAAGATTTATATAACTTGATTTTCTGCGGCAGCTCTTTTCGTTGCTAGGCACAACCAATACCATAACCAAATATTTATTATTCAATCATTTTTCTGAGTGTAATTTTGTCTCAGTATCATTCTTTTCTTGTCGGACTATTTCAAATATGTATCCAGCTATATTGGAACCGTGTACTGGAGGGGCGTTTATATAAGCCACTAGGCTTGTTCGCCTATCCAGGTTTCTGCATTGACAGAATAAAAATATGTTTAAACCAACTAGCTCTTAGGAGGAATGCAAGATCTGTGAAGCAAACACCACTGCCTTTGGCCTGAGCCAATTAGCACTATATAAGCTGCACCCAGAAAACGACTTTGGTATCTTTATCAGAAATGAGCAAATGTGATGCCAAAACCATCACAGATAAAGGTGTGTTGGCACTTAAACAATCCCCAACCCCTGGACTCATCAAAAACCGAAAAACATATTACCTCCATCGTTTTGACGGTGACTCCGGTCCCTTTTCACACTGTGCATGATCACGATCAAGGTGGTTATTGTCATGTCTGTTGTGACTCTTTTGTCTGATTATGTTTTCATCGTTGACATTTTCGTCCTGGTTGTCAAAAGCCGATGGTTCTGTTCTAACACACGGACTGCTTTGAGCCTCGGGACTCACGTCGGAGGATTTCGAGTCATTTACACATATGTCTTTTAACCTGTGATGTTTTCGGTTGAAAAGTGGAAACTTTGTGTCTGAGTGACTTCCATCCAACGATATATTAGAAAGGAAACTGATAGCGGCTAATCTTCGACGGGAACGGCATTTCTGTGTTTTTCTGCTTGCGGCCATCTTTGATATTCTGTCAAATCTCGCGGAAGTTGACAGAGAACGAGAAAACCTGAGACCAGGAACTGTGGCCATTTTCAGAACTCGATTTGACAGATATTCACTCACACCCGAGAAGTGATCATAACTGTTTTTAGTGTATGAGGACGTAATACAGCCTCTTCAGAATGGACTCGGGTGCGAGTAGCAGTAGGGGGCTCCGTATGAATGTGATGGAGGGTGTAGGGGCACGAGTGGCCCGTGGACCTGACTGGAAATGGGGTAAACAAGACGGAGGGGAAGGTCACGTTGGCACTGTCAGAAACTTCGAATCACCGGAGGAAGTTGTAGTGGTGTGGGATAACGGGACAGCAGCTAATTACAGATGTGCTGGAGCTTACGACCTCAGAATCTTAGACAGTGCACCAACCGGTTAGTGACACAAGATTAATTAAATCCGAAAACACAACGAAAGATATAATCCGAAAACACAACGAAAGATATCTGTCTAGACTGTATTTTAACTGGCGATCTCTAAATGATTACTGTGGTCTAGTTACACATCTATTCAGTGTTGTATATTTATGATAGTCTCATTTGACATTCAATGATTTGTCACAGAAAGAGATGTATTTTCAGTTGTTAAAATGATTAAATATGTTTTAAAAAAACAATAGTATATGTATAGAATTAGAATTATTATATGAGAGATATTCAGATAATGGCATTGGCAGATGGTGGAGCACTTTACCAATTTATTAAATCTAATGCATATCAGTATTTGACAGGATATGCCCTGTGCTATTACCATGATTAATTCTAACACAAGTAATAGGATAGTACATGACATAGTTGAGTCCTGTTTTTTGGCATGGTAGGAGTGCTTTGGTAATTCATGTGATATATAGGATACGCAATACCGTCATCCTGTGTTCATGATATCACAAATACATGCAGTTAATGAGTGTTATCATATGAGCTCTGTTGGTTCATTGCTGTGGAGTTATTTTCCATTCAGTTTCATGTGTGTTCTTTTGTAAATGATGTGTAACAATCACGATACTAGTATTACTACTATTTTAGTAAACACACCTAAAATTCATTAGTTATTATGTAACTGCCAATCTATGGAATAATACAGTGAATTTTATTGATCTTTGACAAATGAGATTCAGTTGGTTAAACCTCAGTTCACTCACTCATTCACTCTTTCACACTTACTCACTCACTCCTGTGGAGGTAAATATGTAAGTAAGACCTGCATCAACATGATCACCAGGGTTACTCCTCTGATGTAACTGAAATACTGTTCTTAGCAGTATTAAACCAAACTCACTCACCCTACTGAATAAATCTTGCATTCTTCAGGAACACAATTTATAGGATTTCATCATAATGGTACGCTTATAATAAGCTGATAAATAAAAAATGTATCAAATCTATTATCATTATGGATGTCAGAGAATAGAACATATCAAATTTAAATATCCTTTTCTAAATTAGCAACAGCAGAATATTTCTGCTATAAATTTTCCCGATACAGGGACAAGGATGTATGCAGTACAGAAATATGTGTCTTGTATGCACAAATGTAGATGATAAATACTGAAAAAAGTATATTGCGTCCCACTAACAGAGCACGACTCTATAAGAGCATCCTCATGTTTCCTTAAGGAGACTTGAAATTAATTATTGTATACTGAGGTTTATAGGTCAGGTGACCGCCTCCGTGGTGTAGTGGTTAGAGCGTCCGCCCGGAGAGCGGAAGGTCGCGGGTTCGATCCCCGACCGCGTCATACCAAAAGACGTTAAAATATGGTACTTGTTGGTCCCTGCCTGGCGCTCGGCATTAATGGGTACAACAAGGACTGGTCGGCTCGGAGTCAGTATAATGTGTCTGAGTGGGGTATTCATGCTTCACTGCGGCATGGTATCTCAGTGGGCTAGCACTATAAAACAAGCTTAAGTCTGGGCTAGTACAAGCAGCCGCACATACACATACACATGCATGCCCGTCGTCATATGAGCGAAATATTCTCAAGCACGACGTTAAACCCAATTTCACCTCACCTCACCTTGTAGGTCAGGTAACACCGTTCAGGGAAGACATGCTTGTTAGTACTGGACTGATTAGCTGATTAATCTGAAGTGATTATGTGCACAGTATGCCCTTCCATGCTCTACTTGCCATGCTAGTGGTGATTACCTTGCCTGTGAAATATAAGATTGGTAGCTCAACTGAACCGAGAACAGTTATGAGTAGTAAATTGCCACACAGTGAAGTCAGGTTTTATGTTTGGTCAGTTTGTTACCTTTTAATTGCCATCAATACAAATCTTAGTGATTTTTATCCGATAAACACATAAAGGTCACATTTGTATTTATATATATTTTTTTACAGATATTTTGTGTAGAGAAACTAGCAAATATTGAATTGATATTTAGAAATATAATGAAAATACAAAAGGTCTGGAGAATTAACCTGTGAAGACCCGGTTTAGAATTGATCTTCAGTAACCCATGTTTGTCGTAAGAGGCGACTTATGGGATTGGGTGGTCAGGCTCGCTGACTTGGTTGACATATGTCATCGTATCCCAATTGCAAAGATCAATGTTCATGCTAGCCGTGTTAATCACTGGATTGTCTGGCTTTCCTCACATAATAAGCTGACGTTTCATGAGGTTTGATTCCCCACATGGGTACAATATGCGAAGCCCATTTCTGGTGTCTCCCGCCGGGATATTGCTGGAATGTTGCTAAAAGTGCCATGAAATAAAACTCACTCACTCACTTGAATCCTGATATGTCGAGATTACCGGTATGTTTCTTTGTTTGTCACTCATGTCAGCACCTACCCAGGGTCATGGGTGAGTGTGTGAGTTTATTTTTACGGCGCTGCTTTTTCGTCATTGAATGACGAAGGAAAACATTTGTTTATGAATGAAAGCCTGTGTAGATTCTAATTAAAACCATAAAGTTAATCACAAAAACTGCATATATGTTCTTTACCAAATATACTGGTTCTCAGAAAAAATATTGCAATACGTATCGTTTGAAAAGTGTATTGCAGTATACCGATGGTGGTGGTGGTGGAATTGGGTTTAACGTCGTGCTTGAGAATATTTCGCTCATATGACAACGTGCATGCATGTGTATGTGCGACTGCTTGTACTAGCCCAGACTGAAGCTGGTTTTATAGTGCTAGCCCACTGTGATACCATGCCACAGTGAAGCATGAATACCCCACTCAGACACATTATACTGACTCCGAGCCGACCAGTCCTTGATGGACCCATTAATGCCGAGCGCCAGGCAGGGACCAACAAGTACCATATTTTAACGTCTTTTGGTATGACGTGGTCGGGGATCGAACCCACGACCTTCCGCACTCCGGGCGGACGCTCTAACCACTACACACGGAGGCGGTCTGCAGTATACCGGTATACCAGTAATACCATGCAGTCCTATTCACCAGTGGTAAATGTGTGTGACCTGCTTCACTTGGAGCCACACATTGCTAAATAACAGGAATACTGTTCAAACCAACTTTCTCACTCACTCACTTACTCACAGTAATTCCAAGAGCAAAATGACATTCAGGAAAATAATGACCATATAATCATGATAAATTTATGTTAATGTTAATGAACATCTTGTTGCAAGTTTAAGGTGAGGGTGTTTTGGATAAGGGTGGAGTGGTTATTGAAATGCTGACAGAGCTTACACTGTATCCATGGTAACATGACAACATTATGATGTGCAATTACTCTCAAAGACAGTAACTTGTTGCACTGTATATCATGCATTGCCTGTGATCTTAAATTTATCATCTTCATCACTAAGGATCTTTGTTGTGTTTACCATGTGCATTTACCATGTTTATTTACCGTGTGTAATTGCCATATTTGTGATACAACTATGTATTTTGTAAGTTAGACTTTATGCCATTTTTAGCAATATTTCAGCAGTTTCACATGTAGAGACCAGAAATGGTCTTCTATTAAGTTCTAATGTTGTACCCATGTTTAGAATCAAACCCAGGACTTTGTAGTGACGAGGGGAACACCTTAACCATGTTAACCACTGTGTTCCATAGTGAGTGAAATAAGCATTCCAATGCTGTCTTAACTGATAATATTCATAATCATGATAATGTCACCTTTTCATGTCAGTAAGATGTAACTGCAACAACGCACCTCGTCAATGTGGGGCTGTGGGGTAGCCTTGTGGTTAAAGCATTCGCTCATTACGCCGAAGGCCCGGGTTATATTCACCACAAAGATACAATGTATGCAGCACATTCCTGATGTTCTCCACCATGATGTTGCTGGAATATTGCTAAAAGCGGCATAAAACCATATTCACCCACTCACCGTCAATGTTGGTACAGTAATGTGCACACTTTCAAACTAAGTCTTGTGATAATTTCAGGAATCAAGCACGATGGCACCATGTGTGATATGTGCAGACAACAGCCCATATTTGGTATCCGATGGAAGTGTGCAGAGTGTCCTAACTATGACTTGTGTTCTGTGTGTTACCATGGTGACAAGCACAATCTCAGACACCGCTTTTACAGAATTGGCACTCCTGGAAATGAAAGGTATGTACAAAGAATCTAAAGATTTAATCTACCTTTAAAGTAGACATGGCATATGAAGTCTTCCATTGTAGATGTTGACAACTGCATTGTTGACATATTTTGGTGGTGCAGTATTTCATCTTTTTACATAGTGAATGGTCAGGAAGAAAGTTCGAAAAGGTTTTCAGCAATCCATGCTTTTTATAAATTAAGACTTTTTGGACAGACCCATAGTGGTCAGGATGGTAACTTAGTTGGTGCTAACCATCCGCTCCGGTCAGTGGTAGAATTAGGTGCTAACCAACCACTCTGCTCAGTGGTAGAATGATGTGCTAACCAACCATCCTGGTCAGTGGTAGAATGAGGTGCTAACCAACCACTCTGCTCAGTGGTAGAATGAGGTGCTAACCAACCATCCTGGTCAGTGGTAGAATTAGGTGCTAACCAACCACTCTGCTAGTGGTAGAATGAGGTGCTAACCAACCTCTCTGTTCAGTGGTAGAATGAGGTGCTAACCAACCACTCTGTTCAGTGATAGAATGAGGTGCTAACCAACCACTCTGTTCAGTGGTAGAATGAGGTGCTAACCAACCACTCTGCTCAGTGGTAGAATGAGGTGCTAACCAACCTCTCTGTTCAGTGGTAGAATGAGGTGCTAACCAACCTCTCAGGTCAGTGGTAGAATGAGGTGCTAACCAACCACTCTGTTCAGTGGTAGAATGAGGTGCTAACCAACCACTCTGTTCAGTGGTAGAATGAGGTGCTAACCAACCACTCTGCTCAGTGGTAGAATGAGGTGCTAACCAACCTCTCTGTTCAGTGGTAGAATGAGGTGCTAACCAACCACTCTGTTCAGTGGTAGAATGAGGTGCTAACCAACCACTCTGTTCAGTGATAGAATGAGGTGCTAACCAACCACTCTGTTCAGTGGTAGAATGATGTGCTAACCAACCACTCTGCTCAGTGGTAGAATGAGGTGCTAACCAATCACTCTGTTCAGTGGTAGAATGAGGTGCTAACCAATCACTCTGCTAGTGGTAGAATGAGGTGCTAACCAACCACTCTGCTCAGTGGTAGAATGAGGTGCTAACCAATCACTCTGGTCAGTGGTAGAATGAGGTGCTAACGTACCACTCTGCTAGTGCTAGAATGAGATGCTAACCAACCACTCTGCTCAGTGGTAGAATGAGGTGCTAGCCAGCCACTCTGTTCAGTGGTAGAATTAGGTGCTAACCAACCGCTCTGTTCAGTGGTAGGATGAGGTGCTATCCAACCTCTCTGTTCAGTGGTAGAATGAGGTGCTAACCAACCGATCTGCTCAGGGGTAGAATGCGGTGCTAACCAACCACTCTGCTCAGTGGTAGAATGAGGTGCTAACCAACCACTCTGGTCAGTGGTAGAATGAGGTGCTAACCAGACACTCTGCTCAGTGGTAGAATGAGGTGCTAACCAACCACTCTGCTCAGTGGTAGAATTAGGTGCTAACCAACCACTCTGTTCAGTGGTAGAATGAGGTGCTAACCAACCACTCTGTTCAGTGGTAGAATGAGGTGCTATCCAACCTCTCTGCTCAGTGGTAGAATTAGGTGCTAACCAACCACTCTGGTCAGTGGTAGAATGAGGTGCTAACCAAACACTCTGTTCAGTGGTAGAATGAGGTGCTAACCAAACACTCTGCTCAGTGGTAGAATGAGGTGCTAACCAACCATTCTGCTCAGTGATAGAATGAGGTGCTAACCAACCTCTCTGGTTAGTGGTAGGATGAGGTGCTAACCAACCGCTCTGCTCAGTGGAAGAATTAGGTGCTAACCAAACACTCTGTTCAGTGGTAGAATGAGGTGCTAACCAAACACTCTGCTCAGTGATAGAATGAGGTGCTAACCAACCACTCTGTTCAGTGGTAGAATGAGGTGCTAACCAAACACTCTGCTCAGTGGTAGAATGAGGTGCTAACCAACCATTCTGCTCAGTGATAGAATGAGGTGCTAACCAACCTCTCTGGTTAGTGGTAGGATGAGGTGCTAACGAACCACTCTGTTCTGTGTAAGAGTATTGCATCACTCAATCATTCTTCACCCAACCACTGTAAGAATGGATCAGTGAACTCCCAGGAGTATGGTAATGGCCTTTGTAGTTTCATGGTTCATTTAAATTCAAACACATTACACAATCAGCAAATAGTCCTTGTCCAGGGAATGACATCCTTGATACACTCTAAAGAGTGTAAGAACTGCAGTATCATGAAGTTGTATGGTGATCCAGTTGAATGTTACCAAAACCGTGACAGGATGTTTGCTCTTGATAAACATGAAACTGATGGACCTATACCATTTCAGTATGTTCAATGTGATATGATATATTTCTAAAATCAGAGCTAAGGGGTCAGAGTTGACCTATGTCAGTTATGGTTGAACCAGTTTGTGTTGTTACATACTACAGTGTAGTCAGTGTATGTGGCAATATGTTGTTTACCTGGTGACATCCTCTCTGATGCAGGGTGCTGCTGGAACCTCGCAGAAAGAGCAAGAAGATCACGGCCAGGGGGATTTACCCTGGGGCCAGGGTTGTGCGAGGTGTCGACTGGCAGTGGGAAGACCAGGACGGGGGCAACGGACGAAGGGGGAAGGTTACTGAAATACAGGTGGGTAATGATGTTGTTTCGTAAGGTTTGGATGTCTGCAAGGGGAAAGTTTACTGAGATACAGGATCTAGGAAGATCTGTGTTAGAATTGGTCTTCAGTAACCCATGCTTGTCGTATGAGGCTACTAACTGGATCGGGTGGTCACACTCGCTGACTTGGTTGACACATGTCATCGTACCCCAATTGCGTAGATCAGTGCTTATGCTGTTGATCACTGGATTGTCTGGTCCAGACTCAGTTATTTACAGACCACGCTGTATAGCTGGAATATTGCTGAGTGCAGTGTAAACAACAAATGAACAAAACTGAGGTACAAGAGGGTAATGAGATTGTATTGTACAGGTGCAACAACCCAAGGTAAAGCAACTTAAATACACGCAGGTAACAATGATTTCATACATGGGTGATGACCCAATGAAAAGCATCACTGACCAAGGGGAAGACTGCTGTCTACCGAGGGAGGTAGTAATGCATCAGGGGAAGGTGGCAATGACCCAGGGGAAGGCATATTTAACATCATAGTGTCATAGGCAGTGGCACAGACACACTGATGTCGCACTACCTTAAATATCGTTCCCCCTCGGTGAGAATATCGTGTCCCCCTTGAGTGAGAATATTGTGTCCCCCTTAGGTGAGAATATCGTGTTCCCCTTGGGTGAGAATATCGTGTGTCCCCTCGGTGAGAATATCGTGTGTCCCCTCGGTGAGAATATCGTGTGTCCCCTCGGTGAGAATATCGTGTGTCCCCTCGGTGAGAATATCGTGTGTCCCCCTTGAGTGAGAATATTGTGTCCCCCTTGGGTGAGAATATCGTGTTCCCCTTGGGTGAGAATATCGTGTGTCCCCTCGGTGAGAATATCGTGTGTCCCCTTGGTGAGAATATTGTGTCCCCCTTAGGTGATAATATCGTGTTCCCCTTGGGTGAGAATATCGTGTGTCCCCTCGGTGAGAATATCGTGTGTCCCCCTTGGGTGAGAATATTGTGTCCCCCCTCGGTGAGAATATCGTGTGTCCCCTCGGTGAGAATATTGTGTCCCCCCTCGGTGAGAATATCGTGTCCCCCTCGGTGAGAATATCGTGTGTCCCCCTTGAGTGAGAATATTGTGTCCCCCTTGGGTGAGAATATCGTGTTCCCCTTGGGTGAGAATATCGTGTGTCCCCTCGGTGAGAATATCGTGTGTCCCCCTTGAGTGAGAATATTGTGTCCCCCTTAGGTGATAATATCGTGTTCCCCTTGGGTGGGAATATTGTGTCCCCTTTCGTGAGAATATCGTGTCCCCTTGAGTGAGAATATTGTGTCCCCCTTGGGTGAGAGTATTGTGTCCCCCCTCGGTGAGAATATCGTGTGTCCCCTCGGTGAGAATATCGTGTGTCCCCCTTGAGTGAGAATATTGTGTCCCCCTTAGGTGATAATATCGTGTGTCCCCTTGAGTGAGAATATTGTGTCCCCTTGGGTGAGAATATCGTGTCCCCTCGGTGAGAATATCGCAGTGTCCCCTTGAGTGAGAATATTGTGTCCCCCCTCGGTGAGAATATCGTGTGTCCCCTCGGTGAGAATATCGTGTGTCCCCCTTGAGTGAGAATATTGTGTCCCCCTTGGGTGAGAATATCGTGTGTCCCCTCGGTGAGAATATCGTGTGTCCCCTCGGTGAGAATATCGTGTGTCCCCCTTGAGTGAGAATATTGTGTCCCCCTTAGGTGATAATATCGTGTTCCCCTTGGGTGAGAATATCGTGTGTCCCCTCGGTGAGAATATCGTGTGTCCCCCTTGAGTGAGAATATTGTGTCCCCCCTCGGTGAGAATATCGTGTGTCCCCTCGGTGAGAATATCCTGTGTCCCCCTTGAGTGAGAATATTGTGTCCCCCTTGGGTGAGAATATCGTGTCCCCCTTGGGTGAGAATAACGTGTCCCCCCTCGGTGAGAATATCGTGTTCCCCTTGGGTGAAAATATCGTGTGTCCCCCTTAGGTGAGAATATCATGTACCCCTCGGTGAGAATATTGTGTCCTCCCTTGGTTGAGAATACTGTGTCCCCCCTTGGTGAAAATATCGTGTACCCTTAGGTGAGAATATTGTGTCTGCCTTGGGTGAAAATATTGTGTCCTCCTTGGGTGAGAATGTTGTGTCCCCCTTGGGTGAGAATATCATGTTCCCCCTCGATGGGAATATCATGTTCCCCTTGGTTGAGAATATCGTGTACCCCATGCGTGAGAATATTGTGTCCCCCCTTGGGTGAGTGTCCCCCATGGGTGAAAATGTTGTGTCCCCCTTGGGTGAGAATATCATGTTCCCCCTCGATGGGAATATCATGTTCCCCTTGGTTGAGAATATCGTGTACCCCATGCGTGAGAATATTGTGTCCCCCCTTGGGTGAGTGTCCCCCATGGGTGAAAATGTTGTGTCCCCCTTGGGTGAGAATATCATGTTCCTCCACGGTGAGAATATCGTGTCCCCCTTGGGTGAGAATATCGTGTACCCATTGGGTGAGAATATAATGTCACCCTCGGTGAGAATATTGTGTTCCCCTTCGGTGAGAATATCGTGTCCCCCCTCAGTGAAAATATCATGGCCCCCTTGGGTGAAAATATTGTGTCCCCCTTGAGTGAGAATATCATTTCCCCTTGGTTGAGAATATCATGTCCCCCTTGGGTGAGAATATTGTGTCCCCCTTGGATGAGAATATTGTGTCCCCTTTGAGTGAGAATATTGTGTCCCCCTTGGGTGAGAATATTGTGTCCCCCTTGGGTGAGAATATTGTGTCCCCTTTGAGTGAGAATATTGTGTCCCCTTTGGGTGAGAATATTGTGTCCCCTTTGGGTGAGAATATTGTGTCCCCTTTGAGTGAGAATATTGTGTCCCCCTTGGGTGAGAATATTGTGTCCCCTTTGAGTGAGAATATTGTGTCCCCCTTTGGGTGAGAATATTGTGTCCCCTTTGAGTGAGTTTATTGTGCCCCCTTTGGGTGAGAATATCGTGTCCCTCTTGGGTGAGACTAGTGCCCCAGAAACCAAGAGGCTCAGTGATTTTGTTGACTGCATGTTTTCCTACTTCAACGTTGTAGATTAGTGCTGACAATATCAATCACTCAGTTTGATTTATTATTTCGGACTGTGTCTGTATTCAGTAGTGAGGCCTACAGCATTCATAGCAGTCAGGAAGATCATTACAGATTAAGGTCATGGAGACTTATTTTGTTGGTTGCGTTGTGAGAGATCTTGTCGGGGGTATAAACTGTATGTTTGTTACACATAAACTATGTTTGTTACACAGGATTGGAGCTCGGCTAGTCCCCGCAGTGCTGCCTACGTTCTGTGGGATAATGGGGCCAAGAACCTGTACAGGGTTGGATTTGAGGGCATGGTAAGTGCAAGTTGACATCAACAGAACAGGTTTATGTAGAGTTGTCTCCCTTAGACCATGTTTAATTTTGAAATTATTTGGTGTATGAAAGAACAGTACGGAATGGCTATTGTTCGTTATGGAGAAACTATATCTGAAAAACTGGAACTTTCTTTAAGAAATTTAGATAAAATTAGACTTTTTTATGTTTTATGCTTCAACAATGGTATGGAGATTATATTAATGAAGTTGTGAGAATCTCTAAACCAAATTAAAAAAGGTTTTATCTGAATTATCTCCCTTGGGTGATGAAGTTACCTGAATCTGAAAACAGTTTCTATAGATCTTGCTTCAATTATCTCCATTGTGCTGTAGGCGGACCTTAAGGTGATGAATGATGCCAAGGGCGGGTCCTTCTACCGAGACCACCTACCTCTACTGGGTAAGTCAGTTTGTGTAGTGTACCAGGTTTACACACTCCGACCAGGGTCCATGCTTAATGCCACCGTATAAGCTCTTTACCAGGATAGAGATGGCATGTACAGGAGTGGTTGTGGTTGGATGTTGAAATCAAGAGATCGATAGTGTTCCCACTGGAGGATTCAGAAAGGGCAGGGTAAATTAAACAAAAAGGGCACTTCATAATCTAAAAGGGCACTTTGGTGAGGATTATTGAAAAAATAACAATAACAAAATGTATATGAAGTCAAATGCTCTTATAATTTTATTTCTAAAGTTCATTTATTACTCTTCTCATTTTGTATTTTAAGATCAAAATTTGGAAAAAAAAGCATTTCAAGACATTAACCTGTTGTCACATTTGTTTACAATTTCACAAAACACACAAACAACAATTTACAGTCTTCTTTTCTTTCTTACCAAGCATCTGTTCACAACTTTTTTCAAGTCAATGTCTGAAACTGACGATGCATTCAGGCTAATCATGAGAAGTCCGTTGCAATTTTGAACACTGAGTCTGTTTCTATGATCTGTCACAATCAGTTTCACTTTTGAGAACACTCTCTCAACTTCAGAAGTGGACAATCACAGTTGCATGAATGGACAGTAATTGAACAATGTCTGGATTCAAGTTTCCAAGTTGAGGCTTGAGTCTTCAAAATGGTGGAGGGTGAACTGGTGTCAAGCTCCTTTACTTGACTCCACTCAATCTGTGTTTGGTCGACATTAAGTCCATTTCTGCCCTTGGTGTTCCACTTAGAACATAATGAACAACAAAACATCATTCCCTTCTTTTTGTCATCTTCTGAGTACCTCGACCAGGGACGGTTTTGTTGCCACTTTGTGTCAAATGCAGTCTTGTGACCACCATCTTTCTTCTGTGTTGGATTAACTGACTCTGTCTCGTGTGCCCTTGAATTTTCATAGGAAACTACCTCTGACTCGTCCGGTCTGAAAAAAAAAATAATACAAAGTTCATATACCATATTCAAAATATTCTTAGATATTAAATTTGCAATCATAATTATTAAAACAAAAATATCACACAATAATACACCTGAACGTAAGTATCTACTGTGGAGAGCCTCGACAAGGGTGTGGCTTCCCATTGTTTGAAATCGTAAAATAGTTTTACGCCTTCAAGACTTACATTTTTATGAAATCGACAGTAAACACTAAAAACAAGGCTACCAAGTGAAGCTGTTATGCAAGCTGTATTAACTATTTCATTTCCCAGGACAAACAACAAAATAATTCAAGATCAATTTCAAATTGCCGATGGATTCAAAATGGCGGACATTTTCGAAGTTTCAGATTTTCACCTAAACAGCACAGTCACATGAATATCGGTCCCCAAACGCATTCAAAATACATCCCATGTAGTTCACACATCGTTGTCTTTAATAAATGAAGGTCTTATTTGAAAGGCATGTGAAATTGAAAGGGAAATCAACGGCCTAAAAATCACTTAACTTAGAGGCACATACCTGTTAGGAGCTTAAGAAATCTATTAGTCGGCGACACTTCCTTGCTTCAACCTTCACCGCTTCTTCTTTTTCCATTTGATTCTTTCCTTGGTAGGCATTGTGATTTGTAAAGTTTAATTAAACACATTTGACTTCGCCATGGTTTAAATGCCAATTTCCTAATCATTATCAAAACAATTTGGTGTCTCCCCTTGAAAGGGAGAGAACTCCGCCCTTAATAAAATCCGAAAATACACACGGGTTGTTGTAAAATCAAGCACAGCTGGAAAAAAACTGGGATTGAGGCTAAAAGGGCAGGGCAGGGCAGGGCAAAACAAAGGGCGGGCAGGGCTAAGACTTGATTATTTACAGACTCAAAACTCACTGGCAGGGCAATGCCCAGCAAACAGGTTCTGTGTTATGTAAATGTGCCTTGTGTGAGGGGAACACTATCACATTCTCTTCTTCCCAGTGTAAATGGCACACCATCGTAATGCAATCCATGTACTATGTTTTTCACCTGCTGATAACCTTCAAGTGACCGATTTTACAAATTAAATTCAGTAAGTAACACAAAAACACACAAAGTACCTTAGTTTGAGCATACAACTGATAGCTCTCTTTTTCCATTACTGTTAGTCAGTTAGTTTTCCATCAGTGTATATGCACCTAAACTCAAAGTTTCGTTGTGTTGGCATTATGAAAGTTCCTACAGATTGAAAGGTGGAGATTTAAACGATGTTGAAAATAAACAAAATGCAGAGTTATATATCTGTAAAAATACACCAATTGTTGTTGATATTATTCAGTATTTTTACGATGGTGCCATATTGATTGAAATTAAAAGCAGACAATGTTGATCATATGCATCAGAATAGATAGCTTCATTAAGTACCTTCAGTTTCAAGTAAGACATATATCGTGTGTCAGAATACACATTAAACAGGATTACATAACTTCAGATTAGAGTTACTTCTCTTTGGTTTCAGGAGCAACAGAGAGGAAAAATGGCTGACTAATATTAGTGTACGAAATGACACTAAAATTAACTGACATGATACTATGAACCTTCTTTTGGTAATGACTGCTGACACAAATAAAATGATCTGACCCCTCGTTTCAGTGTTTGGGTACGACAGGAACCGTGGTTGGCATTGATGAGGATCACGATATTGTCGTCTCCTACCCAAGTGGGAACAGGTAAATCTCTGTGGATCTCTTCATCATTCTCACCTTTATACAGTAACACTGAACAGTTAACCATTACAAATCTTCCATTTATTATCATTATCTGTAATATAAAGCTGCAAATCGATAAAAAACACTTAAGACTCATATTGTAATATTCATTCCACTCTACAGCTTTGATTACAAAGAGTTTTGTTGTCTGATTCACTGCAGCACATTGCCAGAGTTATGTCCCTTTGGTGTGCCAGAAACCCGTGACTGCTCTCAACTTGTCACTTACTTAATGACATTATATTTTTAAAGACTTCTGTCATACAGCTGATATTGCTGAGTGAGGTGTTAAACAATAAACAAACAATTCCCTGAATTGGTTTCGATGTAGAAGACTTATATTTGTTGTTTCAAATTGGTGTTGAAAATTAGGCTTGAAAGTGTAGAGAACATTGCATCATCGTAGGTTTAATGTTCATGATTCAGAGGTCTCCATTTTACAGTACTTTCGGAGTTTCATGTACCCAACCCACCTTAAAATCAAACACTCAGGTCATTATCAATAGTTGATGAAAAATAATTAGACTTATTTCTGAGTGAGTGAGTATGGTTTTATGCTGCTTTTAGCAATATTCCAGAAATATCATGGCAGGGGACACCAGAAATGGGCTTTACTTATTTCTGAATTTATACAGTAGACTCATTTTTCAAATCAGTACCATACAGACACAAGAAATATGCACATTTTGCTCTCATTTCAGAAAGTAAGCTAAACGAGCTCCTGGCAATTGATTCGAGCCCTAATACTGACTTACTTACTGAGTTTAGTTTTACACCACTTTTAGCAATATTCCAGCAATATCACGGCGGGGAACACCAGAAATGGGCTTCACACATTGTGCCCATGTGGGGAATCGAACCCGGGTCTTCAGCGTGACGAGCCAACGCTTTAACCACTAGGCTATCCCACCGCCCCTCAAGCCCTAATACAAGAGTGTGTGTGTTTGTGTAGATGGACGTTCAACCCAGCTGTGCTGACGAAGGTAAACACAGCCAGCAGCTCCGCCTCCCTCGCTAGTGACACCAGCACAGCCACACAGTTCGCTGTGGGGGGACCTGGTTCAGATCTGTAACGATGTCGAGAGAATCAAGGTGCTCCAGCGAGGCCATGGAGAATGGGCTGAAGCCATGCTGCCGGTAAGAAGCTTCTCAACATCTTTGATATTTGGGGGGCCTAGGATTTTTTTTCATGTTTTGTTTCAGATACTACAGGTTAAAGTTAAATCAAATAGTGAGTGAGTATGGTTTTACGATGTTCCGGCAATATCATGGCAGGTTAGACGAGAAATGGGCTTCACACATTGTACCTGGGTTTTCGGTGTGACGAACGAACGCTTTAACCACTAGGCTACCCCACCACCGTATAAATCAATATAGTCTGCCTTAAATGCTGTGGTGATGTAAGAAGGGTGTTTTAAAAGAAGGAAAATTGAATTCTACTTTCTGAAATAAAATGCTCAACATCATTGTGTGTCTTGATGTTTTCCACTGAATTTCCTGGAATATTTTCAACACCTGCTCAACACAAATTATGTCATGTTTAAGTATGAAGAAATTCTTTGTTGTAAGACTAAAGAGGTTGCTTATTTGAAATGGGAGGTCTGCGACTTGTGTGATTAGGTCATTTTGTACAGCCACAGAGTGCTCATGCTGTCAACCACTGGTTGTGTAGCCAAGTGTCTCTGTTACCAAGGACATCATTATGACATTACTCTGTATTTATTTCAGACGCTAGGGAAGATCGGGGCGTGTCCAGCAGATCTACCACGACAATGATCTGAAAGTGGAGGTGTGTGGGACGTCGTGGACGTACAACCCCTCGGCTGTCACGAAGGTGGCGTCTGCTGATGGGGCTGCCATTGGCTGCTCGTCTGGAGGTAACGGTGTGCACATTCAAATATTGAAGAAACATTCTTATTCAGGGCAATTGCCAGGGCTGCCAAACTGATATTACTATTAGTGATTTATGTAAAGTAGTGCTCTGTTACATTAGTTTCAATGCCTAGACACTGGTACGGTCTGTTGCTTTTGTTTCTAGTGGAGAACTTCATCCCTTTGAAGCATCCTCATGAAATACTGTACATGTTGCTGAAGTGCTGCTGAAATACTGCTGATGGATGTTTAGTATTTTCCTGATTTACCAGTGTGTATTGTGTGTCACCATATGGTGAAATTAAATTCCATATGATTCTACTTATAAAGAGTTCTGTAAATGATGCCACAAAAAGAAGTCAAATTTCTAATGAATGTGATAATTAATTGGAGTTTTTTGTTACATGATTAAAATATTATGAATTATTAACACAAAATTGTGACCTCTTCAATACAACCAGTTGAATCAAGTTTGTACAATCTTTTCACCTCATACCCGTACGATTTAAATATTTATTCATTTGGGGATATGTTTGGAAGAATCTATATTAGACTGATAACCATGTTGGGAATGCTCTTTTCAGAAATGCACAATATCAACACATACAGTGTTTCATGTTATTTTTCTTTCCCTTTTGTGAAGTAGGACTCTGATTCATTAAATAGAAGCTGGCAAATGTTTCAACACCCATGTATGTTTGTAGAGCGTCTGAGTGCCCTGCTGAAGAAGTTGTTTGAGACTCACGTCTCTGGTGACGTCAATGAGGAGTTGGTGAAGGCTGCTGCCAACGGTGATGGGTCCAAGGTTGATGAGATATTACAACGACCTGAAGGGGAGGTCAGCCTGAATGGTCAGAAGGTCAGTCGGTCACTCTAGACATGCAGCAATCGCTCTACAAAGGATTGACATTTATGTTCTATGGCTGTAAAATGCAACAATTTATTGCTTGTATTTGAAGTTTGTTTTTTGGTGTTCAAACGTTTTTTGGTTTTTTTCATTGTTTGGTATTCTAACTTAGTTGTATGGTCATATTACAGGGATTTAATAGCTGTCACTCAACAATCTCTCTCTGTACTGTACACATATTTATGCCAGTGAGATAAAAAAATTGCCATATTTAATGGCCAATGTTGAAAGATCAAGATTGTTGCTTGTTAGGTAATATAACTCGGCCATTTTTCACTGATGTTAATTGTATTCCAAATTATCTGCTCTTGGCAGGCAAATTTGAAAATATACTTTTTTATCCCCAGAGCGCTTTTTGGGGTATTAAAATGGACTCCGTCCGTCCGTCCGTCCGTCCGTCCGTCCGTGCACATTTGTCTTTTCCGGAGCAGAACTCTAAAACCTGTCAATATTTCTTCACCATTTTTGGCGTTTCCATGGCAACAAGTTTGACTTAGACTGAAATTAGTGGTAGTGCTCTTTTCCGGAGCAGAACTCTAAAACCGTTCACTATTTCTTAACCAAACTTGGCACATAGATAGATCTGGTGGTGTACTGGTGCCTTTTGGTAGTTTTGGAATTCTGAATAAAATATTTTTGGCATTTACATGGCAACAAGTTCGACTTAGCCTGAAATTGTGGTAGTGCTCTTTTCCGGAGCAGAACTCTAAAACCTTTCAATACTCTCCTTCCACTTTTCTATATACACACCTAAATATTTGACATAATCATAACTCGTAGACATAATCATGTAGAGTATTTTGCCATTGCGGGGGATATTGATGACTTTGTCTTCTTGTTTCCTCAAATGTGGATTTTCTTAAAGTTTAATACTTCTACTAATGGATTATGTCACAGTGTGGTATGGTATATTTTCAAGACTTTCTACACTTTCTGGATTGAACATCTTGAGTGACTTTATCATGAAGATAGTCCCAGCTTGTTTGTTGTTTGTGTATGGACATCAGGGTTGTCCAGAGTTGTGTCCCTTACCTACAAGTTTCTCCTAGTATCCGTAGGCCACTTGGGGTTGTACAGACCCCAGGGAGTTGATGCTGTAAATTTGAAAATGAATGGATCAACTGCTTAGGTATACAATACACCTCCTCTGAGTTTGGTTGGTTGGTTTGTTGTTTAACACCGCTCTCAGCAATATTCCAGCTGTATGGCAGCGGTCTGTAAATAATCGAGTCTGGACCAGACAATAACACAGGGTTTTACAGGACACGTGATTCCTGCATATTGGACGCAGAAATTTGATGAAGTACCACCAAGCTAAAATCCTGTGCGTCCTTGTGGACGCAACTAATTATTTTATGGAAAAGAACTATTTTTAAACTTATCCTATCTCACGACTTGCACCTCTCTCTCTTGCTTTGACTTTTAGTGGAACGACTGTAAACTTTTTTCCATAGGCCTCCTTGTCCATTCACCCGTGCACTCCATGCTGCTCTCCTTAATGAGCTTCCTAGTTCCTAATAACTAGGTACTATGTTAGCTACCTACTTAGCTGCCATCAACTCGGTTTTGGCTACCACCACGGGCAGGAAGATTTCCACTGTTCCCGAGTTGCAAAGTCTACTACGCTCCTATAGACTCTCTGACCTGTCCAGGAAGTTCAGACCTCCGGCCTGGGATCTGTCCGTCGTCCTTCGTCATATGATTTCTACAGATTATGAACCTTTAGAAGACAAGGACTTCGAACAAGTGACATTCAAGACATTCTTCCTGGAAGGTTTGGCTTCTGCTGCTCGTATATCTGAACTGCATGCGCTTGATGTCAATTGGGTGCGGTTCGAGCAGAAGAAGCATGGCAAGGCTTTCCTGGGTCACCGCTGGGACTTCATTACGAAAAACCAACTGCCAGGGCAACCGGACCGGATGTTTACCATTCCCCCCGTTGTCCACCATTCTTGGGCCTGATGATAATGAAGATTTGACACTCTGCCCTGTTAGGGCTCTACATGTTTACCTTGCTGCCTCCAAGGATCATCGACGGCTACGGAAGCGCCTCTTCATACCCTTGTCAAACGCTTAAAGAACTGAGGTTTCCCGGACCACATTGGCCTTCTGGATGCGTGCCACGATCCTGCGAGCCTACACCTTTGCAGGGTTGCCTCCTCCAGCTGCTTCCAATCCTCATGAGACTCGTGCACTAGCCCCGACGATGGCTCTCCATAGCAACTGCTCCTTGACCGCCATCATGGAAGGTTGTTTCTGGCGTTCTGATACAGTCTTCACTATCTTCACATTACCTGCGAGACCTGTCTGTCATGGATGTCCAGGGACTACACCAGTTTGGACCTCTTGTACTGGCTCAGCAGCTTACATTGGCCCAACAACGCAGATGAGGGACGGTTCCGCATTCGCGTTACTACTTCCTTGTATATACTGAATAAAAGTTGAACTGGATCTCAACCTTTTGTTCTCATTATATGGGTTTAAGAACTACATCACTTGGCCTCCATACAAAGGCATCGGAATACGGCCACCTAGCGGGACCTGAGGCACAATCAGTATGACGATGCAGAGGTGTTCGACATTCACACTTACTGACCTCTACTCCACGGAGCAATTACATCAGTGAAGTGTGACACTCCCGAATTCCAGTGGATTTCGATGTGTTCTGCCTCCAAAGTTAGGCTTAGGAGTGAGGGTCAATTTGATGCTGCCTGGAACTGAAAATAAACCTTGGAGATGCCGAGTTGTGTTTCTCTTTCACCCGCCTCGGTCGGTGTCTGGGGGGCCTTCTTGAAGCAATCGTAGCGAGGCGAGGCTTGCTTGCCGAGTTGCCTCCCTTGTCTTGTACACCACATCGCTCGGGAGCACCCATCTCCCTGGGAGTCGTTGTGCTTAGTAAGCCAAGGGGTTCTCCGGAGGAGAACCCACAACAAGCATAGGAGTTGCGTGCATGCGTAACAGGCCTCCCTTGTACATCGCTATGTACGGTTGTCATCAGTCCACACAGCTCCAAGACCAGCTGTTCGCACTGTCCAGACAGAAGGGTAATCTGCGGCCCGCCGTCCAACCGTGGGATAAGTGCAAGTCGTGAGATAGGATAAGTTTAAAAATTTGGAAATTTTGATATAAATTGTATATTTATATACTTATCCTATCTCACGCGATGGATGCCCGCCCGGCCTCCCCACTACTCAGATTACAACGTTGGCTCCAATATGAGAATGATCATTCAAGGTAGTCACGTGGGCAATTAGTGGAGCATGCTGCAAGCTTTATTAGGAACTAGGAAGCTAATTAAGGAGAGCCGCATGGAGTGCACGGGCGAATGGACAAGGAGGCCTATGGAAAAAAGATTACAGTCGTTCCACTAAAAGTCGAAGCAAGAGAGAGAGGTGCAAGTCGTGAGATAGGATAAGTATATAAATATACAATTTATATTAAAATTTCTAATTCTGAGTTTGTTATGATATCCCATATTAAAATATAAGCATTCTGTTTACAATCATTATTCTAATGACATTGAAAGTAACTCATATTATAACATAATCATTATCAAATGGGAAGCATCCATGATCAAAAATTTCATGCAAATTGATGGACTCCCAATTTTGGAAATGGACTTTCAGAATACATATACCCTGAGTCCTTGCAACAGCATGAGCATCGATCTACGCAATTGGGATACAATGACATGTGTCAACCAAGCCTGTTGCTTCTTACGACAAGCATGGGTTGCTGAAGACAAATTCTAACACGGATCATCATGGGTAGAAGTAGTAGAATAACAAAATCACCATCATCAACAAACAATGATGCATTGGTTTGGGAGGATTGTCAATGGGGTAGCATCATTAAAAGGATCAATTTGTCACGAAATGACCTGGGTTTCTCTTGTTTCTGTCCCAAAATGGCAGGTGTATGGCTTAAAGCTGCATTCAAACATTACATACACACACACAGGCTCTGGATGCATGATTCTGAATGTGAATCTCATCGTCCTGTTCTTGCGTTGCAGGTGAACGGCGTGTTTGCAGGACACACGGCACTGCAGGCAGCGTCACAGAACGGCCACATCGAGGTCATTAAAGTGCTCATCAAACACACTGTTGACATGGAAGTGGAGGTCAGTATGTGTTCTTCATTTCATTGATGTCATCGTACACAAATATTCCCTGATGAAAACTGCCTACAAATGCAAGATATTCTGTTCAATATGCTTACAAACTGTGAATGGGTGCAGGTAATGCATGTTCCTTAGGGATGCAACTTTCAGAGAAAACCGACCATAAAAGCCCAGTTGCCACCTTTGCTGAACTTGACTGCAATTTTATGGCGTGATCATACTGCAATAAGTGGCTATTACAATTATATCCTGTCTTTGTCCCTCCTGTCGGCCAATCATATTCCACTTATTACTTGCATTTGCTTCAAACGAAATAGCCGCACTTAGTCAATACCTGTTTGCAGTACATAATTTTTGCAAATCGTGCAATCGACCAAAATGTAGGTCAGTTTATGAACTAGATATCGATTATGTTCCTTGATTTTCATGTATGTCATCTAGGGCTGCAACGAATACACTATTTGGTGAATATGATGCGTATCATGAATATTGGGTAACGAATACGAATAATTATTCACGAATACAATATTGTAGTTAAGTGATTGATGTACAATATGGAATGCCCATGTTGACAGTTTTGATTTGTCACAGCAATAACCAGAGATCTCATGACACTCAAATTTGGTATGTAATCGTTATAATCGACAGTACCATGTGCAGTCTTGGCAAAGTAACATGACTTGCACTACTGAAATGCTAGTACATGTTCCATTCTTGCATATCTCACTTTGGAAAGGACATAAGTAAAACATGCTCCCTTAAAAAAATCGTACATATTCGTTAATATTCGGTTCTGGTGACCACGAATAACGAATTGAATTCATGAAGGGCTACGGTTCGATTCACCGAATATGCAAGTGAATTGTTACAGCCGTAATGTCATCTCATATACACTAATATTCCCTGATAAAAACAAGATATGCTGTTCAATATGCTTACAAACTGTGAATGGGTGCAGGTAATGTATGTTGTATGTTCCTGGAGGGACGCATCTTCCAGAGATGAAAGTCCAATTTCCACCCGTACTGAACTTGACTGCAATTTAATGGCTTGATCATACTGCAATGAGTGCTTATTACAATTATATCCTGTCTTCGTCCCTCCTTTTAGCCAATCATATTCCACTTATTACTTGCATATGCTTCAAACGAAATAACCACACTTAGTCAATACCTGTTTGCAGTACATAATTTTTGCAAATCGTGCAATCGACCAAAATGTAGGTCAGTTTTCGAACTAGATATCGAATATGTTCATTGATTTTGTCCCTCCTGTCGGCCAATCATATTCCACTTATTACTTGCATTTGCTTCAAACGAAATAACCACACTTAGTCAATACCTGTTTGCAGTACATAATTTTTGCAAATCGTGCAATCGACCAAAATGTAGGTCAGTTTACGAACTAGATATCGAATATGTTCATTGATTTTGATTGAACTATGCATAGACTTGTTACTCCAGCCAAATTTGACTCTGATAGTCCAGGCTATTTCAGCAAGGATAGAGACTGGACTTTTATTGTCAGTTATCTCCCTTGTCTCATGAAGACGTGGTTTATGCAAACCATACTTGTAGATTGCATGTTACCTGTTACTGACACTGTTATTCTGGTCAGAACTATACTGAAAGTACTGATCGTCTGGTAGATTTTCACCAGTCTAACATTAAAACCTCCTTCTGTGATGTATAATGGGCTTCTGAACATTTTCAAATAAATCACATCACTGCATCAACAAAACATTTTGAACCATGCCTGCGATGCACCGGCCAGAACACCTTAAAAATTATTCTGAATGACTGTCCCAAGATCTGAAAAGAGATCTATGAAAAAACTCTGGACTCCAAAGAGTTGTCTCCCTTTTATGGATGTAAACTTTGCTTTACTCTTTTGAAGAAACTTGTGAGTTCTTACAAATTGTCATTTTTGTTTTATACATCACTGGTGTCTATGTCGTTCCCTGAGTTATGTGTCAGAGAATGTTAATGTTACCGTTGTTGCAGGACAAAGATGGCGATCGAGCTGTTCATCATGCTGCTTTCGGTGACGAGCCGTCTGTGATAGAAATGCTGCACAGAGGAGGGGCAGATCTGAACGCAAGAAACAAGCGACGACAAACACCGCTGCATATTGGGGTCAACAAGGGTCACATCGGGGTGGTGCGGGCGCTCCTCGACCTTGGATGTCATCCGAGTCTGCAGGTGATTATCTCCCCTTGACCTTGGGATGTCAGTTTAGTTTTTACAGCCTTATAGACTTGAAAATCACATTCTTTGCTTTGAGACAGATTCTTCTGCAAAATTGTACATATAAATTAAGTTAATCTTTAACTGTATAGCTTCATATTATTGATTTGTTTTTCTTCTGTATGAAAGTTGCATTATTTAATTCACATCGTCCAGAGGAACTGAGTAGCTTGAGATCAACAATTATTATTTAATTCACATCGTCCAGAGGAGCTGAGTAGCTTGAGATCAAGAATTATTCACTGTAAAACATTTGTGATCTTTCATGCATTTCATATTATTTACAAGTCACTGCTATTTACAATCAACTGCTAATTGGGGTTGTTTGTTAGTTGACTGGTTATAGTGTTTGCTCACGACAACGAAAACCCAGGTTTGATTCCCACAGTAGTAGATTGAGTGAAACCAGTTTTGAGTGTCCTTTAGAATAAATGAATATTGCATAAAGCTGCATCTAGCTGACTCAGGTAATCTCTGGGTTGGTGGGGTAGCTTAGTGGTTGAAGCGTTCGCTCGTCACGCCGAAGACCCGGGTTCGATTCCCCACATGGGTAAGACTCGGGTTCCCCGCCATGATTCCTCACATGGGTACAATGTGTGAAGTCCATTAATCTCTGGTGTCCGTTAATTCCGCCAAGACCGGATATTGCTGGATGATATTGCTGGAATATTGCTAATGTAAAACCAAACTCACTCACTCACTCATGCAAACTCTGGCATTGTTCAGGATTCTGAAGGGGACACAGCATTACATGACGCCATCAGCAAGAAGAGAGACGACATGATCTCCCTGTTGCTGGAGCATGCCGCAGACATCACCATCGCCAACAACAACGGCTTCAACGCTCTCCATCATGCTGCACTGCGAGGGAACCCCAGGTACGTCACTCTTCTTGTTGGAGCTCCTCGTTGGGGAACATGACACGACTCAGATGCCAAGTTACACTAACCATGCCATGTTGTGGTATCTCTTTTCTATTTTGGCTAAACTTTTAAAACTGATGACATGGAAAAATGTGCAGCATTTTAAAAGCAAGAATTTCATAAAGTTTAATCCTGGGCTGTTTGTTCTGTAGAATGCAGAACACAGGTGTTCTAAAAAATCATTACGTCTCAATATATTTTGACCATGGAATGTGGATCCAAATTTAGCAGTTGCGTGTAACTGTTTTCTGTTCTGCAAACTGAAGTATAGGTTTCGGCCACCAGAGTGTGATGTGTTCCTTGTATGACATGCCTGTTATGTTTATGATGATGGTGCCGGGGCGGTGGGGTAGCCTAGTGGTTAAAGCGTTCGCTCGTCACGAGTCACGCCGAAGGCCCGGGTTCGATTCCCCACATGGGTACAATTTGTGAAGTCCATTTCTGGTGTCCCCCGCCGTGATATTGTTGGAATATTGCTAAAAAACGGCGTAAAACCATACTCAGTCAGTCAGTCAGTATGATGATGGTGCCAACCACCATGACTCGGCACCCGGCATACCTCTTGTCTTGGCATCCAATTCTGAGGTTTTTAGTTATATGAGTGTACACAACTGTACAACAGAATTTATCTGGGATTTTCACATTTAATGCATGACCATGCATGCTCATGTGTTTAACCCTACTATTTGACAGGTTTGTCACACTTTTCAAGAGAAAAATGACAAAAAATAAATTAGAGCTTTTAAAGTTTGGCATTCGTGTACCAAATAAACATTACTGCACAGCGGCATCCGGAACAGCTCTTAACAGGTCTTGGCATCCAGTGTACCAAAAGCGGGTTGGCACCCTAACCCATCACACAACATAACACAACCTCTTCAGGAATTATGAGAACATATTCATGTTGATGTGTACAAATTGCATTGTCCATGAAGTATGTGTTTTTCAAACTTGCGATTCGCTTAAAAAAAAAAGAGCAAAATTATTTGCACCCCTTATGAAAGATTTAAGTCTTAAAAAATTAAATAGTTTCAAGAAAACTAACTTTGCAGCAGCTATCATTTGATTTACAAATGCTTTATTGAGAATATTAGGGCTACACAAAATCCATTATGAGGCAAATGCATTTTATTTCACGAATATTGAGTTATAAGTTCAGTATAAATTTCATTTCACGAATATTGAGTTATAAGTTCAGTATAAATTTCATTTCACGAATATTGAGTTATAAGTTCAGTATAAATTTCATTTCACGAATATTGAGTTATAAGTTCAGTATAAATTTCATTTCACGAATATTGAGTTATAAGTTCAGTATAAATTTCATTTCACGAATATTGAGTTAAAAGTTCAGTATAAATTTCATTTCACGAACATTGAGTTATAACTTCAGTATAAATTTCATTTCACGAATATTGAGTTATAAGTTCAGTATGAATTTCCCCAGCTGATGTATTATATATTATCTTCAGTGAAACAATAACCATGATAACAATGAATGCTTTTGACTATGTTGATTTATCAGTACAATGACCAGTGACCATAATACTGTCAAAATAGATGCACAAGCGTGCTGAGTATTAACCTGCCTGCTTGTTTATATTCCATTTTGTATAAATAACACCCAAATTCAGATAAAACATTCCTTTTTAGAAAATTCATGAATATTGGATTCTTGTGATCACGAACATCGAATTGACTTCAAGGATTTTATATCATCGAATATGTAAGTGAATTGTAACAGCCCTAAGTGAATATAAGTGTGGAATTACCCAATGTAGCCTTTTCAGTTTGTTTATCAGTATGTATTTATTTATCTTATTTACCATGATCAAATGCTGGCATTGTGTTCATGGACCGCAGTGGATAATGCACAACTCTTATTGCAACTAGACATATGTATGTGCTGTTCTGATGTTGAACTGCCTGTCATGTGACATCCTGTTTGAGCAAAGCCCATTCACAATAACTACCAAACATTGAAGGGAGTGGAAATCTTTGCCTCGGGCAGCATATTAAACAACAATATTTGCACATGTGTGGAGAACAGGATCAAACACCTCAAACACATTCAAGATAATTGTTTCAAAAATGTCCAGCTCATTAGTTGAGAATATATTTTGGACCCAGATACCCAAAGAAATTTGAATTGTGTGGAAACACTGAATGCTCAAGCAGTTTTCTGGAGCAGTGACCTATTGCACAGAGCATGTATTTTATAAAGAATAGTGCACACCCAAGGCAAGACTAATGCGTAGTCTTTGAAAATATATGTACATAAAGGAGTTCATTTAAATTGAACATAAATTGAATTTAAATAAAACTGTAGGCTTGCTTTATAACTGCATCTGCATTACTGTAAGGGACCCTGAGACTGACCATGGCTGAGAGTATGCTGGAAAAAAAAAATGTTCATAATTTTCGAGTGTTCACATCTCTCTCTCTCTCTCTCTCTCTCTCTCTCTCTCTCTCTCTCTCTCTCTCTCTCTCTCTCTCTCTCTCTCTCTCCTCTCTCTCTCTCTCTCTCTCTCTCTCTCTCTCTCTCTCTCTCTCTCTCTCTCTCTCTCTCTCTCTCTCTCTCTCTCTCTCCTCTCTCTCTCTCTTCTCTCTCTCTCTCTCTCTCTCTCTCTCTCTCCTCCTCTCTCCTCTTCTCTCTCTCTCCTCTCTCCTCTCTCTCTCTCTCTCTCTCTCTCTCTCTCTCTCTCTCTCTCTCTCTGTCCTCTCTCTCTCTCTCCCCTCTCTCTCTCTCTGCCATTGATATTGCTAAAAGTGGCATATATCCATACTCACTCTGTCTCTCCTTCCCTTCCTCCTCCTCCTTCCTTCCTTCCTCTCTCCCCATCTCTTTTATCTGTTCCATAACAGCAATATACATATCTGATCAACAATCACCACAAAGCAGCAACTCATTTATTTATTAATCACTGAGAGTTCATGAGATGCCTGCATTTGATCAGTAGAAATAAAGACATACCAAACAACATAGGTATGCAAGTTGAAAGGGTAACACTGTGTAATTATACAGCGTCATACACAATTAGGCATTTGAAATTTTTCAATGAATGTTTGTAAATTAAAATTCAGAACCTAATGGAGATTTATTTTGTGCAGATATTCAAATGCTTAGCTCAATGACATTTGTTGAATGTTATGTTTAGAAATATTTGGGCCGCCTAACACATATATCACCCAGACATGGTTCCGTAACCTAAATAATTGTTCATGAGCATGGAGCCGGTTACCCTGATCTGTCCGATCTGTTTAATCCCAATTCAAGGCCCATATTGTTTCCATACCCTGGCCTTCTTCACGGCAATTGCAATACAGAATACACTCCATCAATCCATTATGTTAATGAGAACCAGAGACCTATTATGGTGAAACACACAAACTTATAAGTGTGACGTCCGATGTCATTAGAAGGATGTATGATGAGAAACATGTCAGTACTGTGCAGAGACATTCCTGGAGATGTTTCCGTGGTCCTGGATGCTAGGTATGAAAGCTGCTGCACCAACACGTTCCAGATGTATCAACCTCCGTTACTATGGGATGTCAATGGCCTCATCATCTGATGATGATCGTGCAGCAGATGCATCTACACTCACGCACATGTGCACACATGCATGCACCGAAGATACTTGTGTTGTAAGAAACGAGGAGCTCGTCTGTTTTGTTGTGTATGCTCTGTTGCTACGCTGATGTGTCATGTCTCGTGTTACGAGTTTTCTTTTCAAGTGTTCTTGCCATCCCTATTTGATCATATTTTTTCAGACGATCTTTTTGAGAAATATCTTATTTTTCAGATATTTGATAGTGTGACATGAATTAGTGATTTGTTTGTATTGAATAACACGAATTAAGATGAAGATTTTAATCAATGACCGATTTTACGGCTGTGTAATGGAATTGTCTGTTAGTTTCTCATATAATTTATGTGATCAAGCCTTACATATAAGCACAAGATATGATGGTTTCAAGTTCTGTATTTGAGAGATAGACTGACAGATGGACACACATGAATAAAAGATAGAGAGACAGATAAATGGATAGATAGAGAGCACAGGGAAATGGGGACAAGTGGAGTGCCATGTTGGAAATTAAACTTGAACGAGAAGTAGTCCTCACCATATTCCTAATGCTTCAGAATCCGTAGATTCATGTTCTTAATGGGAAGGGCGGTGGGGTAGCCTAATGGTTAAAGCGTTGGCTCGTCACGCCGAAGACCCGGGTTCGAATCCCCACATGGGCACAATGTGTGAAGCCCATTTCTGGTGTCCCCCGCCGTGATGTTGCTGGAATATTGCTAAAAGCGGTGGATACATAAAATAACTGAAGTATATGGAGATGGTTCTATTTCAGGACATGAACTTGTCAACTTGCAGTCTTTCTTATCATTTCTCATATTACTTATCAAATGTAAATAACAAACACAAACATTTAAACTTTATTATATTTTTAAAATTAATGGAAAATGGCAAAATACCCAATTGAGTTTGAGTTTGAGTGAGGTGAGTAGAATTTATTTGGTTACTCAAAGAAAAATTAGGATACCCAGTTGAGATGAACACAAGCGAGTACATAACTCAATGACCCAAAATGTTATCTGTAGCTCTGTCGGGTGGTGGAGTAGCCAGGTCCGCTTGTCATGCCAAAGTTCTGGGATTGATTCCCACATGGGTTCAGGGAGTCAAGCCATTTCTTGTGTCCCCCGCTGGAATATTACCAAAAGCGGCGGCGTAAAACTATATTCATTCACTCTTCATTTCTTCTTTGTGTTTACTGGATGCCATTAATTAGCGTTCCTCAGGGCGGATAAACTTTCTTCTCTGATGTTTCTTTAGCTTTTGTTTGTCTCTCCATGTGTGGTGAATGTTTCAGGGCCACTTCATGCCCTTATATCAGGTCAAAGCATTGTGACTTCACAAGAATATTAAAAAAGTGGTGTTATTTCA